TGATTCTTACACCTTGCCATATGAGTGCTGGGCTTCGATATGCTCTTCCCTTTTTCTCTTCTACGCAAGATGCTCAGAATCTTTATCAGTCGTCGTCGAAGTGCGGTATCGAGTACGTTGTGTCCTATGTTGGTAGCATCTTGCTGCACTTAGCAACATCAAAACCGAAGTTTGCTTTCTTGCATACTTTACTTGGCTTCTCTGAGTCGATGGTAGGTCTCGGAAGTGGCGGGGCCGAGGGCTTGAGACAGACGAAACCGTCCAGTCGGTCCCGACTGCTTGTACTCATTGGCGGACTCCGAGCAAGTGTGACCCTGCGCAGTCTAAACACGTGGACTTTGAAGGCAGTATTGATGTTGTCGAGTGCTTCTTCGACAAAACTGCTACTGGCTCGGTGTCTAGGTCGTCAACGCAAATTTCTGAACTGCAATCCATGTGCGGGAAGCTTGGGGGACGAAGCAGGGAGCAAGCTCTCGGGACAAGAAACGCCGATAGCTGTAACCATTGACCAGATACCTGTCTGCACATGAGGTGCGGGCCGGGACGAGACGTTGCAGACATACGGGGGAGAGAGAGCTTGAAGATGACTGGTAGCCAGAAACCACTCAGTTGGCAACCAAGCATCATCTAGCCTTGTTCTCGCCGTCCTCGACAATGTTTCTTCCTGAATGCAATGACCAAGACACAATGTCAGGCAGCCCGGTCCGCTAGTGCTATGCCTATGGAACTTGTTACATCGCAAAGTAATGGATGGATCTGATGGCAGGGCTCAACATGTGAGGAAAGAACCCTACTATCCCGCGAAGCAATGTGGGCTTGAGGGTCCATGAAGTTGGTAGTACAAATACGAACGTCGCACCATCGTCGTGGCTCTCGGGATGTATGGTGTATGCAATGTGTGCCTGCAGACGGAGCGTAATGACAATTAGATCCGGGAGTCCTGGTCATGGATTCCCGCCGAAACTGCAACAACCCGCGTGGCCGCCCAATGAGCTGAGGATCGGTATCATGCTCTGCTGTCGCAGCAGTGCGAAGCCGTGCAAGCAACGCAGCCTCGTGAGCCAAAACACATGAGGTTTTCGCTAATCCCGCCAATGGCATTCCATACCGAATCGAGAAGCTTCTCATCAGTTCCACTGTTCGCAGCTACCCGATTTCAAGCCAACTTTCACGGGTTGTCTGACAGATGGAATTTTGATATATTCTTGACAAGAGATGACAGAGAGGGCTTAGTTGCATGTTTCGCCCTCTTCCATCCTCACCCAGTTTAGGAGTACCTCTATGCCCATGTCGAAGTTTGTCTCTCCGGCTGAGATTGAGATCCCTTTGATAAGTTTATCACTCCCATGCAGACCCAAGAGAAGCTTCTTCATTGCTATCAAGCGGCAAATCTTGGGCTTCCTGACATTGACATTGTAATGCTTAGTCCATTATGAGGCGTGCTGTAAGCTCTAAGTGGCTGGTCATTTTGCAAGTCACGTGCCGTGGAGGACCGAACGTTGATTAGTAGCAAGTTTGCAATATCTGTGGTTTTTGAGCTAGGTATGTTTGTCTAGGCATCTCCTAGGCCTGGTCAAAAAGAACCCAATCACCATAGAGCCAACATCAGGGAAGATGCATGTGACAAATCAGATTTGAATAGCATGATCTTGCTGGGTTGCTAAGATCTTGTGGTGTGCTCTTAGGCCTAAGTTCCACCTGCCAACATACCAGCCATCTTATTAATTTCAGGCCGCGTGGGCTGCATGGTGAGGGTTTTGAGCTGAGCGGCATCGGTTGATGATTTGCTAGGTAAGAGGTCCTGACAGGTCCAAATTTCAAATGCCGCCAGAGAATGTTGTGTGAACTGTTTGGATTCACTGCTCGGCCATAGAAAGGGGTTTCGGCATGGTCTCGTCTAACTTGTGGGTGTATCTTGCGTTCTCTGTGTGAGACACCTACACATGTTTCTCCCTCTGTCCTCAATAGCACTTCATACCTGCTAATATTGGCATCCTGTGTCGTATCAAAATGACAGCCTGTTACACTGGCAGAAACATGCAGTTGGTGGTAGCCGAGCCAAGATATCGGTAGGCCGCAGCGACTTGTCAACCGCTTCAGCTCACACCAGGTTTGGATTCTCTCGACAGGCAGATGCAGCAAATGACAAATGGAGATGCTGGAAAGTATCAGACTCGGTAAAGCTCCCTCCGGGTCTTTTACCACGGGAATCAACAAACAGTGTGGGATAATTGTGACGATACAGAGTAACTATGACCTAAGGAGCGCCAGCGAACCGCAGTACATACCAAATGTTCTAGCTGCTCTGGATCGATTCACGTAATGTTTTATCAACCTGTTGATGTCGAGATAAACGATATTTTTCTGATTGGGATTACATGTATGCGATATCTTCATGCACTACTCAGAGAGCAAGCAAACAGCTCTTCGATAACAAGGCGCTCCAAGTCTAGGTTTGCAGGATGTTCGCTGTCATTCCCTGCATTTCATACTTTTATTAACCAAGTGTTCTTTACCTTTTGTTCCGCTGAGCATCTTCATTTTAACCTCCTACTCTGGGCCATCTTTGGGGCGCTCTCCAGATTCTCCGACTAAGGGTAAAACTTGGAACGAGTTGAACAGTTGAAGGAGAACTAACCCTGGTGACAGATGTAAAAGTCCTGAAGTGAGCATTTATGTTCTAAAACCCATGTGGATCGCATGGCTGAGGACCCATAGAACTATGGAGCTACTCACAGAGCCACAATTACATGAAGATGACAGACATATCACAGGCTCAAACATTGACCCACGTTGTACAGGACTCTTGTTGAAGCTTCTGGAAGATTTACTCCTCAGGATAACACACATAAACAGAGACCTTGCCATTGATGTCGTCGATGACAAGCAAGAAAATATCATGGTTGAGGTCCTCCTTTTGATGTCTGGTTTCTACCTGGGCTCACAACTGAGACAAACTAGGTGAAAGAGCATTCACTTCCGGGCTTTCTCCTTAAGTCAGAACAACCTCCACCAAGGGGCTAATCCCTGTCCCATTGAAGCCGCTCTTGGACCGAGAGTATGCATCTCCCCTCATCAGCTGATGGCTTCTGGACCATCTCCCTGTCGTGGATGACCTCCCAAAATAGGAAACGACTTCTCTTGCTTCCGTCTGCAGCTTATCTAGATGCGGATCGCCACCCGAACCTGTCGCCTTAAAGTCCCCATGTCTTCCGTGGCATGGCAGGCGGGAAAATGGGTGGCCGAGTCGGATTCCCCGCGCCTGCCGACACCTTCTTGTACATATTCTCTAGACGCTGTCCCAAGCTTCTTTGTGAAACAACTGGGTGAATGCGAGATTCGACTTGTGGTGTATGGCATAGGAGAACCCAATGAGGCCATGTTTCCAAAAGCATATGGCCTTCAGCAGGCAAACTGCACTTTGATATGAAACATGTGATAGCTATCATACAACGATGGCTGTTACGTGATGATGAAAAGGATCGGAAACTTGCAAAGATAGCTTGTTGACTGTCTGGTAATTTTCTGTTTAGCAGGGACTGATGGAATCTTGTTTGCACCCCGCCCCTCCAGACCGACAAGCCGCTCACTCCGTGACATCCAGGCAGACCAGGGATTCTGGCTAATGAAAATAGATTGCCGGCTCGTGCTTTGTGCCGCGCGCGTGGAGAAAACATCATATCGTCCACGCTGCTGTGCATGTTGGGGACGGCCAACAAGGACAGCTGCACAACCTCTCGCTTCTGCGAGTCAGACTTCTCTCTGGATGGATCTTATGCTGATATTTTTTGCTCTCTAAGCTTACCTTGATGCAGCATATCCCAAAAAGGTGGAATGAATGTCCTGATATAGCTGGCTGGGAGAAGCCGGGTACCTAATCTTGCCTCGACCGGGGAAAAAGTCTTTTTTTAGCGGAGAAGCATCATGAGCATGTGGAAGGTTGCAGCGTGGATTTGGGCTCATGCTCACTTGCCTCTGACTACGCCAGCCTTGTCTGTTTTTTCCTTCACACCCTAAGAAAAATTATGGTAACGAGTGCTTAACGAAAAACAATTCTAAATAAACTAGGATGCTAGATCAGGAAGATTGTGTCAGAAACTTGGAGCTTTAGCTGCCATGATATGAGCTGAAGAACTCTGCTCAGACGCTTCTTCTAGTAACATAAGCGTTTGGAAGGCCTATATCTGTCGAACAGTAACATGCTCTATTGGGAGCAATGCTTTTGTGTCCGGTACAGGAATGTTGGGAGTTTAGGAGATCATGGAGGCAAGCCACGCACAGGTCTGATACTGTTCACTGAAAGCGGGGTCCGTTGGAGAAAAAGAAAGGTACTGATTGATTTTCATTGGAGAAAATATCTTCTCTGGGGCTCATCCCGGTGATGGGCGTTGTTGCAATTTTAGAAAGCAGCAAGTCGAAACGAAAACGACTTAAAAGACGATCCATGCTGCAATGCCTAGTTGCATGACGGAGAAATCAGAGGGATTTAGCAATTGTGGTGGTAGAACACATTGCACTGTGCCCCCAAAGCACCCAAGCGGTACATTTGGCAAAGCCACCGGTAGAGAGACAGGATGGGTTCGTTGATTGAGCCTGATTTGGCAGACCATCTGAGTTGGGTTTGACTGAATGACAAATGACAAACATGAAGTGATCTCTTCTTGACTTTGCTGGAGCCAGTATCCCCTGGCTTGCATTGTTTACTTATCGAAGAGAAGCCCCTGAATCGTTGCCAAGGGAACAACACAACCAGGCGTCTTCAGTCACCCATGCCTCGAGCCCGTGGTCCTGCGGTTGTATTGAATGGAGGGTTTCGCAGCTCGTATGTGACTAGGTGGTAGTGCCTGCAGGGCTCAGAGATCCATTTACGAAATACACGATAGGGGATAGAGAAATTTTGACACTATGATTGCATCACCAGTCAAATACGGCACACACTCACGCGTACACTGACGGCACTGGCCTATGGTATAATTTACGTTTACACTATAGCTAACTGTTTACTGATACTCATAGAAACCCTTCCCACTCTTCTTGCCCAGCCAGCCGGCATCGACCATATTCTTCAACAGGACACTGGGGCGATACTTGGAATCGCCAGTCTCAGAATGAAGGACCTTCATGATGGCAAGGCATGTGTCCAGGCCGATGAAATCAGCGAGCTGTAGGGGGCCCATGGGCACGTTGGTACCGTTCTTCATAATGGCGTCAATAGAGTCACGGTCACCGACACCGGTCTCAAGGCAAATGATAGCCTCGTTGATGTAGGGCATCAGAATGCGGTTGGCCAGGAAGCCCGGACGGTCGGCCGAAATGGAAGGGATCTTTCCAAGGCGCTTGCAGAACTCAATGGCGGTGTCGAGGGTGTCCTGGGAGGTCTGCAGGCCCGAGATGATCTCGACACCCTTCTGCACGGGAACAGGATTCATGAAGTGAGTAGAGACAACGCGAGAGCTGTTGGAGGTGTCGTTGGGGTTGCCACCAGTCGTGGCGGCAGCAATGCGGGTGATGGAGATTGACGAGGTGTTGGTGGCCAAGATGGCATGCTTAGGGCAGATCTGGGCCAACTTGGCGAAGATATCGAACTTGAGCTCGGGGATCTCGGGGACGGCCTCGACGACGAAGTCTACATCGTTGAGCTTTTCGATCGAGGTGGTAGGCTGGAGCAGAGCCCGGGCAGCATCAGCCTGCTCCTGGGTGATGCGCTCCTTGGAGACATCCTTAGCCAGGAGCTTCTCTGTTGCGACAGGCCAGAACGCTGCTTAGCTCATGATGCCGATACAGGATCGAGAGAATCAGGAGATGGCAGTTCTCACGAACCTGCGAAGGCAAGACCCTTATCCAGGGCGGCTTGCGAGGAGTCGACCAGCGTGACGGGGATGTTGGCCTTCTGGGCAGCCACCAGGGCGATACCGAGGCCCTATGGAGGAGGCGCGAAGCATATGTCAGCGGCCGTCAAATTCAATTCACTCATTGTGTGAGATGTGAGAGTGAGACGTCAATTGGGCATGATGAGCACAACAACATACCATCTGCCCTGCACCGATAACACCCAGGCGCTTCACCTCAGCGGCGGCCGGGCGCGCAGCCGTAGAACTGAAAGAGCGCGCATTCCGAGCAGCGAACCGCAGCGTTTGCCTTGCCAACATGACGGGGGACATCTTCACGAACGCTGAATGCAGGATGCAGTGGTCTCTCCTCCAGACTCGGTTAGAAAAGGAGATCGAGGAGCTCAAAACATCCAAGACCCTGACCCCGTCCGGACAAAAGCAAGCACATGAGCATGTGGCCTAGCGCGGCTAACCTCGGTCATGGTTCCCATGCTCCCGATCCCACCGATCCCACCGGTGGGGTCCTTTGCACCGATCGGCGCGATCCTTCCTCAAATGCCGAGTCTTGGCGTCTCAAGGCTTTACAGTGTCTTCTCCGGAAATCGCACGGATAGTTTTCCATAGAACTCGCCAGGAGTTCACAGTGCTTGCTTACTGTTGACTTCTTGTTTGCTCGGGCAGGGATCCGCGCCTTGACGCGTCCCCATCGCGGTCGCTTTTCAAGATTGAATGCTTGCTAGTTTGGTAACGCGTCGCGTCGTGTGCCAAGCATCGCCAACCATCAAATTGTATGCTTACTCATCACTGTCCTTGCCGCCGCAAATAGGCTCAAACAGCAAGCCCCAGTCTCTCAGCTGCATCCTTCATAAGTATCCTCGCAGCAATACTGATCACTTGCGGGCTCGCTTCGGGTATGCCAGAACTAACCTTCTCCCTTTTACGGCAGCATTTGGGGCCTTAGTCCAAGGCCATTACTCGAACACAGAGATGGAAGACGGCGAAGTCAACGATGTTGTGCATCCGCAGGTGCGGGCACATATCAACAGTCTTGTATCTGCTGTAAGTGTCCCTTAGAGCAAACAGGATGGGACTTCCTGCTGACGAGCGCATTCCAGCTCGGCGGTATTAGCATCGACGACGACGGCGGCTATAAGCTTGGTGACGACGCCCTAGAGGTGCTCCGAGACCTCAAAAAATGGATCCGCTTCTACGACGAGAAAACCAACCGCATGGACGTTGCCCGTTGTCTGGCTGAGGCGAACATTGTCAGCACCGATCTGCTGCATATTCTTGCGCTATGGACGCCCAACGAGAACAGCAACAAGTACAAGGCCCGGATTGCCCTCGCTTGTTTCGAGCTCATGGTGCCCCTCACCTGGCCCATCGAGAAAGACCGCGAGACCATGACAATCAACCATCACCGCCATATCCCAGTCCTACAGCTTGCTCAGCTTGGTTACAAGCGTGCCATCATCAACTACGATGCTGCACCCATCCTCAGTACTGCCGTCCGCGTAGCTCTGCCCGCCATGGCCATGCCTATCGGCGAGCGCACTGCCCGTGATCAGGGTATAATCAAGCTCATTCTATATTTTTTAAGAAATATCGCTATGATCACACCTCCTCCTGGCGTCAAATATGAAGGCGACGAATCGCAGATCTCTCGTTCAGCCCTAATCGATGCCTTCTCATACCAAGATATTTTCCTTACCCTCCTGACAATCGCCTCAAACATGGGGGAGGATTTTCGCACCGAGGACGTCATTGTCATGGAGATCATATTCCATCTGGTCAAGCGTGTGGACCCAAAGAAGCTCTTTGTCAGCGAGAAGCAACTAAGCAAGATCAAATCCGATGAGCTTGCCGCTGCCATGCAAAGAGAAGCCGCCATGCTCCGATCCCATGGGAAAAACATGCCAACTCGCCATAGCCGCTTTGGAACTATGATATGGGTCAAAAGGGAGAGTGGCAAGCTCACCACCGTCTCGGGCCAAGAAGCCTTGTTGGACCCAGCTGCTCGTGAAAGGAAGATGGATAGTACCAAGACTTTCAAGCCTCCAAGAAGAGCTAGGAGGGAAGATATGGAGCCCAAAGACTTGGGCCCTCCGGTTACCATCGATGAGAGAGCTCGTCAGCAGCTTGGCTCGTTTGTCTCCGACTTCCTTGACTCAGGTTTTAACCCCTTATTCTCTCATATTCGGAAATCCCTGGAGCGGGAAGCTCCACATGTGCTTCACTACCACCAGAGCCAGTTCTTCTACCTCGTAGCATGGTTCTTGGAAGCAGAGCGTGCACGGCGCAGGGAGAAAAAAGAGTCCAGCAAGGCTCAATCCGGCGAAGATGTGAGCAGTTTCAATCTTATTGCCTCCGTCCTCACTCAAGAGATGTTCATCGCCCTAAACCGCGCCCTGGATCGCGCGTATGGAGACAAGGACTGGCGGCTGTTGACTTCGGCGATGCGTTGCTTCACCCAGATTCTCCTTACAGTCCAGGAAATGTTCGACTCGGGCAACGATGAGGACCAAGAAATTGCCGACAACATTCTAAGCCGGCTGTTTTATGAAGAGTCTACGCACGATGCTGTAGCCAATATCGTCCGCACATACAAAGATCAGGGCTTCGAGTATTTGGATGCCTGTACCGAGCTCGCGCATACGTTCCTGCGCATTCTTGAAGCCTATTCAAAACAAAATGTTGACTTGCAAGTCCGATCGCGTAAAAGGGCCCGTCGGAAGAAAAAGGCAGCCAAAGCTGCCGCCGGAGAAAACGGCGACGAAGATCAGGACGAGGAAGATGATTCCGCTGATGATGAGAAAATGGCTGAAAAAACTAGCCAGGAGAGAAAATTTGACTTTAAGCGCTTCGCAGCGAGATTTACACCTCAAGGTGTGGTTGACACGTTTGTCACCTTCACCAAGTACTACCGAGACCTCGATGATTCTCAGTTGAAGCGTGCTCATCGGTACTTTTATCGGGTCGCCTTCAAACAGGAAATGAGCGTTATGCTCTTCCGTTTGGACATCATCCATTTGTTTTACAACATGATCAAGGGCCCAGAACCCCTGGATAAAAACTCGCCAATGTATAAGGAGTGGGAAGAGCTCGTGAGGCAAATCCTCAAGCGCTGTATTCGGAAATTGGAGGAACGACCAGCCCTCTTCACCGAAATTTTGTTTTCAAAGATCAACAGTACAGCCTACTATCTCGAATATGGCTTTGAAAAACAGACCGTCTCCTCCAACCCAAGACCCGGCGCCGAGCTCGAATTCAAGCGCGAGCTCAGCCGTGACCAGCAGATCGCCATTGCAGTTGGAGTGCTTCTTGACCGGAATCAGACAGATCATCTTGACTGGATCAAGCAGCAGCTTGCTGATGCTGAACGCGAGCGCCGAGCCTGGGAAAACATTGACAAGGCAATGGCCGCTGAGAGACCGGAGGGCGAAGCAGCCTCAAGTGAAGGCACCGGCTTCAAAACAACGCCGGCGTATACTACCGTTCGTCCAGACAATGACGCTCGCCGCAAGGCTATGTTCAAGAATTCTCATCTACGCTTGCTGATGAAGCTCTGTGGCATGGAGCGACTCACTCCGACCCTGGATGAATCACCCGACTCGACATGGATTATTCCAGGCATCATTGATGCAGATACTTTGAAAGAAACCCTTTCTCTTATCAACAAAGCTGAATTCAACCCTCCTACATTCGAAGATGGCCAACTAGCCGAGCACCAGCTTCGCCGCAAGTCTGCTGCACCACGTAAGCGTGCCGCCTACGATGACGATGGCAGTGAATTGCAAGACTTCCTGGACGACGGCGACAACGGGATCCTCTTCCCCATGGGTCCCAGGCTCAAGACGCGTAAGCGCATGGCAGAGGACGGTACACCTCCTCCAAAAAAGCGCCGTCGCCGCCGCCGCGACGGCAGTCAGGAGCCTGAACCGTTGACAGAAGAGCAGCTCGAGGAGCGCCGCCGCGCCAGGCGCAAGAAACAGCTTGAGCGGGCGCGTCGGATCAAGAGCGCAGCGTATGTCAATCCGAGCGACGATGAGACTGATGAAGAGTATGATCGCGAGTTCTTTGCCAAGGAAGCGGCACATCAGGCCGCCAAAGATGCGACATTTGGATTGTATGATGGCTTGCCACCCAAGCCGGGTGGCGTTGAGAGGTCAGAATGGGAGATGTTAATTGGTGTAGACGAGGAAGATGATCAGCCGTTGGCAGACATCGAACGGCGGAAAAAGAGCAAAAGAAAACCACGCGCGCAGAGTCAAGAGAAGAGTGATGAAGAAGATGAAGAAAGTGAGGAGGAGGTGTCGGATGAAGAGTTTGAGGATATCGTTTCTGATTCCTCTTCGGCATCCTCTCCTTCCTCACCAAAACGTCCTATCAGATTGAGGGGAAGAACTCAGCTAAAACAACCGAACATGTCCAGGGATACGGGAACTAATGATGAGTCCGACTGGGAACGTGACGGAGGCCGTGATGGCAATGCTATGGACGTCGACCCGATTCAGCTGAGCCATGAAGGGCCGAGTGGCCAAGAAGCTGGCTCCACTGTCAGCGGTGGTGGTAGTGGTGCTGGAGAGGATGAAGATTACAACGATAAGCCCGTCGCTGCTGCTGCAAGATCACGGCTGCGAGCTAGGGCGGGGTTCATCATCGATAGCAGCGACGAGGAATGAGGGCTACATGGCTAACGAAACTTGGGGGTGTTTCTGCTGCATGGTTGTTAGGGAGTCTGTTCTATGGATTTTCGGATATCATGGGATTGGGCTTAGGGTTGATATCACTAATTTAACAAGAGCTGTGTATTGTCTGGATATCTTGTCTCGGTTGTCTGTGCTTCTCAGGGGCTCTAAGTAAACAAAAGGGGCAACCAGTTTGGGTGGAGCGTATCATTGTCTCGGCAACGATCATCCCTCCAAACCCGACTCTCGAGGGTTAGGGTTTACTACTATTTTGCATGATCGAGCCCCCTAGCGCCATGGGTTACATGACCATGTTGATATTTGGGAGGTAATGTGCAAACTACCTGTAGGCACCATTTCTGCCATTTCCGCTCCTCCCGTTACTGCCGTAATGAACTACCAAGACATCATGATTACTCCGATGCCGCTATTGGTGCAATGGATTGAACCCCGCTGAAAGACACTATCAGAGTCTCAATCATCTTGCCGTGCCAAATTTGAATGCAGTTTGTGCTGTTTCATCAGGGATATGCTGATCAAGCCTGCAATAGAAAGGGCAAGTCCCATGTACCACACTCCCTTAAATGCATCCATGAAGGATTGTATCACTCCTTCATGCCACCCAGCTGGTAACCTGCCCAACTCAGCCAAGTCATCTCGTATCCGGCCAATCTCCTCGGGGCCTCCGGGAAGATCACCAAACCGCTCCCACAGCCGAGCTTTCAAAATGTTTTGATACAAGGCCGAGGCCACTGTGATTCCCAATGTCCCGCCCACTGACCGGAACGCATACGTTGCTGAGGTTATAACAGCTTGGTAAGAATGGTCGACGGCCGCAATGCAGGCGACCATGGTAACTGTCAGCATCCCTCCATAGCCAGCGCCGAGCAGTCCCATTGACACAAACGGGATCCAAGAAGGGGAGTTTTGATCAAGTGTGGATGCAAGAGAGAGAGCGGCCGTTGTGAGGAGCAAGAGGGAAATTCCTAGCCTAACGTATCTTCCGGTTCTGTTCATGATCACTCCTGACCCATAGGAGCCAATGGAGACGCCCACAGAAGAGGCCAATAAACGTAAGCCTGCCTGAGTGGTAGAGTGACCAAGAACTTGAAGATAGAGGGGCATATAATAGAGCGACATCATTGTCACCATGGTTCTGACCTCGTCAGTCCAGTTGTGTACTATGATCAAGGGGAAAGAACACCTACCCAGTGAAGTTTGTAAAGCAAGCTGTGAGGATAGTCCGGTGCAATAGCAGACGCACCGGGATTACTGGCTGCTTTGCACGACTTTCCCACCAAACAAAACTGAGCATCATCACGATGCCCATGGGGATCGTGGTCAGAACGAGGGGATCTGTCCAAGGGACGAGGTTTCCTCCGGCGCTCAAGCCAAGCAAGAGTAAGACGAGGAAACCAACAATCAAGAAGGTCCCGCCAAAATCAATGCGTGAAAGCAATGACCTGTTAGAGATGCGTGGAGGAACGTCCACAAGATACCACACTAGAGCTCCAGATGCCACAATGACTGGTACTTGGACTAAGAATGCAAAGCGCCAACCCCACGGGGAGCTGTCACTGATCCATCCTCCAAACACACCTCCGAGCATTGATCCTGAGCTGTGCACCACGTCAGCACCACAATTATCCAATACGCAGAAAGACCGACGCTCTTACCCATATGCAATATTCCCCACACCCTGCACAACGCCTCTCCTGTTGAGAGGCACCAAATCCGACGCCAGAAACGTGCTTATGCTCATCAACCCTCCACCTCCGACACCACCGATAACCCGACCGACAATCATCCCCCACTTCCCCTTGGCGATGCCGCAGAGCAGGTTACCCAGCGCAAACATAACATTGCTGAATACGAGCCCCGGCCCGCGCCCAATGATATCGGTTAGCCGACCTGATAGCGGCTGAAATGTGGCATTTGCGATCAAGTAAGCAGTGGCGAGCCATGAGAGGAGGGAAAGCGACTGAAACTCGGACGCAATAGGCCCTGAGAGCGTTGCCATGATGGACGAATCCAGCGCTCCCAAGAAGACTCCAACATAAGTGGCACCGAGAGTGAGCCAAATGCGACTATTAGGCAAGTTTGTTGGAGGGATGATGACGGTTTCATCTTCCTCTTGAGGAGAGCGGCCTGGGGAAGGGGAGCAGGAGGACGGAGAGGCGGTTTCAGAGCAGGCATCAGAAGGTAATCGGGTCTGAAGAAGAGGGGTGGATTCGGTTACGGTAGCTGTTAGAGACGAAACCTCTGATGGTTCATCTGCTTGTGTGGGATTGTCGCAACTCAAAGCCGACTCTTGCCTGGGATTGTAAGCCATGGTGAGCCTAGTGAGCGGAGGCTGCTGATGTTAGAGGGTGAGTGTTGGCAAGGTTAGGGATTTTGGATGGTAGTGAAGAGAGAATCGAATGATGAAGATAAATGGATGCAGTATCAATACGATATCACGATATCATATGTCATGCTTCTGTGCTAGAGATGTACAACAAAATTTAAGAAAGGTACTGCACTTATTACCAGGTGGAGAAGCTTAATCAATCAGCGAACTCTGAAGCTGTTTTTCCTTTCCCCGAGTTCGGATCGCGGCTCTGTTTTGACGGCCCGGCCCGGCCCGGGAATGATGTTACAAGGGTTCAGGCTGGACCCACTGGCTAGATCTCAAAAGCGGAAGGCACGCTGTAGTTAATCTGCATCTGCATTGCGATCCCTTCAACTTGTACCCGGCCGGTGATGCTTCGCCAGAGCCGATTGTGGAAGCGACTCGGGGCCTCAGAACCTCGAGTCTTCGGTATACTTAGATCCGAGTTTCGTCCCACCGAAGACCTTCATGTCACCGTGATAATTCGCCAAGTGATCTGCATGAACCCTAACCCTCAGATGAGAACTGGTAGCTTCTGATGGCGTAGTAGATGCCGTTGGCAGTAAATCGTCAGAGATAACTCACAGTTGAGCTCTAAGGCCTCAATCCGGTAGCGATTTTATATATGCATGCAAACCATATTAGGTGTTCTGTTCCTCTGCTGCTCTCGGCTAATTGCTTCTTGAATATGAATGAGCATTGCATTATTTGACCCCCAAGTTCCAACCCCCGGTGCGGGCATACTTCTATTCCATAGTTTTTTTTTTTTTCACAATCCATCACATCCTTACTATTACTGGCTTTCTATGTGTTTCAATAGTGCGCTTTTCACACATTCTGTGAGTCAAATCAACTTCCACGAGTCCCCAGATTCGATTCGAATCTCCCGATTCTCATCAATACTCCGCCTGCCAGCTTCAAGAATGGCCGTGGTCGCAATGGTGTTTTTCAGTGTTGGCAAACCCTTATTATCGTAATCTGCAGGTTTGCTGATGCCAGCATTGATAGAACGGCATGCATCGACGAACTTTTCTATTGAGACATATCCATATCCACTCTGGCCGTTGAAGTTCCCGTTCTCATCAGGCGCATACCGCATGTAAAAAGGATTGTACCATACGACTTGTCCTGCCGAGTCCTCGGCCACATCATAGCCACGTTTTGCTTGATTGATATTGATCTCACCGCCTTTGGCGAGATAGTGGAAATACTGATTCGAATGTACTCCGGCTCTCTGAGGAGCTGTCCACGAGGCGGTGTAGACTGCTGTTGCGTGCTTGGTGGGGTCTCCCTTCTTCTCCCAGTGAACAAGTAATGAGATTGTATCCTCGGTTGCTTCGTTGCATCCAAGGCTCGTTGCAACACCTTTTGAAGCAGAAGCTGAGACTTTAACTGGGACGTAGCCCAAGGGAGAGACCATTGAGTCGCAAATATCGATGTGGTGACTGTTCAGATAGTACGAGATATCGGAATCAACGCCGGCCCAAGCCTTGAACGTTTCGAGTTGAGACTTAGGCTGTGACATGTAACTGTAAAAATAGTTAAAGTCTCCCAATTTTTGGGCCCGGACTCTGGCATCCCAATAGGCCGGATCGTAGCGTTTATGATGTTCCACATACACAAATACACCATGCTTCTCAGCGGCCTGAATAAGGGCAACATGGTGCTCGAGCAATTTGACAACTGGCTTGGTTATCATGACGTGGATGCCGCGCTCGATAGCGTAGAGGGCAATAGGAAAATGTGTCGTATCTGGTGTGAAGATAGTGACAGCGTCTCCAGGCGAAAGGGCGTCAATGGCCTTCTTGTATGCTTCAGGGTCAATTGTGTCATCGGCAGGCCAGGACTCGAACGAGGTGTCCATGCCGTTATAGACGAGAGAGATATTCTCATAGAGGTGCTTCCCTGGGCATCGGGTCAGAGCTAAGCACAACAGATCGACCGCCCTGGCAATGAACCTACTAATGGCAGGAAACTTCGTCCCATTGACACCCACCATGCCCAGTTTTCCCACTTTGCCTCGCCGCCTAAGATCAAACATGCAGAGCCCTACAACTCCAATCTTTTTGTCTGAACTCGAGGCACCACCGCCGACAAAGCCGGTGGTGTACTCGCCTGTACCAACCTTCCATAAGGTCAGCTATGACAACTGACATCCTTCGAGGGGGGAGCCTTACCATCAAGACATTCAGAGGCTTCATCCTGGCTAATGAGGGGTTTGCACTTCTCTGGGATAATGCGTACTTTTACAACAAAAGGAGCTCAAAATGGTTTTGCTCAAGACACAGCCAGTTAGTGTACCATGGAAGGTTGAGAGGACCTGGTGGATCTGTGGGTGAGATGAATATGGTTGGGTATTTCAGCGCCTGTAACATGCCAGGGCCGAGGCAGACATTAACTGCTGCCACTCAGCCTGCCAACCTGCCACAGTGCTTCCTGCATCGTAGCATGCTGATCCCGCAACGTCACCTACCTGATGGGCCTGGACTTAATCTCCCGAGCCGGCTGGCAGGAACTTAGTAAATCATTCCACTCGGCATGGCCGTTGTCAGTCTCTAGCCTTTCCGGCGGGGAAGAACTTGAGATGCTGTTGCCCGTCCCAGCAGTTACACAATTAATAAGGAGCTTTTACTTTTACGTGGGCTGGAAAGTCGGAAGTCTGACGGAGAGAGGGGCCAATTGGGGCGTGGATTTGGAGGCTTTATGTTGAGCTCTGGCACAGTAAAACACTATACAGCACACTCCCAGCTCTCAGTTTTTCGCCATTTTTACTTGATGCTTGTCTTATCAGCAGCTGTCGTATGAACCAGTTATTATCTCTCTCAGAGCTCGAGGACTTTCCTATGCGAAGTTTTCGAGGAACGGTAGACCTCTTTGATCCTTGAATGCTCCTGCCCCTCAGGCAGCTGGGGTCCGGTTCCTGGAATACCTGGTGCTGCTGTGGAGATTGGAGAACCGACAGGGATCGAGACTCCACTCGGGGAACATTGCCCCGCGCGCCCACCCCTCCTCCCCACGTTCTTCTCCGCACGGGAAAGGATCCACAGGACAGGTTTCCATCATGGCCACAAAGTCCAGTGATTCTCAACGACCATGCCTTTGGTCTTTTCCCACGAAGCAACCCGCAACCCTTGCTTGGCCCACCAAGAGCCTCTTATCCCGCCAGGCTAAATGCGATCTTCCAACAGTCTCTCTTCTCCTTGTCGCCTGTCGCTCCATTGCGGCAGTCCTACGCGTAAAAAAGCGACTTCACCGCCCTGCAGAACTTTTACCAGGCCCAGCCCGTCTGAAGCAGGACGGCAGGCCGTTTCTTGTTTTGCTTTCAACCGAGATCTCTGGCAGCTAAAGAGACATCCTGATTGGAGGAAATTATTTTCCCGTCGCACATCAAGTAACCTACAGGAAGCACGCCCTCGCTGCAGCCTTTATTTCCAGGGCTCTTTTTTCAACATGGCCGTGATGAGCGTTGAGGCCCTGGGAAGGCTGCGAGCTCAGTGATGACACCGCCACAGCGTCTCAATGTGTCTATCAAGTTCAGGTTCCTATGTAGGTATGGTCTGAGTGCTCGGGACCAGCTCCAGAAGTCCCAAACTTTAGGTTGATCAGCAAACTGCGATGTCGATATCTGGTTTTGTGCCTTTCTCTCGCAAATACAGGTCTGCCATACCAGGTACGGATTTCTTTCAGATACCCTCATGCCACACCACACTGTGCTCTCTCACATGAATCAACTGTCAGCCTGAAAATCATGCAGCTGACAACTTTACCGGAATGCGTTTGTGTTCCTGGCTTCTGTGGGGTAAGGCGCTATGTAGACAGAAGCCATTTTCATTTGTGCTGTGGCGTCTTTCCATTTTTCTTCCTCCCCGCACACCATCTTACATAGCCCCGCAATTCTGCCGCCATACTCTTTCTTCCCGTCCAGCTGTCGGCCTAGAGCACACACTGCAGGCTCACTGGATGACTACCTACCTAGTTGCTCTAGTGTGCTTCTTGTTCAATTCAGCCGTTGTTGTTGGCAAATACAAGTGGGATGCTGGACTGTGCGGCATTTGGACCTCGCCCTCACTTTGCTTGTCCATGCACGTCAGTGCATGGTCTGATGTAGGATTGCCTTTCAAAGCACACTTCTGGCCTGCAACAAGAGACCTACATTGTCTAGATCTAGACTGGCATGGGAACCTGATAACGACCAACACGTGAATGAAACCTTCTTCATGTTCAGACTCTTTCTCACTCTCGTGAGGAGTCCCTCGATCTCCACCCAGACATCAGGCCAATGAGCATAGGCTTGATGCTCACGGGATAACTAGGCGGATGATATTAACAAAGCCTGCTACTACACAACAACTCATCCAAGTCATTGAGAGGACTGGGCATCAACTCACTGGGCTTGTCTGGTCATGACACATGCAGATATGCGTGATTTCTTTGCCCAGTTGACCTAACTAAGGCATATATTACAAGACTGTATACCTAACCGGGTAGCTTAGTTCCTGGACTACCTGCTTGGTTAGTGCCGTTCTGTCTGTTCCTCTCTCGGTACGTCTCACCCGTCGTTGCATGCAATCCTTCCCGTTTCTCTCCCAGAGTTTTGGACTCATCTACGCATTTCTTTTTGAGGCTATGGCTCTGGTGTCAAGCAGGATCCGCGGAGCTGTCTCGATGACTCGGGTCCTCTGCAGGCGACAGTCATACACCATTTTGTCATCCTCCTCTCATCCCTTCCCCACTGGTTAGTTTCGCTGAAAATTAAATCAATGGCACTTGCCGTATGGTCTTTGAAGTTCTGTCGGTCCTTTATAAGTAGCCATCTGTCCACTGTCCCACTCCCGCTGACTCCGGCCCTCTGCTACCCTTTCTTTACACGTGCTCACCATTACTCGAGCTTTGGTATCTTTGTCCCCTCTTGTTGCTTGAAAAACCACAATCCATCTCTCCCTGGAAGCATCTACGCTCTTCGTACCATCATGACTGTTGCCAACAATGCCACAAATGGTCATCGAAGCACGCGGAGGCCGCTCCCCTGCGGCATCTATGCTCCTACAATGACCTTCTTCGACCCTGAAACCGAGGACATTGATATTCCCACTATCAAAAAGCATGCCCAACGACTTGTCAGGGCTGGCCTTGTGGGCCTTGTTACCATGGGCTCGAACGGAGAAGCCATCCATTGCACACGGGAGGAGAAGTTAGCCGTCACACAAGCTACCAGGGAAGCTCTCGATGAGGCTGGCTTCACTGAAACCCCCATCATCATCGGAGCGACGGAGGGTAGCGTGCGTGGCACCGTTGAGCTGTGCAAGCTGGCATCTGAGTTCGGCGCGGACTACGCGCTGCTCTTGCCGCCGTCCTACTTCCGCGCCCTGATGGATGAACAAGCCGTGTATGACTACTTCGTCGCAGTGGCAGACGAATCCCCCCTCCCACTGATCCTGTACAACTACCCGGGCGCCGTGGCCGGCATCGACATGGACTCTGACCTCTTGATCCGCCTGGCCGCCCACCCCAACATCATCGGAACCAAGTTCACCTGCGCCAACACCGGGAAACTGACCCGCGTTGCGCTCGCCACCAACGCCAAGACCCCTTGGTCCGAAGGCTCCGGCTACATGGCCTTCGGTGGCATGTGCGACTTCACCGTACAGACGCTGGCCAGTGGCGGCAGCGGCATCATTGCCGGTGGCGCCAACGTCATGCCCAAGGTATGCGTTCGCGTCTGGCAGCTGTACGTCGAGGGCCGTAAGCAGGAGGCCATAGAGCTGCAGCGCATCTTGTCCAAATGCGACTGGGTTCTAACAAAGGCCGCCATTGCGGGAACTAAATCCGCCATCCAAAGTTACTTTGGATATGGCGGGTATCCCAGGAGACCGTTGAAGCGATTGGATAAGACGCAGGTGGCAGCAATCGAGGAGGGAATTAAAGAAGTAATGGAGATAGAGAAAACATTGTAATGGGGTGAAGCCGCTAAGGGTGGCGTTGTGAGCTCCAACAGGGGATTCCTTCCAGTTTTTTTTTTCTGGCAAACTGCAGCGATCCTTGGCGATTTTGCTGTGCACATGCTCTCAAAATAGACTAAAAGACAACATGATAGCTGTGCTTTCGTTTACGAGGAGCAAAAATGGTATGCTTTGGATCTAACAATCGCACATATGAACCTCGGTGGCTTAGGATACCTGGGAGTCAGCACGGGGCTTCCCGTGCTCTGCTCGACGATAGACCATGGCTTTTGTCCACATCGTGGGATTGAATCAGCCGTGTTTAAACCGTGAGGAATGTCTTTCAAGGGTGGATTATTATATGTTTCGGGAAGAGTTAATGTTGAATGTAAGGGTACTTGGCTGTTGAGTTCGAAGGGAAAAAATATTTTTTTGAAGGAACTTAAATTGAGTATTCTTGTTGCAGGGTTCGGCATCTGTTGTTCTGTGGCCACTTCCTGTCAGGTCAACAATCGGAAAGTACTCCGCGACGGATGGTGTATACTGGATTTCTACTGTGAGGTCGGCGACGGGATCTCCTCATTTCCCATTGTCCGATCAAATGTTGTACTTCTTCGGCCCCAATTGAGCCACACTCTCGTCAACCTCGTCTCCAAAGAGCATTCTTGCCATCAGATAACCGGTACCAGGCCCATTTTGGATACCCCAACAAGAATGGCCAGCAGCAACCCACAGGCCTTTTGTTGCCATTGGGCCGATGAGAGGACCAGTTTCTTCACCGTCACGCTTGTGTAGCGGTAAGTAGCACGCCTGGCGGGTCTTCACTGGTGCAGAAGCCAGTTGTGGCGAGATCGTCCCGATGTAGGCGATGATGTCTTCGCACCGGGACAGGTCGGTTTCGACTTCCTCGGCAGTAGGGGGAAGAGGAACATCGTTGTCGGTTTCACCTGCAAGAGATATCAGCCCTGGCTGTACTAAACAGGACAAGTAACGGAGCCATTGCAGTGGTGTTGCTGTACGTACCACAGGCATACACTTCTTTCCCAGGACGTGCATACACCTCGGGATCTACATGTCGTCCATGGCGCCGTCGTTCTCCCCTTGCGGCCATGTGCTCAGGAACCCACTTTGCAGGAAGCTGAATGCTGGTAAAAACGGCATACGGGCTGACGTCGGCTTCGAAGACAACGCTGTGTGCGCGGATGTTGCCAATCTGAGTCTGTGGCAAAAGTTTTCCCGTCCAAGGTCCGGCAGTGACGACTACGTCTGTTACATCGTCGATGGTGCGGATTTCGTTGGTAGCTCGGTCTTCGTACTCGACACTCTGGACTCGCTTCCCTTTCGCAATCGTGCCTTTTGTATTTGTCTGGCCCTCTGCATTTTCCTCGCCCTCGCTCTCACTCTCAACCTCACCAATCTTCATAACCTTTGCTCCTTCTCGGATGTCAACACCAGCTTGCTTTGCGAGCTCTGCGATCGTTTGGGTGAAGTACCGGGGGTGTACTTGAGCTGTTTCCGTTACCCCTGGGGTTCCCATCTCTTCGTAATGTGTCACTAGTCGGCCCTCAATCCAGTCAAGATCTGGTGGGAGGGGCGAGTCCTTGAGCAACTTCGCTGCGGCTTCGTCTTGCTTGGGCAACTTCTCCCAATACTTGCCCTTTTCCTCGAGTTGCGCAACGCTCTCCAGGGAAAGCTTTCCATTACCATCATCATTGTTCGGTCGTGAAGGAGGTGTAGGTACCCGCTTGCGCTTCCTCTCTTTCAGGTCGGCGGCCTTGACAACAGCATAGACACTCCCGCAACCCAGACCGCGTCGATAGCCCCATTTCTTCTCGCCGTCATGCTCGGCGGCCAGTTCTTTGTGCAAACGATAGGATAAAGGTACTAGGCAGTCCGGGTAAGCCCATAGAGCGAGCAGGCCACCTGCCTTGCCCGAAGCACCGGCAGCAATCTCAGTAGCCTCGAGGAGGGTAACGGTATGCAGTGCGGGGTTGAACTTGGGATGGCGAGTTATGTAGTAGGCCGTCGTGCATCCGATGATGCCACCGCCTAGTAGTCATTCACAGAATGCGTCAGCATATGCAGCTTGGACAGATGCTCAAGGAGATCCACGGATGAAACTTACCAACAATGACGATGTGCCTCCGTTCCTGCGTATCCATATCGCCCGGAGCTCTGCCGACGCCACGAGAACGACTGTTCCAGGTCACAGCGCCGGGCTTCCCAGGATGAATACGGCAACGATATGAACAAAGACAATTCGGTGTGGATTGATAGCTGTTAGTATCTCCTCTTCTATCATTCAAGAGACCGCATCAGTAGAAGATTTTAATATTGCCTGGATTCGAGGTAGGAGAGCAGTGATGCAAAGGACGAGCAAAGGCCCCTCCGGCTTCACTGTTCGTAACTTACAAGCCCTGCATCTGTAATTTGTAAAATACATCAGTCTTGGCCTTCATTCGGAAGCTTCTTAAGGCGGAGAATCCACGTGGCGAGACATGGAATCAAGCGTCTCACTGTTACAAGATTAACAGGGGCCCATCCAAGATGCGAGCGATCGCCCATTTTGGTGTGACACACAAACCCAGAAAGTCTATATGCTTCAATTCTTGGGACTTTGAGCTACACTGCAAGTTTTTTCAGTTTTTAAAGCTCAAACTCTCCCAAATAACATCGATAAATCTCTGCTATTTGATAGTAGTTTATCAAGATCTGTGAACCGATCAAGTACTCCCTACTACCTGACCACTTTATCTAGATTCTTACTACATATCCATATATTTCTTCTATTCTCCTGATAATATGCCTGCATTTTATCAGCACCTAGTAGTATACCTGGGGTAAACGGGGCCTCTTTCGACCACATCTTTCTGTCACACTCTCTTCATGTGCTGCTTTTGGTGGTGACAATGGAATGTGTGTCTTGGAATCGGCACACGGAAGTCTCAAAACCCCGAGACATGGAGGGGCTTACGAACTCCCATGGAGACGGACCAGGAGGGTGCGCTTGGTCTCCCGCTGCGATCCATGCTCTGGTCCTGACCCTCCCAGCAGAAATCCACACGTCTGGAAAATGCTGTTCCGACAGTGATTGATCGCCCAGCCCTTCCAACCCCAAGTACCATGTCGTAGTGCCGCTGGCCAATGGGATCCACAACAGCCGCTGGCCATCGCGTGAACTCCGTCTCGGATCACAAGCTCATATGCCCCACGTTTCCAAAGTTCCATCAGGTCGCAAGTTCCCACCTCGCACTTCGCTTGTTCAAATCCATGCTTCTCTGTTGCCACAGCTTGAAGGAAGCAGGCCTTCGCGTCTTGATTACTCGCCCCTTCATTGTACTATTGAAGCCATTTATTGCAACAAGTTCTGCTACTATCTCTTCTCCCAACGGTTCCATATCATCAGCAATAACACATAAGCGACTCCTCAAACGAAAGGCGCATCTGACCTGTGTCTTCAAACTCGACAAGTCTCAGGGATTTTCTGTTGCTCAATCTAGACTGCAGCCATCGGTGTTTCAAAGACCGCTCACAACCATGTCTTCTTTCTACGATTTCAAGCCTCTCGACAGTGAGTGAAGCCAAGTTCCACATCTTGTCTTCAATATCACAAAGCTCACGTTACATGTCTCAGAGACTGGCAAGGAAGTGGATTTGTCCAAATATAAGGGCAAGTTTGTCCTGGTTGTCAACACAGCTTCCAAGTGCGGATTCACCCCTCAGTATGCCGGCCTTGAGAAGCTGTACAAGTCGATCCGTGAGAAGCACGGTGACAAGTTCGAAATCCTAGGCTTCCCTTGTAACCAGTTCGGCTGGCAGGAGCCCGGTACCAACGACGAAATCCAGCAATTTTGCCAGCTCAACTATGGAGTCACCTTCCCCATCATGGCCAAGATCGATGTCAATGGCCCCAATGCCATCCCTCTTTATCAGTGGTTGAAGTCTCAAAAGCCCCGTTTTGGAGGCTATGTCGAGCGTGTCCTCTGGAACTTTGAGAAGTTTTTGATCGGGAAGGATGGCAGTGTCAAGGGGCGATGGCTGTCCGCTACCAAGCCAGAGTCGCTGGAGCAGACTATTCTGGAGGAGCTGGAAAAATGAAGTGTTTTTGAGTCAAAGATGATGGCGTTCGGAGTGAGGGGGGACAATAAGAAGTGTCGACAAGACTGTCTCGTTTGTTGGTGTCTTCCATATTCTTTATACCCAGCAGATAGGCCTTGTGCTTTCGCAAGAATCCAATATCAGTGCTTCCGCGCATTTGGCCAAAAGGATTTACAGCTGTTTATAAGCCAACCAGTGCCGGTAGTTGGTCATATGTTGATAACCGAATTACGCTCCTGTTTCCTACTAAAATGTTGTTGTCTGAGGACTAACCGAGTCAAGGATACCTACGCTCATTTCTAACCATACTCAAATCATTCTTGACAGTGTATCTCCCGTCTGACGTTAAGTACAACTGTCAGCATCTAACCTTGAGTTTTTCTTTGAGCTCACTGATAGTTCTAAAGTCGGTTACACTCCGGTAATCGGCCTGTCTCTCCCATATAAGTTGTGTCCAAACTGGCTGCGGAGGGATGCATGGCTTTGGTGGTGTTTTCTCGACTTCCTTGGGCATTGCCTAGTTCACAGCGATACTACCTATGCTCTTTCTCCGTCCATGCCTGAGGTCCCTCAGTATTAGTCCCACAGTAACCGTCACAATTTTGAATAGCATTATATATGCATTGTCAACTCATGTTCCATTACTTTATTACAGTTCGCTACACAACCCTGAACTTTCAAGACCCAATGTATTACTTGTGTCGATGCTCAGAATACTTGCAAGGCTCCATCACACCCATTTACCTGCTCTACGAAGCTTCCTCGACGCTCACGATCTTCCTCAATTCTTCATAAAAGTCACCTCTATCTACAATTATCCTGGATTTGTTCACTAATATTCCTAATTAAAACATACGGCTAGCTCAAGCATCGCTTGTCCTGCACTCCAATGAGATAACGGGCTTCCAATTACTCAACAAGGGGTTAATGTTCAGAAAAATTTGTCATCATTCCAAGTCAAAAAGTCTCAGTCAGTATTACACTTTTTTTTTCATCCTCGTGAGCATTGTCAGAAGCGACTCCGTTTTCAGACGTTTTCGAGGACGGCATTCTGCCTTGGTTTCTGGTATCAGGAACTTAACAAGTATACCAAGGCAACTGCCCAATTAGCTCTCTTTTATTCAATACTGCGACCGCAATAAGAGCACACCTATTACCTACGTCTCGATTCATCTGCACACGAGCATGGATCTTACCTATCTGCCCATGTTCGCGGAAAGATGTGTAACCTACAGCATTCTTTCTCTGTTCAAAACTGTTCCATGATGGTATATGTCTGACTCAAGCTGGATACTGCCTCTCGTACTACCAATGTTTGTTATTTATTTGCATCTTTGTTTACTAAGCCGGATAGTCTGTCTCGATACCACAACAAGGCTCACAGATACTTTAGAAGAGGAAAAAGAAGACGAACCAACGATTATGACGTATAGGTACTCAACAGGTATACATAGCCTTTGAGCGGTTTCGCACTCTGCCACCTTGTTCCAAATCAGCTGTGATTCTCCAGATCTTTGATGAAACAGGGAACCACATGCTCCTCGATGTGCAATAACTGCGTACGATGCAGAGAATATGTTGAACCAACTCTTCAACAGCCGGCAGCCTCTGAGTCAAGATCCTTACACGGAGCTTGAATGTTGAAACATCGACCTTGCTTTTTTTTTCAATATCACAAGGTCTACTACCATATGAGCATAATAATGTAAACTCCGTAGAGGTTGTTGATAAGAAAGCATACTACTCCTGGGAAATATCGAGTATTCCCTTTCTGGCAGCTGCATTGCTATTGAGCAAGGAGACAATCACATGTCCAGCGGTTTAGATATCAATAAAAGGAAAACTTGAAGACCTCAACCCATGCAAATTTTATGCAATGTCCTCCAAGTACCCCCACGCAATGGTCCAGACATCTGGAGGATTGTAAGTGTTGAATTCTGATCACAATGGAGACAAACCCACCAGCAGATAAGCCGAGACATATTAAGACACCCACTCGAACGGCATGGCAACAGACATGACTCTATTACATCAGCCTCGCAAACACCGCAACTTTTGTCATACCTGATGAAGGGAGTTAACTTGGTTGTCATGGCGGCATGTCGTTGGGCCCAAACCAACAGGGACAATCCCACTACGTTGACGTACGGTGAGTTGGAAGAAAGTCAAAGGGACTGGTTTGGAGGAGTGAAACACAGTGTTGTGTGCAACTTAAAAATCGACCTGTCTGCCTGCTTTAACACAAGGATGCACTTGGTACACCGACATATCAGTAGGGCTAGTTGCGATGTCTCACAAGTTACCTTTGAGCCGAATGTGATGCTATTCATAGCCCGGCGCGCCTGCAACTCCTTAAAGGGATTTGCAAGCCAGGGAGGGAAAGAGTGGGAGGGGGAATATTCTCCGCATGATCCAAGAAGGGTGTCATCACCTTGCAGTGAACCCCAACCCATATTGTGGGTTACCTAGGTCCCTACGTAGGAACTGGACCTTGATGACGATGCTGCAGTTTATGTTCAACTTTCATCCACGTATACTCCCATAAGTTACCTAATGTGTCATCCTAGCTGTGGAGATCTGGGGAAACAACACCGCTTGACAAGCTTGAAACCTGGGTTGAGTGCTGTTGCGAACCGGGGGATGACACTCGACTCCGAGGGACTGGGAAAGAACATAAGGACCACGACCCGTGGATATCCGAATCCTCTCGAGTTTCCAGGTTGTCGGGGAAGAGGAGTCAGGCCTGGGGGATGCTGTCGTGACAGAGAGGGATGATTCCCCAGACTTTCCCCACAACCCTGGTAAAATTACTGGAGAATGACGGGTTGGGAAGATTAAGTCGTACGTAATATCTGAAGACTTTTGGTCCCAGAACACAGCGACTACATCAACTTGAGGTGCCTTCTTTTACACATTTGGAGAGCGAGCAAGTGATACACTCAGGCCCAACTGCCTGGGATGTTTCAGTTTCTTTCATCGGCGGGGTGCGATACCAGCTTGGTTTTCAGGGAACACCCAGTCCGGCACCCCAGTGGTGAAATAGGGCCAACATCCAGTAACTCTATCTCAACGGGATTATGAATGATGGAACTGTGACTTTTTGATAACGAGCATGCTGGGCTCGAGCAGGATGAGAGGCTCTCCTAAGAGAACATGCCACCACTAAGCAGTGGCGACATATGGAGGACAGGCCTGCCAAGCCAAACAAGCAACCAAACAGAATCAGCAAACCGATGGGTCGACGAACGACGGCAGAAGCATCAACCGCTGCGCCACGTTCCTGGCTTCCGACCCCTCGGTCACAAACTCGGTTAGACCCAGAGCGCCAAGCTGCGGGGGGGTCTCTGGGGACGTGCGCTTCGAACGTCGTTCTGCCGGGGAGTTGAAATCGAGAAAAAATCGACACTTTTCCCCGTGAGGCAAGGCGCGTGCCAAGATTGCAACGTCCTAACCCCCGGGTGGTCCAATTCCATATCTCATCCCCTCTCCCACATCTTACCCCGCCCACACCTCTCGGAGAGAGCCGCTTGGCGATGGTGATGGAGGAAAACTTCCCGAAGTGTCGAGCAAAAAAATGTCGACCGGTACCAGTAGGGCAAGATAAAAGCTGGCTGCTGTGTTCTGTTGGAAATGAGAGTAAACTGGGAAAAACAGCGTATGGCTCTCGTGTTTTGAGTTCTTACATGTACTTTCATCGTGGGTAAAGGAGGGAGGGCTTGGAGGCCCTCGTGCTCTGTGCTGCAGGAAGAGACAATTAATTCTCGGGATGCCCTCGTCTCTCACAGTCCAGCTCGCCAAGCTCTCAGAGTTGTTAGTGGGAAGAGAGAAGGATGGCGGCTTGCAGCGTGATGGCGCAAGCTTCGTGCCGCGTGCCACAGTGGCCACGCTCGGTGCTGTTGCCCGCTGGGCCCAGTGTTCTAAACAATCGCTGAGGAGACAAGGTATCTGGGCTGGTGACATTTGCTGGCCAACTCCTGTCATTATGAACGATGGCCGACATGGCTTGAAAAACCTCGTGATTGCGTTTCGTGAGGACCAAGCTAAACGCTTTCGGGAGGGCTACACTTGAGGAAGGCATCCTCCCCAGTTCTGAGCTCGATGGGGGCTTACGCTGAGATCAGGCCAGATTGCATACTTGCGGAGGCTTCTCCTGTTCATCATTCGCTGGCTTCATAGGATCGCGGCGGACGGTTGCCAAGCCCTGGGCAAGCAAGAAATCCCCCCCGCTGACAGACAACGGGAGCCAACTTGCGGCGCCGCGCTGGCGTGCAGAGCAAAAAGGGCCGTTTCCTCAGCCATATCTCTTGGCATTTTAGTGGGTACTCAAAATCTGTCATTTTCATTGGCTGCATGAAACGGATCGGGACAAGAAGCTCGGCCAATCGGACGTGCATGCATTGTCGGCCTTGGCCCAAAAATGGCCTAAAGTCCGCCCCTCGCCAATCTTTGCGACCTCCAAGCACGCAACGCCAGGAGCTTTCTTTGTGAGTTGGGAACACTTCGCGGGCGATCACCGTCCCAAATCTCCTAGCTTGCAGGGACCCAGGCGTCAGCACATGCAGGGACGCCGCTTTGCTGGATTTGCTGGATTGCTGGATCTTTAGATCGCCCCTCAGGCGCTTGCAACTGAGCGAGTCACATCGTGCTTCTCCTGATCTCCTCATCGTTCGTCTCCGTCTCGACTTTGTCAGGTACCATCGGTTAGCACTAGCTTGCATCCTTTCTACGGTTCGGCCCTCGATTCGCGATCTAGGCGCGTTCTAGCGCTCGAGCGCGAAGACCAGCAATCTCCGTTCTCAGCTCTGTTCCATACAATACTTATTACCAACAAGGAGAGCTTGGAAACTGACATGTGAAAGTGATAACCTCGCTGCTACCCTTCGAGAACAACCTAGCCTTCGGTTGTCGGCAGCTTTCTGTGGAGACTAGATAGTTTAAGCTCGGGGGACCGTTTCATGCGCGATCGCGATACGCAGCCGACCGTTCCGGCCTAGTATTGTCAAAGGTGTTCTCGTCAACACCCAGGCACGCTCCGGCGTCCGCGTACCAAATCATCGAGATGTAGCTATCTAGGTTAGATCCTACCGACTCATCCACTGAGGAACCCTGACAGTTCCGGGCATAGGTAGGGCGTTGTGTCAGATTATCACGAGGCAGGCGGGGCTGTTCGAGACACCTTTCCAAGCAAGCTTGTATCCAGCTTGTATACATCAACAGGTCTCATGAAGCAGACAAGATATGGGTTAATGACGGTCACTACAGGATAATGGGTGGAACCATATCTCAACCTACGTATAAATCATAGCGTTGTCGTGTAACAGTGGCAAACCAGTTAAGTGGACTTGAGTTGTTGCAATTTTGAGATAAGCAGCAGCAACTGGAATTACCTACCGAGCTATCGGTGTTCATGCCTGTCATCATACAGGAGATGCCGGGCGGCTGCTCTCATGCTGGTAAGCAAGCCTAGGTTGTCAAAAGCGACCCCTCAGGGATCAGGCCTCATCATCACCGAGGACAGAGCCGCTGAAAACTGGGCAATGGACGTGATGGATGGAAACTTTACCCACCGTCACCTAGGATCTAGGTATTCCTTGCTTCCATGTCAGGGGTAAAGGGTAAAGGGAGGGGGGGGGAGGGGGAGAGGGGGATGAGGCTTGACGATACTTGTGTCTCACCGGCGGCGGCTGCGGTGACTCCGAGTCGCCAGCTGCGTTATCAGCCCCGTGCGACATGCTGTCTAAGCCGAGGAGCTTGGGAAGCCATATCCCACGGGAGTTTTGTGATTCAAGGGAGCCAAGGCCGTGTCCTGGAGACCGAGGACAACATGGACGGGGTTCGGTGTTTGGACAGATTTAGGCTGTCATCCAGCGATGGCAGTGTATACATAGTCCGTCGGTAGCCAATTCGGACGGCGGGCAATGCTAGCACAGCTACCTGAATGCCATTCCAGCATGATTCGCGAGGCCTGGCCAACGTTCCTAAAATCTATGCATTGTACGACTTTCGACGCCGGCTCTGCTGCCGAGTTTGGCCGACTGGATGTTGGGTGGCGGCTTCGCTGGTGGCGTCGACTGGCGATGTAGAAGATCTATCATCTATCATCGTCTTTCCCTCAGCGCTTCTACAAAGCCTAATGACAGCCCCTCCTATCGAAAACGGCAGAGGACGAGGGGCTGAATTCACGATCCATCTCGTTGTCCATTACGAGTGCTGTCAGTGGTTGGTTGTTGACATCAAGCCGCAGAAAGCCGTGATAGCATAGAGTAGTGTGAAGTACACGATACAGAATGATACGGCCAGCTGTGCCTCGTTGGAAGTACTGAAATCGAGATATAACATGTTTCCTTATCGGAAGGTTTTTGAGAGGTTGTATTCAGGGTTTTTGACTTGGCTTCACTCGAGATATGCCTGTGGGCGTGTTGCTGAGAGACAGCAGATAAATGACCAGAAAGAGCAGTTGCAAAACTTGGAATTGTCCAAGGCACTGGGCAAAGAGGGTCTAGATTGTTGCTCACAGGCAGCAGAGAACAGCAGATAGCAGATAGCAGCAGCCCTGCATGTGAGTTGGCAACTGACCCGGCAACCAAGATTCTGAGTCGCTGCGTATATTAACGGCTGCCACCATGTTGGCGACGAAAAGGCGTTTTGCCCAGTTCTGTCCAAGTCCGATGACCCCCACGGCGGATAAGCGTGGGGTTGCTTCGCGTGATGGGTGGTCTCAAATTGAATTGGCCGTGCTGCAGCCAGGAGCCCAGAACTGGTGCACTGGTGCGTCCCGGAGTTTGGAGATCGGTAGCAGACCAAAATAAACACCAAACAGACGGAAATGCCGTTTCAAACAAAACACGAATATTGAAGCATCTAGCATCCGAGCTACAAGACGTGTCCGATATTGCATGGCGGACTAGCGCACGGGAGATGACAGGCTTTTAGCTTTGTCATGCTGTGAGGCTGATGGGCGAGGCGTCACACCGTTGCTGGTAACGCTATCTCGGACACGACTGTTGTTTTCGGCGAAAAGGGTTGCAGCAGCTCCATCGAGTCCGCGAAGCTTTGCGATAAGCAGCCGAAGCAGTGGAGAATTGAAGACAGGGAACGGGGGGGCACGCCGCCGAGAGAAAAGTGCAGTGGAGGAGGGCACAGAGAGCAACAAGTCAGAGATCGCGGTCGCGTTGACGGGAGACGGGTGACGGAGCAGCCCCTAAAAACTCTGCCGAAACCACGGCCTGCTCGCAGACGAATTCAGTGGACATACATAATCATTCATGACCGTGAGGCCACTGCTGGCTTTAGCGCAGTGCCGGAGCAGTGTCATTACTGGACCGCGTGCTTCAGCGCTGGAGAAAATTCGCCATAGACTGGTGATATCGGAAATAATGGTAGGACCCAGGTTTGGTTGCAACGCTGCAGTGTTATGCGCTGTGTGTCATGATGATGATGATGATGATGATGAGGGAGGGTGTGTGTGTGTATGTCAAGTCAAGTGTAGTGAGCCTATGGACGGTGGAGGTATTGAGAAGGCAAAGACAACCTGCTTGTGCGCAACAGCCTTCCATTGTTGTACGAATTACAAGCCTCGCACTTCGAACTGCAGTTACTTTGGGCTTGCTTGTCTCCAGCCTTGCACGTGTCCGTCCTCTGAGGCATGGAATTACCCTACCCATGAACCCATGCACCCATGATGGAATGCGCTGGGTAAACAAGCACGCGACATAACTAAGTATCGACTTACAGCACGAATTACTCCGTACACCCTCGACAGTCAACACAATTGTCAAATTTCCTGTTTCCTTTGCCGGTGTTTGGGCCTTGCAACAGACCACTACTGATCAGTCGGAAATGCTAGGGGCAGAGAGCCCTGGGGACAAACCACCCCCCCCCCTTTCTGCGAAAGGTCTTTGTCTTCTCACCCTTCCAAGGTTGCATCGAGTAGCTAGCTGTCCACACGCACAACCCACACACAACCATGGCTCCGCTGGCGTCACTGCAATCAGCAGTGCAACATTCGACGCTGACCCTGGCTTCGAAGCGGGCATTTGCGCCCACGCGCAAGGTCTCCCATGACTTCCAGCCTTGGGTGCTTCGACCCGGCTGCACGTGTCTGGGGACGGAGCTGCGCGTTGCCAGCTGGTATGTAAGGGGTTGTCTCTGTAGTTCCTGTCTACGAGACTCCAGCGACGGTCGGAAGGGCCTACGAAAATGGAAGCGCGCTGGAAGCTTGCAAAGCGGGCTCGTTGCCCGCCGGTCTCCACGACAACACGGCACCAGCATGGTTCTTTCACCTTTTTTGTGGGTTTCTGTCACTAGCACCCGAGGTTATCGCATCGATTGCACGGAAGAGCTGTTTCATGTGCATTTGGATGCAAAACGCTCCATTCAATTTTTCAGCGGACGCACAACTTGACCTAAGAAAGAAGAGATTAGAGTGCGAGCAATAAGGCACCACAGAGTGTCACGGGTCGGGTCCGTAGCTTTGCTGCGGTCGCTGTGTTACCGGGCACCCAGCGTGTTGCTTAGTAGTGTAAAAGGTTGCTGCTGTGCCGAGCGCTGGAACCACCAATCCAACACCCTCTATTGCGTTCAAGTAGTTCCGAAGTGCCTGCCCGTGGAGCCTACTTAGGCTGTCCAGCAGGAAACCTTGGGACCCTGGCCTGTCGGGGTCTTGGCTCTTGATTGGGCATCGGGGCGTGGGATTCGCCGACCCCTGCCCACCTTCACTCCCCTTGTCCATCTACCGTTGCACCACTCTCTTGCTCCAGGGCCCCAGGGCCCCAGATCGCTGGCGAGGTACCTCGGTGTACACCACGGGCGACTTGCCCTTGAAAGCATTGGGGGGGAGGGGATCGCATGGACTCTTGAGGAGCAGGACCTCAGGCATGGGGGCCGGCTGTAAGAGGGAAAAAACGCATTTCCCATTAAGAACGTGCCCATAACTGCTGTTGGCCACGCGACTGAGCTCTGCACGTCTCCCATTGTCTCTTATACCTGCTCCATCTGCTTTGCTCGCTACCCTATTTTTTTTTTCAGTCTTGACTCTCCCTCCCTTTTGACCCAGCTCCTGTTTCCCATTGGCACTCACCCAGTGTGTGCTTGATACTGCCCATATTACCCCTATTTACCCGCCCAAATAACACTCCCGCTCACTCGCTCACTGAACGCCAAACCCCTCATCTCACTCCGTTCTCTCTGTCGCCCCTCTTGCCTGGCTTTGGCTATTGATCTCACCCCCCCCCCGAAGGACTCTCGGGTCACTGGCCGCCGCAGAAGCAACTCCGTGAACTCACTCTTTGACCGCCGGCCGTTAGGATAACCGCAAGCATGACTGCCCCTATCACCACGCCGGCGGCGTCGACGCCAAAGGAGGCGGCGTCAACGAGGAAAAGGAGGAGGAGGGCCCCCGCCGGCGGAGCTGCTGATGACTGCTTCACCTGTGCGAAGCGGAATGTGAAGTGCGATAGGAGGAGACCTTATTGTTCGCAGTGTTTGGAGATTGGCAACGAGTGTTCAGGTTACAAGACGCAGCTCACATGGGGAGTTGGCGTCGCCAGTCGGGGGAAGCTCCGTGGGTTGTCTCTGCCTATTGCAAAAGCGCCTCCTGTGAATCCTCCTAAGCCTGCGAAGGCACCGGCACCGGCGTCTTCGACGACGCGGCGCTCGACGACGACAACATCGACAACATCGACAACAACGACCACCAATCCTGCCACTACCACTACGACTAATCCTGCTCCTACCCTCCCGACTGCTCCATGGCCGGCAGAGCACGATGATCGTGCTGGAAAGGACGAGATAGACATGGCTCACCATCATCGGAATCCCTCTATGCCCCCTGTGACGTCGCCATTTCACCCTTACGATGTTCCACCAATCTCCCAGCCGGAACCGGCGCCGCCACCGGGCTGGACTCACATTCCCTTCACTGCGAGCATGCCCCCGAATCCGAGTGACACTACGAGATTTGCTCCCCCAAGAGGACTGCAGATTCCTGTCACGACTCCGAACGACATCATGCAGCGGGAGATGATCCAGACGCCTATCGACGCCATGAGCGACATGGATTACATGTCACCCATTGCCCATTCGTTCCCCCGAGATGATATTTCCACCTTCGTTCACAGCCCGATGGTTTACGACAGCTTCCCTAGCCATACCTCTCCGATCCCCCAGTCACCAGTCGCTTCCATCATGATGGAGCAGACTCGGGCGCCAGCCCCCTGCTCCAGCTTGGTTTACGCACCGCCTGAACTACCGTCGAGCTTGCAGTCTCACATGTCGCATGTCGACAGTTTGGATGCCCAGCTGAGCCGGAAGTTTCCTCCTGAGTGCGATGTGATGAGTGAGTCAAAGCCGATGCCACCACGTTGCTCCTCCTCCTGGCAAAAGCTAACCCCGGGACAATCAGTCCCTGGGACACCTGATCTGGACACCACATATAGCTCCAGTGCTCAGTCGTATGGCCCCTTTTTGTCATCCTCGTCCAACACTGACGAGGAATCCGTCTCTCAAAGCGTTCCGGATCGGAACCCGGTGCCGTGGCCCGGGCCTATGTCGATCCCCTCGCAACCTTCGTCTCCGGTCTTGCAAGTGAGCCCAGATCTGATTAACAAGATACCTTTTTTCATGGATTATTACGAGAAGACCATGTGTCCAAGCATGGTGTTCATCGATGGGCCTGGTAACCCGTTCAGAGACCATATCCTCCGTCTCAGCAGTACTAGCCGGAGCTTGCAGCATGCTATCTGCGCTCTGGCTGCTTGCAATCTGAGGATGAAGCGGAAGCTCAGCCTCGGTCTCCACGGCAGGGATGGCGAAAGGAGACTGGACATGAGCCCGATCGACAGCGGGTCCAGCGTGCAACCCAAGGATCAGTCGCTTGCTGAGGAGTACCAACACCGGAACCTCGCGGTGCGACTACTGAACGAGCAGCTGAATGACCCAGAACGGTCGACACACGATTCTGTCCTTGCCACGATTCTCTTGCTGTGTCACTACCGAATGGCTGAGTCTGGGGTTGCCAAGTTCCAGACGCAGTTCGCTGGTGTCAAGAAGATTCTGGGTTTGAGACAAATGTCCCCATTCCCGGCCTCGAGGGAATCGGCATGGATGGAAGCTCTCTTCACCTACCTCGACGCTGTGTCCGCCAGCATTAACAACAGAGAGCCCCAACTCAGCAACTCACTGTGCTCAGTACACCCTGACTCGAACCCCCTGCCCCTAGGCACCGAGAACTTAGTTGGCTGCGACCGCGAGCTTTTCAAGACTATTGTCAAGCTTGGTCGCCTGAACATGCTCTCGCAACACCGTCCGGTACAGAACGTGTTTTCCCCTCCGCCTTCGCTCTCACGTACCCAATCATCTCCGGCACCCGATTCTCCTCTGGGCCCAGCGCTCAAGCCGGCCCCGCCCATGCTTGGCGGTCATGAGCGTCACCACAGTATCTTTGGCGGCGCTCCTCATCCCCTTAGCACTAGCATCCGCTTCGACAGTACCGGTTTCAGCACTGCTTCCATGGACGACGAGGATCTCCTTGGCACTTCGCTCCAGTCCCAGACAGCCTATGACGACCCACGAAGTCTGTTTTGGCGCGAGTGGAAGGAGGCCCGCATGGCCCTGCAAAGCTGGGAGTTTGATTCGGCCCGTGTCCGCGCATCGCTCCAAGCGGCCTTATCACCATCCTCTTCATCGAATCCATACCAGATGCTCCCCAACACATCCTCGCAACTCCCTGTCGTCCCGACAAGCGCCCAAGTCCGCGATCTCAACTCGCTCAGCGAAGCCTTCCGTTACGCGGCGCTGCTCTACACAGAGCGCTTGGCCAGCCCCCACGTGCCCTCCAACCACAACACTTTCCGCAACCTGGTCAGCCAGGTTGTCTACTACGCTACAAGCCTAGAGGCCGGCAGTGCGGCTGAGAAGTTCTTGCTGTGGCCGCTGTTTGTCGCCGGAAGCGAGTGCGTCAACGAGCTGCAGCAGAACATTGTACGGTCTAAGTGCCGCGATATCATGGCCCGTAGCGGCTACATGAACAACCTGGCGGCGCTGGACATCTTAGAGAGGCTGTGGGCTGGTGAGTGTCGGGACACTCTGAGCAGGAATGGAGTTGTGGGAGCCATGGGGATCCCTGGGGTCGTAAATAACAGATCTGGGCCTTTTAACTGGTCGAAATGGATTAGCGGTCCGGGCGTTGATGTCGAGTGGATTATGTTTTGATGTTGATGACACAGTTGATGATGAACGGGCATTTGTCTTAGGGGATAGACGAGGGGTTGAAATACGAGGGATGGTTGATCAGGTATTGTACTTGGCTGGGCGCAATATGTTGGTTTATGGTGATATAGAGCGGGAGGTTTTGCTGAAAGGTTGGTTCACTTCCAGGCTTTTGCTACGGGTCGTCTGATTTCCTTTGTCCTCAGTCTATCAACATGTCTTAATTTTTGATTCTGTACATCTATTATGCATACCCCTGGCGGAGTATCTTGAAAAGGGCTCATTTCCATTGTTTGGGCGCTCAGGAACATTCAGGTTACTATGATCTTGTCTACACAAGGTATATAGCGGACAGATTCCTTTTGTCAAAAGAAAAATATAACGAAGTCATGGACTAATTCCCTCATACCTGCCCGGTTTGCTCTATTTTGATAAATTCGTGATGTTTGACGCTATCCGTTTGCATGGGCCACGGGCTCCCTACCCGGACAGGGTGGTCCTGAGGACAATGACCGCCCTGGGATTGCGCCATCGACTCCTCTCCTGCACAAATGCGACGACAGGAAGCAGATGTATCGTTCTTGCACCTTTTTCTCAGGCACGTTCAAGAAGCGGCGGTCCCTGAACAGGCAGGCCAACCTGGGCAGGAAAGGGCCTTGTTGGGGGGGGGGGGAGCGTCTCCTCCGTACCTGAGCATGCAACCTCCTTGGCGGTTTCTGATCGGCCAGGAGGTGTCTGAGAGCTTCCCGATTTCTACAGTTGCATCCTAGGTCGGCTCGGTGGGCGTTTAGTACATAGTGGGTTACTACGTGGTCGTTCTAGGTCGCAGAACCCGGGGGCATATGAGGCTATCATAAGTTTGATAAGTATTTTTGCTTGCAGTCACCCACGGCCCGGGATTACCTGCGCACAAGTGGCTGCCCACAATCGGTGAGGGCGGATAACGCCGTTAGGGACCAGCCGACAGGAGAGTAAGAACACTGTGTAAGCAGATCGTATCGGTGATCATCTTACTCGATAGCCACACCACCCGCTATATCTCTGCGGGGAGAGCTGGTTTCTGGAAAGAAAGGAAGGAATCTAGAAGGGGAGATTGTTGAAGCTGTGCAGTCGGCCACCACCATCCTCCAAGACCAAAGCTTGATGGGCCACCCTACCATTCGGTTACCGAAGCCTCCATTGGGTAAGTCCTCCTATGTACAAGTGAAGGGTAGTGTTCGCTGCATCATGCATCGGCATCCCAAAGTCTTGATGACAACAAACGGGTACGAAAGTCTCTTTCAATACACCAGGTATTAGATAATAATTCAAAATCATACAGTTACTACGGGAGGCTTTGCATGGGGACGCAGGTGATATACAGTCTGCCGCTGCAAGGACTAACGTCCAATTGCAACGGTGTTTCCGTCTCTGCTTGCGTGCGTGAACCGATCCCACCTCAGCTAGACCTGGGAAGGAAGGAAAATAATAAGCGCCATACCACCTCCAACGTCGAGCTCCTCTCCCGTGTTGTTGCGCGCGGGGTCGTGTCGCGACTCGCCTTGAACATCCAGGGATCGAGTGGCTTGCGTCGGTCTCGCTGCTGCCGGATCTCTACAATGAGATCGCTCAAGTAGGTAGAGAGAAGTAGTGTAAGGCTAGCGCAGAAAAATAGAGTTTGGTGCGAGTGGTCGCACTAGCTGCGCCATGAAGCAGTCCACAACGTGGGGGCGTGTTGCTAAAAGGGGACCGTTTGATGCCCGCTGCTTCACTGCTTTTCCTTCATCAGACGGAGGTGGCTGCCAGAACTGGGGCCGAGCTTGATAACAACATCTTTGTTTCATACGCTCCTGTCGGCAAATGTCACTACTTGGTGCAGAGGTCAGGCCAGGATTGTGTAAAAAGCTTTGCTAGCACTGATTGCATCATCGGCTTCATTCAAGCAGAAAACGCTCAACCGCGAGCAGGAGGCATGTTGGTGATACAGATTTGGCTTATTGGCGATTGGCCGAAGCAGAAGTTTTAGAAACGATACCTAGGGGTCAAGATCAAAAGGAAAACCAACTACTCGTGGCTTCGGTTCAACTAGCGGCAAATGGCGTCGTTGGAGAATCCCATTGGCGGTGACTTAAAATCCTGATCATTGGGCAGATACAGAAGTGTGAAGCTCATCCGCTCGGTATGCAAATTGGAAACAGTTTTCGGATTGAGAGGAACGAACAAAGGCGAAAGATGAGGTGAGGTGGACTTCCCGTGACGACTTGGAGAACACGAGTCCTAGGTTGAGGATGGGACGAATGCCAAGCACCCAAGGCTGACGGCTGTCAAACCTATGCGCGGCTGTTATCAACTGTTTGCTGATAAGCAGAGACCCCACCACAATTGCTATCTTATCGGAACGAGATCCAGAAATTTTGGACTCGTGGTCGACGGGGAGTAGAGGAGAAGCTCCTCTTGTCAGTCTCAACAACAACAACAGTCCCCTGTATAATTCCATCGCATAGGCACAATGGGTCGCGAACTTCAGAAGCGTAAGAGGCGCTCCTCGCGCCCTACAATTCGCATGCCCAACAGGCGGAAGAAAGCTCTAAATCCTGCTGGCAACAACATCATCGCAAAGAGCTGGTGCGTTGCCTTTTCCTTTACACTGGCTGCTCTCACTCATTCAGTGTTGGTCTGACGTCGCATGTTTTCTTACAGGAACAAAAAAGAGACTCTTTCCCAGAATTACACCCGCTTTGGCCTGGTAGCCAAGCTGGGTAAGGCGACTGGTGGTACGGCCCCGGGCAACAAGGCTCTGCTCAAGGACCTCAACGACCCGCTGGCCATCAAGTCAGGCGACCAGGGCTTGATCAAAGTCAGCGAAGTCAAAGTCGAACGCGATGAGCAGGGCCGCATCAAGCGCGTGGTGCGAGACAATAACCCGCTAAACGATCCCCTGAATGACCTCGACAGCGATAGCGAGTCCGACGCCGTCCCGCAACAGCAGCAGCAAGAACAGCCCGTTCTGAACAACCACATCCGACAGCACGACTTAGAGTTAGAGAATGTCGCAGCCGATGTGGATGATGAGTCTAAACCCGAGGTGCTTCGCGCTCTGGAGCGTGAGGCTACGCGGCCGGTCGAGAAGACCGTACGCCATCAGAGCGAGCGGGAGCGTGAATGGCTTCAGCGGCTTGTGGATAAGCATGGCGACGATGTTGCTGCTATGGCTCGTGATAGGAAGTTGAATCCCTACCAGCAGACTGCTTCGGACATCAAGAGGAGGTTGAAGAAGGCGGGGCTTCTGTCTGCTTAATAAAGAAAGGTTGCCAAATTTATGTGGCCGGGAAATGTTGTACTCGCTGGGCGGAGTGATTGCGACAATCCATCCAAGGAGGTGGCCGATATTTACTTGGGAGAGTAACCCGGGAGACAACGCTGCCACTTTTCAGGGGGAAAAAAAGTGAAGGGTCCTGAAAGACGGGAAGGGGGTCATATTTACACCATGGGATGGCGTTTGGCGTTTCTACGAGTACCTATCTGGAGAGTATATAGTCCTAAGAACAATATAACAACATACAAGCTGGGACCGGCATCAAAGGTCGATATCAATGATGCGAGAAATTTCCTAATTTCATGGTATCTTTGATCCACCTTCTATGACTCCGTCAACACCAAGGTAAACCGGACCAGGCCAACCCGAACAGCCGAATGTGCTAGAAAAGACTGACAGACGTGAAACATCAGAAGAAAGCAGATATCCGCACACCAGCTATGCCCTCCGATACTACTATCGTCCCCTGTTTCTTCAACAAAGGCCGCATCCGAGATCGCACAATTACCAACCGTCCCCAACACGCCAGGTGCCATGTCCCCCCGATTGCATCGAGCAAGACATATATAGCACTCGCTTCCATCAACAGATTTTCGTTTACCTCCCATCAATTACCGAGCGATCCGGTCATAGTCAGCATCCGGGAACCTCACCGGCTGCGAACTATCGGCGTACGACACCTCAGAGACTGCACCCGGAGCAGGCGAACCGTACCTGCCACCCGCAGCCGACGCCCGGCCAGAGTGGTACTCAGTATCGACGTCAAACGGGCTTGATGCCTGGTGCTGACGGAAGGGGTTGTCACGGTACGAGCTGCCGACCGTGCTGGCCGCTCCGCCGGGGCCGTACGGGTCAGAATAATCGGAGCGCGGGGCTGGGGGACGAGTGGATGCAGTGTAGTCTGTGCGACCGTCCTCGTGGTCGTCATCCATGCTGACAGGCGCATAGGCCTCCTCATCATGAGGAGCGAGGGAGAAGGCGGCCTTGTCGGGGTCGATGTTCTGGTTCTTGGATTGAACACGGTCGTAGCCCGGCAGCCGGTTGTACATCTCCCAGTACTTAAGGGTCCAGATGCTAATGAAAGTTGTCACCCCAAAGAAGAGGCTGTGAATAGTAGGGTCGGTTAGTTGTTATGGTCTTGGACAAAGCCGACTAAAGGAGGGTTGCACAGCAAGGGGATTATGTTGGGGAGTCCTACAAGACGAAGAAGCCCAGGCCAACGATAGCCTTGCTAATGCCGCACACTTTCCCGCAGAATCCGGCCGAGTTGTAAGAGGCCTGGGTCGCAAAAGCCGAGAGCCAGAGAATGGTGTAGAGGGCATCCACCGTCACCATAACGCGGGGGTTGGCGATCTTGCGTGTCCGCGAGTGGCGCGGGGCCATGGTCAGGTAGATCCAGGCGGGGATGGTGAGGAGGGGCTGGTTGGCAACCGAGGTATTCGTCAGAATCCGAAGTTCTTCATACGAGAATTTAAGACCAAAAGGGGAGATGATAGGGGATATGCATACCATTGCGAATGTCCAGCCATTCCTGCCGGTGATTTTGGCGCTATCATGCCGGAAGACGGCGATCTCGAGGCACCACAGCACAAAGGCAAAGATGATCTGGAAACTGTGGAAAAGTAACTTGTATTTTGGGATCCCTTCAGCGTTGACCTCAAAGTCATCCCACATTCTGCCAATGGGTTTGTGCGGTGTCGGCGGGTGATGGCGATAGTCGAGCTTCTTGTTGTGGTTATTGGGTTGTCACAGAGACGATGTTGACTTCGCGCTGGGTCGCTGGCACAGGGACCAGGTCGCAAACTCGACAACACTCGGCTTCAAGAGCGCGGGCTCAGATGCAATACAGAAAACTATTTCAAAGAACGGGTGAGAGGGAACAAACAACACAAGCTTGCTGACACAAACAAAGGCGTAGAATTTAGTGTTGGGCCAGAAACAGGACGAAAGTAGCAGAGCCCTGAGGTCCCAAGTCCCAAACAGGATCCCAGCCCGCAGAGGTCACCAGGGTCGCCAAGGCAGTCCTACAGCTCCCAACACAGCCCACCCAGCAACGCAGCCTGCAGCGCGCTTGGCTTCTTTTGTCCCAGCGACGCGAAGCCCAGGGGCGGCTCTTGGTCTTGGCTGTGGGGCGCCAGGGTCGCAAAGCCACAGGCGTGGGCAGGAAAGCAGCATGGGACACGTGCCACGACGCGCTGAACAACCAATCAGCGCTGTTTCGGCTCAATCAAATCGGAGAGGACTGTGGGGCTTGTGAACCTCAGAGGGCTGATTGAGAGCCCGAGAAATCTGACATGCCGGGCTGGGGAATGAATAGCATCCATGGCTGCTGTTGTTGTCGGGTCAAGTATCGTGTGAACCTCGAAGCCTTGGCCTGTCAGAGCCAAACCCGAAAACCCAAGCCTTGCCAGCTCTTTATTAAAAATGCCTAATATTTTTTTTCTCTTCGTCCTTGATAATACAAACCACATATCGTACGCCTCATGAACAAGCATTCCGGCACAACGTGCCTTTGGCGAGACTCTGAAGCATTTGCAGAGTGATCAATGTTTTGGGTTCCCTGCCTGCAATCTCCCACCAAGCGGCAACCCGCTCCGCTGCGCTTGGGTCAGCTTAGTAAAGGCAACCACCTCAAACTGAGAACAAGCGCTTTTGTGCAGACGTCCCCCCAAAGACGCATACAACTTAGAGATAGACAACTGCGCGGATTTATAGCCATCGGTCCTTTTCAGCTCGGGAAGCTTTCTTGTGCAGTGTGGGCCACGGAGCGTGGGCTGCCGGTGGGGACATGATCCAACCCGGTGCTGATCCAGCCTCTGCCTTAACCTCATCCGGTCTTACAAAATCCGCTGCGCCCCACTCCCGAGATCGGGTGTTCATCCCAAAAAGCCCGACTTAGTTCCCGGGCAATAAGTTTCGTCCGTAATGAGTAGAGTAGCCTTAGAAGTTTGCAACTTTTTGAATTACATGGGCATGACCTTGGTCAATGTCCAAAATGTAAGCCTAAAATCGAGGCCAATCCTGTACCCTTCGAGGCTTTTCCTGCCCAATTGCCCAAGCAAGAAGCCTACATGAACACTACCGCGATATATGCGGAGACCATTGAACCAGCTTGATGTTTCAACGCTTTGGTGTACTTCATTGGTACACAATCCTACACACACTCTACCAAATGAACTCATACAAGGCTAAATGTCGCACAGGCTTGCCTTGAGATTCAATGTGGAATTGGAGCACAGACCCCTTGGTAAATTCTAACATGCAGAGTTTTACCCAAATCTTCGGTTACAAAACAATTCCATCAGTCTCTATGATACCAAGTTAATTAACTATACACGCTAGATTCTCTATCTAAAAGATGTAGGTATGTGGTTTTAGTTGATTAGTCTTATACTGCCTTCGGTCAAGCATAAGGCGCTTCCAACTACTACAACGCCGGCGATATGCCCTCCCCCAGTCCTTTGCATTTTGATGTTGTCCAATCCACTCACAAGCTCTTTATTAGCAGCTCTTTACGCAGATTTAAACTCCAAAAGCGCTCAATTGTGTCTCGATGGTAAGTCAGTAAACTCAATTTATCTCCTGCGGATATATGTTCCTGAAACATAGCATCTGATTTGCTTCCCAATCAACACTGGCAATTCCAACTCCTCCTGTCTCTGCTAATCCTCCAACGTTATGTGTAAATTACCAAGATCTTCCGAAACTCAATCACAGTAGCGACCAAGCTCCTCCTAGATCATGAATCACATATTAATCAAGTCCTGGATGACCTGAAGATTGATGTCATCTTTCACCTTTTCTTGGACTTCTGCTTCGGCCTCTTTATAATGGGCTCCCTATTTCTGTAGAATCTCTTTCGGAGTTCGTTCTAGATCATTCGTGATTTTGTGGAGGGAGTGACGTCCAACAAACGGGTTATGCAGCCCGAAATAAGGCCAGTATAGGATATAGTTAGAAATATCTCTTTCCTCCACGCAGAATATAGATGCTATTATGCGCTTAACATGTTGGGAAACTCAACTGGGACAGTTACGGATTGGCTTCTCTTCAGACCTCCTAAATCTCAGCAGAGTTCTATCGAAAAAAGGAGCGGCTTAAACAGTGGTGCTAAAGATGAGGAGTAAAACACTTGCCTCAGACATTGAGTAGACAGTAATTTCTGGTATGTATATGTTCTAGCACGCTTTCACGAGCATCTGGCATAAGGCGAGTCTCTCTGATAAGCTCATCCACCATATTATCAGGACTGTGGACAAGCCGGAAAATAAATCTAGGTTAAACAGATCGTCCATCGGTTCCCCAGTGGGATATGTTTGTAGACCATCCAGTGGTCCATTTATCTGACTTCCACGAGCCATGAATGCTCTCAAGCCTTCACTTTTTGCTTAGCCCATACCGTTCATTCCAGAGCGCCAAACGCATATTGTACCCGTTCGACAATGAAATATGATTTGGGAAAGCTAAAGAAATTGTACTAATTCCTGGCTGACCATCACCGAGTTTTCAGCACGCCTTGATCTTGACATCGACATGGAGAAAGAGTCAAGCGCTGGCTCTCTAAGATATTCAGCGCACTGTTGCGCCATGTCTCCAGTGTATACAGAGCCGTTGGATCCCTCAAAGCTCCGTTCAGGTAATGGCCCGAGAATGAGGTTGAAGAAGTCAATTCATCTCTGATTCATGCCGAAAGCTCCATGATAAACGTGACTGGCAGAAGTAGGGACTGCCGGGTCACATGACTGAATCTTGAGCGCAGAATGCCAAGTTTATTTCCGAGCTTCTTGTGCACCAGTATCTCGGTCTGAAGCTGAACCAAGAAGTGAGTATACTCCCAGGTATACATGTCGTGCCAAGATACTCTCCATGGGTCGTGTACGATGTAGTTTATGTGATTTACGAAGCGTTTATGGCGCCGTTTGTGGACTGAGTGATCGCAAACTGAGTCACGAGCACCTAGGAGAACGCGCAGATAACGCGTATCCTTCAAGCTGAATGGGAATGTTAAGGCTACCAGATAGCCTAGTTTGATGCAAGACCGATTTTTCTGGCGAGCTGTTCCAGAATTTTCGCTATATTGAATATCCATGGGTAACATCTAGTATCTAAGAAGGCTATCCAAAACTTCACGCTTATGCAGCCAAATGGGTGGGGATCTAGGGTGTTACACTTGTTTATGTTGTCGATTCCGATACCCAGCTAATAGATCGTGCATGTGGAAACTGAGATGATAACAAACGTCAGTTAAGTCTTATCCTTTTTCTCCGGAGTTTGCACAGAAAGCCCCACTGAGCTAGAGACAGGATATCTTGAGGAAGCCGCTCCAAGAAGCTGTCTAAGCTCAGGTATTGAAAGAATTAGAGGAAAACCACTTGTCCTGGAACATTCTAATGTCTTCCTTGATTTTTCCTAATACACATTAATTAATGCGGTCCTGGAGCTTTTTATGCTCTCCAAACACATCATGCTTTCCTTTTTTTTTCCCCCAAGATGCTCACAGTGTCTCGTAAAGACTTCAGTATCATTCCTCATGATTGATATGAAATAAGGCGTTGGTGGATTTCGTAGCTATCTTAGGGGCAGGTCTAAAAGAGAGTGACTCACGAGGAGCAGTTTTTAAAGGAGATACCTACTTCTCCAAGATTTCATACATCTTTTCATGATTTTTGCGCTTATTAACTACCTATCAAGCAGAAAGAACGATGTTGGTAAAGACACATGCTAAGCCATATTAGCTTAAAACTGATAGCAAGTTAGGAAAATATGAACAATGAAACAAAACGCTTGGAGATTTTCTTCTTCCATTGCACGGGAAAGGGATATGTTGACTGGTGTGCACTGAAGACAAAAATGATACAAACGTGGATAGTACCTCGCTGCTATTGTTTGGGTGTTACCACGGTACGTGGACGATGAACGGTGAGGTCCCACATAATGTTGGGCAATGATAACTTACATGAGGTAGGGCCATCCTGTGCTTCCATTCAATCCGAGTTGAGAATTTTTTATTTGATATCATGCCTCAGAAGGAGCATTTAGTCTTCCTGATGGAACGACTCGTCAGGAAAAAGCGCCACACTGGCGACTACATTAGGCAATTTACTCTCCACTGACCCTCAAAGAGATAACAAGGCTTCACCCTAACAGTTGGGGTATGTGTGACTTTAATTGTACTGTCATTTACCACTGAAGCTCCCTGCCTCACAGCAAATAGAAACCTGAGCTAAACCAACCAAACACAAAGGTCGCCAAGCACATAACCACCCGCCATTCATCCTCAAAAAACTACGGAATCTGAAGGTGCCCGGTGTGGGATAAACGCAAATAGGCCATCAAAAGAAACCAACTAACAGGAAAAAAAAAAAGCACCAGGAAGGGATGACAATACAAGAAAGGGGCGGGAGCCAACCATTCATCCAGTCAGTCACCAGATCCTGTTCTTTTATTCATAAGCAACAATGGCGTTGCCTTCATTATCATATCCGCATTTCCTTCTCCAATCCAACATTCCTTCTTCCAAACTGTAAGTCATGAAAGGAGCATCAACAAAATTTCGACGGACAATCACTAATAATCCATCGGTGCATCCACAAGCGTAACCCCATGAGTATGACCTTGCTGCGATTCACCCTGTGGCTGGTGACCAGGCGGAGGTGTTGCCGTCCGGGCAGTAGCCGACGACACGGCAGGGGTTACGCGACGGCCAGATGAAAGCCGGGCGCCGCTGCGGCTAAGGCTGTTGCGCTTCTCAATGAAGCCCTCGGAAGAGGCGATCGAGCGGGGCAGGCTGCTGCGCTTATCAGCCAGGGAGTCAGGAGCAGATTGTAGTTGTTGCTGTTGGTCGGTAGCAGGCGCGGGCATGGGCACGGGGACGGTAATCGAAGAAGGCCCAGCGCTGGCCGAGCTGCCGTTTGCGGGCCCGAGATTACCATCAGCTGGGTGGCTGAAACCCATGGTATCGTCCGAGGGTACTTCAAGACTTGTTCTCTTGGGCAGGACAGGCCCCAAACTGCCGCGCTTGCGGTGCTCAGTCGTCGGGCTGGAGATGCTTGGTTGGATAGGGAACCTGTTTTCCGGGCCACCAATGCTCCTGTCGCGTCTATGAGGGGTTCGGGGAGTGGGCGCGGGCGACGTTGCTCTACTACGACTGCCGCTTGCCTTCTCAATGATAGCCCGGTTGCGTTCCTCCACAAGCGCCTTACGATTGCTCTCGTCGGTAGAGATGGCACGTGGCCGCTGCTTGACGGTACCAGAGGAGTTCAAGGTTGACAGACGCTTCAGTTCGTTGAAAATGGCATCTTTGTGCGCAAATAGATCGCGAACCAGGCGGTAAGCATGTTTCTCCTCCATGGTGAGCGACGTCTCCTGGCGCGGGCGCAAGATACAAGGAGCCAGGACAGTAGCCAGCTTCGAGATGTACTCCTCGTCAGCTGAGGTTAGCTCGATCAAGCGTGTAAAGTGGTTCATGCAGGCATCCAAAGACGCAATATTGGCCAGCCGAAGCTGTGACAGGGTCTGCTGCAGGATAGGGATACGGGCAGCGTCACCGCCATCTGGCGTGGGCGTGTTGTAAATCTGCCTGATGATCTCATAGACGTGGGATGAGACTAGAGAATCTGGGGACAGTTAGTAACGGCAACAGGCACGACCTTGCACGACTACGCACCAGGCAGCTCGAGAAGGTAGAGCTTCAGCAGACTGGCAACCGTGGGAATGTCAAATTCCTCAAACGTCTCAAGAGCAGGCGGCTTCCCGTTGTTGACCTTGGCTCTCAGCTTGTGCGTCTGAGACAGCGGGACTTCATGGAGCCAGACACCTCGCCTGGCTTCATCACCCTCGAGATCCGGGTAGTGATGGTCCAAGTACGTAAGAATGGTTGTGATAATGATGGGCACACGCTTCTTATCGGCCCTAGCACGAGCCTCAAGATCAACGCCAAAGGTTTGGTCGTCGATCTTGTTGTAGTAGTTCTCATAAATGACAGGCCTAGGGACGAAGCTGCCGGTGCGATAGTTCTCCAGGAGATAGCGCAGATCGCCTAGAGGCGACACGGTCTCCTGGTATAGCATCATGTTGTCAACAGTCGCCTGCAGGCTTGGGATGACGTTGCTAATAGTCCCTGAGAAATCCAGGATAACGGTCTTGATAGCCTTGAGGCGGTCCAGCTCGCAACGCTCAAGGAATTTCAGATGCAAGAAGATGGCCTCTTCAAGCTCGCAACGCATCTCGTCCAGCTTCTGGACGGCAGCCTTGTACTTCTCATCGGCTTCTCTCGCTTCCCGACGCAGACGTTCTGCTGGAGTCTCGTTGGGCCTCGAAGTGTTAAGGACATCCCACTTCGATAGGTATTCCGCCACAGTGCCGACCACAGGAGAGTCGCTGCTGTCTGATCCTGTAATGGGGAGAGAAAAGGTCCTGCTCACGGTCTTTTTCTCCGGGATGCCAGCCCACTCCCAAGCCTTCGGGCGCCATTGGTAGAACATCTTAGAACTGTTGGCGAACGTATTCCCGACGTTACCAACCAATCGCAGGAACCCATGGGTGACCAGATCCTGTCCGATCCTTTCGGCATAGCTGACGCTGGTGCTCCCCATATGACGCTGAATGTACTCAACGATATCTGTGCCGGCAGAGCAGTTCTGGTAGGTTCCGAGAATAGGGACCTTGTGCTCGCCCATCTTGATGTTGGTCAACATATGATTTAGAATCTTTTTTACTTGGTCTGGTTGGTACGTCTCGTCGCCGATCTCAAGGGGGTCCTCGTCCTCTGCCGGATCCTCCACCTTGATGGACGGAATGTTGCTCTTCTGTTGGGGGCTACTTTCGGGATCCTGGAAAGCGAGCTGGTTCTCTTCCTCGAGATCTTCCACGAGACGACACTTGTTGAAATAATTGCTCCTGAGCTTCTTCACAAGCTCGAGCTGCTTGTCGTGGGCTTTGATCCGAGCTTGCAGCTCCTCGTGGGAATCTTGAATACGGGATTCATGGGCATCGCACCATCTCGAGAAAGGGTTCACGACCAGATCGCGGATGTTCTGGGCGATCTTCTTGTGGTTCTTGGCAGCATCCTCCATCTCGGTGCGGACACCCTCGTAGGCCTTGCGCACGCTGGCGCCATCGTCACGGGAAAAGCCGCCTTGGATTTTGTCCACTGCGGGGGCAATTTCAGCTAGACGTTGGCCATATGCATCTTCGGCGTCGGCGCGCATGCGAGCAATGGTCAAGATCTGGCGGTTTTCGATGGTGCCCTGCTGAAGCTTGCTGAACAGGACGCCGAGGCCTTGGATTTGGTCAGCACTCCGCTATGGTAGTTGCGCCTTGTTTGACGTGGAGCGCGCGCTGATGAAGCATACCTGCGGCATAGTCCGCCGACCAGAACGAATCTGCGAAGCCGGGCATCTTTCTGGGAGTGTTAAAATAATCAGGTAAAGAAGACTCAACAACTGGGTATTACTGCTCGATCAAGAATGCGGGGTAACGGGAGGATAAACAGGAAGACGGGTGCCGCGGCGTTGCTGTTTGGTGAGTAAGTGTGTACTTTCCAAACGTGCCAATCGTCCAAAATGCCAGCGGGTAAAAGCTGTGTGGGATCCGATGAGGCTGAGCCCAGCCAGCGGCAGCCGAGAGCTCGAGGGCGATCGATCGCGGTCGAGTGAAGTCGGTGGAAACCTGCAGGTTCAGGCGTCGAATCAGGAAAGGAAGCCGTGAAATTGAGGGGCAGTGGTCGTGGTCGTCGAGCGCAGGATTGCAAGATGGCGACGACTCAAAAGTAGATAGAAAAATACGAAAAATAAAAGGACAGCGCTCGTGGCGACAACACGAAGGTGAGCAGAGGGAAAAACGAGACCTTTTGGGCCACAGGTCCTCTTTTCCACTTGACGATGCCCGGCAAGGCACTACATGCATTGCACCCCGATCCAGACCCAGACGCCCAGTGGGATGCCGAGTTTCATTGGATGGCTCCGTCAGCAACATCTTGAGGTCCAACTCCAGCTGTCAGCCCCTGCAGGCGCGGATGGGCCCACCGTTCAGAAACAGCGCCAAGCGCCTGCCCGCCGTTACGGATCGTTACGGATTTTGTAGGTAACATTCGTCCAATGAACAGTTGAAGCTCCAGGGTCCAGTTGAAAAAGGCTACACCAGATGAATCTGCAGTGGCTGAGACAACTCTAGGTAACACTTCATGTGAGAATACCATGCTGTTATTCTGATATGATTTTTTTTCTCGAAAAGTCGTTTTAAGTACTCGAGAACAGCCTCGCATATTCCACCATTTTTAAAACCACACCTGCTGCCAGCAACCGGATCCGGCACGACGTATCGTAAAGTAACGCCGTCTGATCTGTATCGTTACCTTAGCGCGAAGACCCCGCAGTACAGACCCTGAACCCCAACTCCAACGATAGGATCAAGAAGGCAACCGTTGCGAAGAAATTGGACAGTCAAACAAAAGTCAAGTGGCACTTTTTCTTCCGCTTTCCCCTGAAGCTTAGTTGGCATGATGTTGTGAATTTTGAGCTGGCACCAATGTCTCTGGGTTTATAGTTGTACCGTCCTGAACACAAGGCCCCGGCGAAGGGGAGAGGAGCCCAGACACGAGCGACGCCTGCGACAACCGACCAATGGATTGGGGTGACAGGGTCCCACCGTAATTCTGACGGCCGTAACGACAGTTGAGAGATATGTACCCTATAGGCAGCCGCGAATCGATACGAATTACGCCTATCGCTTGTCCCGGACCCATCTCAGTCACCGGATGGCTGGCTCCTGTCTCTCTTGTCGAGGTTGTTGATAGACCAAATCCTCTTAGTACTTAAGTGAAAGATAATAGATGTAAGTCCACAATATCTGCTCGGCAACAAATCCTCTAGTTCATTGGCTCCAACTCAAACCAAGTCCAGGACTGGGCCACGATGGGGAGCGTGGATGAAGTCCTGATATCACCGCTGTTGACCAGTTCGCAACCTGTACTTCAACATCAGGAGCGGTACCGTTGGCTTCGGCTAACTAAGGCACTGAAGACTGCTCTGTACGGTGTCGCGTCCATCCTCGTCATTTCGCTTTTGATTCACGGGCCAATTACTTCAGCATGTTTCAGTCGCCTGGTGTCGTTATCTAAGCCACGAACTATTGAAGAACGGGTCAAGCGTATTCTGACTTTTACTCCTCTAATCGGTAATACTTTCACTCAACCACGTAACCCGATCAAGTTTGCTAATATAGCAAGCAGATGGACACAATGACCTTGCTATCTTAGTGAGGGGTTCCTACAACAACCATATCCATGATGAGTCCTTCAACAAAGGCTTTGTCGACGGCGGTCTTGCTGGGCATGTCGACATACCCCGTCTGAGGACTGGGATGAATGGAGGTGCCTTTTGGAGTGTCTTTTGGCCGTGTCCTGCAAACGGGACAGACTTCTCTGACGAGAACTACGCTTCCAGTAAGATTCCAAACTTAACTCCCCCCTACACAACATGTCTGGAATCCCCGTCTAACAAAGTCTCAAGTTGTCCAAAACACCCTCCAGCAGATTGATGTCATTACCCGTCTCACCCAGCTTCATCACTCAACGTTCTCCCCCCCAACACTATCCCTCCCAGCATTCCTCCACAACTTCTATCACCACCACCGCCTCATCTCTCCACTGGGAATCGAAGGCCTTCACCAGATTGGCAACTCGGCCGCCACGTTGCGGCAATTTCGCGCTTTAGGTGTGCGCTACGCGACCCTAACACACAACTGCCCGAACCGGTTCGCAGATTCTGCGCTGATCGGCAACCCCCCACGTAAGGCCGAGCCTATCTGGGGTGGCGTGAGCCCGGCAGGCAAAAAGTTGATACGGGAGATGAACCGGATCGGCATGATCGTGGACTTGGCACATGTCAGCGTCGACACAATGAAGGACGTACTGGGCGCCGGAAAGGATGGATGGGAAGGGAGCCTGGCACCGGTAATCTTCAGCCATTCGAGCGCGTATGCAATCTGTCCGCATCCCCGAAATGTGCCTGATGATGTGCTCGACCTTGTTAGGAAGAAGGGTGGTTTGGTGATGATCAACTTCAGTCCAGACTTTATCTCGTGTGTGGAGGCGCCAAACAGAGACGATGGGCTCCCAGAGTTCTATCCTAAGAATGCGACCTTGGCACAAGTGGTTAAGCATGTAAAATATATCGGAGAGCGAATCGGGTGGGATCATGTTGGACTGGGCAGCGACTTTGACGGGATCGAGAATACCCCCGAGGGGTTAGAAGATGTGTCCAAGTACCCCGAACTTGTGACCGAGTTACTGAGACAGGGGGTAACGGATAAAGATGTAGCGAAGGTGGTCGGCGGTAATGCGCTTCGAGTTTGGAGGGAGGTCGATGCCGTTGCTGAGAAGTTGCAACAGGCGGGGGAGCCTGTCTTAGAGGATGAGTTGTCACGGCTATGGTAGTCGCTCGACATACCCATGTTGCAGCAAAGAACATTGTGAGGGAGAGAACATCTTGGTGTATCAAAAAGCGTTAGGAACATAGCATGTATCCACCCACAAAAGCCATCGTCATTATTATACATGATTGTACATCAACCAAGACCACAGGACGCCGCCGACCTTCAGTTCAACTAAACCCTCAGGCGGCCATGTTGTACACAGACGACCAAAGCAAACGCCGGTGCCATATCGCACGCCTTGACTTGGAACCTCGGGAATCACCCCACTCACAACCTCCCAAAACACCAATTAACCGTGGCGCTCGATCTTGTTGAGCTTCCGGGCCGTCTGGATCTGGGTCCTGGTGCGCTGGCCACGGACCGGCAGGTTCATTGCGTGTCGCCTTCCACGGTATGTACCCATATCACGTAACCGTCGGATGTTCTCTCGTACTATATTTCGTGCTTCGTTTTCGATCGTCATTGTCGACAGCTCGGCCGTCAGGGCCGTGATGATTTTCGGCTGCAGGGTGCCAATGCGCGCAAGCGGGTGAATGCAGTACTTAGCCATGATGCGCGCCGACGTCTGTGGTCCGAGAGCATAGAAGGACTCAAGAGCCTTCTACGGGGATGTGAGCATGTTGGCTGAGAAGCATGGAGAGGGGCATGCGCTTAGGATCGCACCTTGACAAGCTTCTGCTCGTTAAAGTTGACGCCGAAGAGGAACACCTGCGGGAAAAGTTAGTGCATGCCGGACTTTCAAGAAGCACGCTAGGACAACGAGAGATCAATACCATCTTGTCGAGTGCGCTTGGCTGGCCTCAATCCCAGTTCCCCTGAGCTCAAAGTTGCGACGTCGGTCTCAAGGTTAACATCGCCGGTAGTTCTCGACAGGATCCAGTTCTCTCAGCCCGAGAAGGCTTGGCGCTGGAAAATTTGAGTGGGACAGCACCAGGTGACAAACATCTGTCTGTCAGCTGTGAACAGCTGGCGCATAAGTTCAACCCCTGAACCCTTGAAATTTCATCCAATGGAAATTCTGCCTAAAAACTCGCTCTCAATAAATGGGAACGGGGAAGAGATTCACAGCTCACAGTCGTCGACATGGGAGAGATTTGGAACTTCGAAACAAGGCCGGAAAAGCCACTTCCATACTCGGATGAATTCTCGTCTGTGGACGAGTATGTTGAAGGCCTGCTGAATTTCGCTGCCAACTCGGACCTGTTCCGCTTTCTTTGCGGCGGCGTTCACATCCTCGACTTTTTCACCACGGACCCCGGCCTGTTTGTCGATGCTGTCCCAAAGGAATGGCAGGATTATTTGCTCCAGACGGAGCCGATGGCGTTCCTGGACTTCTTGATGAGAGACGACCTTGACAAGATTTCGCAAAAGTCTGGCCCCGTCTCCCCTCCTGAGTCTCTGGTCCAATATGTCAAAGATATCCGACGGTTTTCTCTACGGCGAAATTTTCGCCCTCGTCAGGCGAAGCTCCCTGTCCTCCCCAGGCATGTGGCACTGGGCATGAAAACGAAGAAGATCCATGAGGTTACACATTTCGCAGGCTATATCGACCGACTGGCTGAGGATATCGCCCGAGCCAAGGGTGAGGATTTCACTCACTTTGTAGATTTTGGCAGTGGCCAAAACTATCTGGGCCGGACACTGGCCAGCCCGCCATACAATAAGCATATTGTTGCTGTTGAGAGCAAAGAAGCCAACATGGCAGGTGCCAAAGACCTCGACATCCTGTCTGGCTTTGCTGAAAGAGAGAAACGGGTACGGAACAAGAAGCTCTATCATCGACTGTTGGAGATGGTTGACCCGTCACTTCACAAAGACGAAGAAGCTCTGAAGCGCGCCGCCAAGGAGCTTGGAATGAGCGATGAGGACATCGCAACCCTTGATCTCAGGTCCAGAAAGGAGTTGCAAGTCACCTATACAGTCGAGGAGGGCAAAGGCACTATTGAATACGTCGTCGGCCACCTCGAACATGCTGACTTGGCCGGAGTGCTTGCACAACTACGCGGACAGGAAGACGGGGTTTGCCAAGATAAGCTGCGTATGATGGCGATTTCGATACATTCATGCGGAAACCTTTCACACTATGGAATCCGTTCTATGATCATGAACCCGTGTATCAAAGCGGTCGCTATCGTGGGCTGCTGCTACAACTTGCTCACCGAAAAGCTAGGCCCTCCCACGTACAAACCTCCTTTTAGTCGTCCAAGCTTGCAGCCCATCAACCCTCGCGTTGCCAGGGAATCAGAAAGGCGAGATCCCCAGGGCTTCCCGATGAGCGAGAAGGTCTCCACGTACGGCGGCGATGGTATTCGGTTCAATATCACGGCTCGAATGATGGCATGTCAAGCACCTCAGAACTGGACTGACCAGGAGAGCGACGCGTTCTTCACCCGTCATTTCTACCGCGCTGTCCTGCAAAAGATCTTCTTGGACAAGGGGGTCATTTCACGCGTCTACCACGGCGAGACAGCCAGCGCGGCAACACCGTTTAATTCGAGCACAAATCCTGTCATTATTGGGTCTCTTCGCAAGCAGTGCTACACATCGTTTAACGCCTATGTGCGGGGAGCGATCACCAAATTGACCACGCACCCCGACTTCAGCCAATACCACCAAGTCATCCAGGAGAAGATGGGTGACATCACTGATGAGGAGATTGCGTCGTACGAAGAAACTTTCCGATACCGGAAGCGGGAGCTCAGTGCCGTCTGGAGCTTGATGGCTTTCAGCGCTTGCGTCGTTGAATCCGTGATCGTGACTGATCGGTGGCTGTTCCTCCGCGAGCACTCCGATATCGTTTGCGACTGCTGGGTAGAGACGGTTTTTGACTACAAGCAAAGCCCCAGGAATTTGGTTGTTGTCGGCATCAAAAGATAAGCCAGCGGCTTTTGCTGGTTCAGTAACCGATCTTGGAATCTTCGCTCCGATCCTGTGTTGGTTGCAGCCGGATATCAGCGGCGCACTACGGTTGGCCAGGCAGCGCAGCGCCGCCGGCCTCGGGCTTGCACAAAAGCGAGCTCCAGATCTCTGCCAGTCTCGGCCTTCCACCAACCCGTTCTCGGGCCGGGTATCTGCAGCATGCCGGTATCCCTGCAGGTTCAAAACTGGGGGCCCGCAACCCAGCAACGGCCTCTCGACCCAGCTTGTACCGAAGAGACTCGACAGGCCGATAGAGAGATCACACGGGCCACAGGCTTACCTACGCAAGCCCGAAACAATGGGCGGAATTTGTACTTACTGATGACAGCTTGCACTCGCATGATTCGTATCCTAGGGTTCGGCCTTCGGAAGAGTTGGTTAACAAGTCACAACTCGAATTGTCTCGATTCGGTTGATTCAATCTCTCCTCTGGCAGATGCTACAACGTTTTGCCAAAGAAGTCAAGAGCGATGCTGTCACTCACCCAGTTGGCTTAGCTTAGCATCGAAATCACCTGAACACTGCTTGTGAAGACAGACGGTAGGGTGCTAGATAAGGCCCCCCCCGTCCGCACCCAATTGAAGGGTGCTAGCCGACATCACCCTTGGCGGCTAGGTGTTCTCATGACATGGGTTTGGTCTGCAAGCTCACGGGCTCGCTGGGCGAAGATCGGCATGGGAGAGCTGCACCTTGGCTAAATCGTCATCTTTTGTACACCATTGTACTTCCTCGCGAACATGCTATCTGGGAGACTCTCAGTTCAGACATGCCGGTGCTCCTTTTCTTTCTTGTTCGATTGCTCTTTGCTTGACTCCATTCCTGTGACAGGTCCTTTATTTCCTTTGCTCCGGTATGGCCGTCCAATGACTCGAGCTGAATACTATCAACTCAAGTGTCTGCGGACATCTGATGTTCCTTCGAGCTGGCTGCCGTCCTGAAGGCATGAGCGCGGCACATCACAGAGGGGTTGTGTACCCATCCACGCGGAAAGCCAAGTGCGGGGCATCCTTGGCATTCCTGGCCTGTGGCTTGTTCGTCTGGCAAGCGTTCGTGAATCGTGCCCCGCTCCCGATGCTTGTTCCAGCCCCAGACTTGAGGTCTGAATACGACTTCAATTCGCCGGTGCCCAGACAGCGCGTTCCATGCTGTTCCAGAGGTCCGGGGACAAGCTGGGGTTTTTGTGGTCTGTACCGGCATTCCCTCCATCCAAAGCTCGGGTCAAACAGTCACACTCACACCAGATTGCACCCCCACGTTTCGTGGCCCACACGTCTGCAGCGCAGTGCAGAACTGCAGACAGGCCGTAGCGAAAATCTACTGTAAACATCTTGAGCGCTCATGCCTCCGACACATTTTTGGCCAGCCAGCTGGACTGGGTTCTTTCTTCCATGGTGTTGGCAGCCAGCATTGATGTCCCCTGTGCTTAAGTCGCAGGGCACGCACCCAGACACAGTGTCGGAACAGCCTTCCAGGGCTCTATCACTTATTAAGCAACCTAATCCCAATTTATACTCGTCTGCAACAAGCTTCTGTGGAGTTATTTCTCGTCACGCATCAGGGATCACCAAGGGATCCGATCGACTTCTGCGATGAGCTTTCGGTATCCGATGACCACCTATCTATGGAGCACTTTTTGGCTCCATTTAACTTCATCCCTTATCTAACCACTTACACTTTGTCTTTACATCTGCTCTTCCACCTCCCATCCACGACCCGAGACATTTTTCCGTCTGTTGTGCTGCGCAACCCTCTGACGACAGACAACATCGCCCTGTGGCTTCGAACACGACTGCCAGTAACTCCACTGTGCCAATCACAAACATTGGGAAAGGAGGGGAGGGAAGCAAAACGTCCTTCTGGCTGAACCCGCGTCACGAACACGCAGCCACACTTTCAACCTTCTCGATCCTACGTCTTACCATACTCGGAGACTGGTCAAGGACATTCATCCATATTCAGTACCTCAAAAAAAAAAAAGGAACGGGCGACTCATCAGTTGTAGTCATCCAGATATTCAGGGGCCTTGGCACTCCATTAGCATCGGGACTCCTAGGTTCACGCTCCGTTGAGGAGCGATTGACATCACACTCCTCCAAGCTTCTGCCCATGCTACGGATCCGTACCCGAGATTCAAATTTCCCTCCCGTCACTGGTGTTCACACGCAGAACGCCACAAACCCGCCCAGATTGTGATGCCCAGATCTGATTTGTTACTTCGCTAGTTGGTGTTGCCCGGCTCCTGCTCATTGTCTACATATTAACGCATCCACCACCTAGAATCCCTTCTCAAGGTACGGTACCCGTCCTGCTGCCACGGCGGCGTTTTGCTTGGATCCAGTCGTTGGCGGAGTCCACCCCACGTTCGCCATTATTGCCAACTCCGCTTGCCTGGTCCTTGTTGTCAGATGAAATAAAGAAGCATCGTAACTTACTCGAGGATCGCCGGGCAGATTTTTTGTTTTTTTTTTTTTTGTCTATTGGCATTCCGTCTTCCTTCATCCTTTTTGTTACTGCAGCCGAGCAGAACATAGATCTCCCCTGAGTAAAGCAACGACCCTCGGTTGGGTTGGCTTACACGGTCAATTACATCACACCCTTTTCACTACTACTATCACCTTCTCCTCAGAGTAACTGCGGCATCGTCAACCAACTCCTAGTCATCAGTTGCGGAGTGACAAGTCTGCGGTTTCTGCCCTGACGAGTACCTAGGACGAACCTCAGTTTGCAATGGAACAGGGTGTTAATATGAACGCACAGGTGTCGTTCCTTGTAAGTATCACACGTACTCATAGCTCGACTATTAAATGAGAGGGGATATTCACATGATTATGGTCTATTTCCCCTACTTCGCAAATCATCGCTTTCATATTCGATTGGAGACGTAGGGTCGCTGACGGGAGGATCCTAGGAAGCGGCATTAACCCTGATCCATATTCCTTTAGACCTCTATTGGGCCTTTATTCAGCCAATCCTGAAGATTTTGCTTCCGCCTAGCCAAGATCCAACAGGCCAGAACACGGCAAGCTTGAGCAGTATAACTAGCCAGTATCAGCATGTATTTCTTAACATCAGTGTCACGCCCATAGAATGCTCCATCGTCTGTGACTCGGCATGGGCAGAATCCGAGTTCATACCAGCCATAAAACGCCTACCCAAAGACAAGGCAAAGTCGGTGCTTATATCCAAGGACAAGTATGCAGCCCTTTGTGTCATCACCGGATCGCTGGACGCCGGCTCCCGCGTCGCCGACCTAACCTCGCCCCTCGCCCTCGCCAATATCCCCATCTTCTTCATCACCACATATTACTCCGATTTCATCCTCGTCCCAATCAGAGACCGCCAAGCCGTGGTCAAGACCCTATTGGGTAAAGGATTCGTTTTCTCCCAAGATGACCAGTCGCGCCTCATTACCCCCGCCTCAGGACGCCCACACTCCTCCAGCTACAGCAATAACACCGTGTATCCATATACACACGACTGGAGCTCGGCAATCCAAAGCCGGGCCAGCAACTACGCAAGTGAAAACTGCGTCGACCCGAACACCACTCCCCCTTCACCACCGCCCCCATCACCCCCCTTATCACCCACCGCAACGCTCACAGCCCTCGACGAGCTCCAAGAACGCACATTCAGCCTCCTCAAAAAGCGCCATGTCGTGCCATATGTTCAACCGAACTTGACTCTCGTCCACTGCACGGGAATCCAACACCATTCGTCGTCGTCCTCGCCCCGCGGCGCTTCCAACGGCGGCAGTCGCCGTAACAGCCGGCCCTCATGGGTCGATACCATCGACGCAAAGCTGCACACGGCGCTGGTAGCCGCACTGGTATCACAACCACGGTTTGTATCAGTTACGTTCGCGATGGACGACCCGCCATCACTGCTGCTGGATCGTGAGCTGCTGCCGCTGTTTGGCGGGTCGTTGGTCGGGCCGACAGGGGAAGGAGCTGGGTTGGTGCCAGTCTTCCTTGACTTGGCTGATTTGCCATTTGAAGCAACGGGCATTGTGTCTGGGGTTGCGGGGCGGCTGGTCAAGGAGATGGGGTGCTTGGTTTCGGATGGCGAGCGGGCTGGAGGGGGCGAGCTGTCGTATTTGTCAACGGCAAGGGCTGGTGCTGTCATTTTGGAGGAAGGGGTTGCTGGAGAAGCCATGGCTGTTTTGAAAAGAGGGCTTGTTGAAGAGCAGTGAGAAACCAGCTCTCAGGAGGACCCGTACTTGGAGAATGCTGTCCTCCTGGATGAGATCAGAGTTGGCCGCTGGCGTATTAGGGCAAGGATGAGATGATCTACCCAAAAGAAAATATGTGTATCACTTGAAATAGCCCTAAAGGGGAACACAAAAAGTACGGGCTGGGTTTATCGGGGTTCAAATGCATTTGGAAATGAGGAAAAGTATCTGCTGCCGAACTTCGGGGAAGTGGTATGCCCCCTGAGGAGAAAAACCGTAACGAAACGCCAATGATGGTAGTACAGATGTCATGAAGATTTCTAATTCTTGATGACTGGAGTGTTTTGGGTCTTTATTTTCCTCCCTTCTTCTTCTTCTCCCCGCTATTACTCACCAGCCCTGCTTGAACGAATGCGTCCCTGGCGACTTGGTTGATGAGCGTGAACCGCCTAGGTCCCAGCTTGACGCCGCCGTACCATCGTGACACCACCACCATGACGTCCCAAAGGTCCATACGTTGCATGAGATGAAGTAAACGGCCTCCAGCTGCCGTCTCGCCATCATCATCACAATCTTGGAAACTGGTCCCGTTCAATCCACGGATACGCCAGGCCGTCATGTTGTGCGTTGCGGCTCGCACTTTCTTGTCCGTCGCTAGCAGGTGCTGCATATATGAAACAGCTTGCTGCGGCGAGGTGACCGGCGCACAGCGCGCAATAAATGTTGATTTAGACTCGGTGATAGGTTCTGACAGAGTCCACGGTGGAGGGCTAGATAAAATGGGGAGCTCATCAGTGTGCCGGCCATCACGGTTCGGGGTCACGCCTTCATTGCCCTCGTCATCCGACTGCGAAGCAGCTTGCTCCTCGCGTTCTTTCTGCTCTCGTTCCTCCTCCTCTTTCACGGCAGCCAGGAGTTCCTGTACCTTTTCAATGGCGTCGAACAGGCACACTTGGCCTGCTTCGTAAACCTCGCTAACCGCATCTCGGAACAGAGCCAAGTCCCGGGCGGCAGTGCCGCGCTTCCCAGACGAGCCGGAGCTGTGAGTTCCAAGGACAGTGAGAGGGACGTCTGGGTATTCAGGCGGGAACTGTAGCCGGAGAGAGGCCGTCTCGCCGGGGAGGGTGAGGATATAGATGGTGGGGCCTGAGTCCTGCGGGGAGCGAACGAGGGTGTTGTCGCCGTAAATGGAGTTGATGGCTTCTATTTCATCGAGCAGCGCTTCTGACATTTTTTTTGTAAAATCTTCTTAAAACATAGGAAATGGTGAGTCTTTGTCGATACTCTCCAAACACAATGTCGAAAATTATGAGCTGTGAGGGAGAAACTAACAGGAGTTGCGACATCGGCTTGGGCGATGAGGATGACTGAAGTGTGAACCATAAAATATGGGTACTTGCATAAGTATCTCATAACGGAGGTAGACTGGTAAAACGATGCCGCATGACGAGTATGCGGCTGGTACTATCTGTCCACTCTAATAGACATACAAGCTGCTGTGTCCTTTTGAATCAACCTTTCTTGACACCCACACAGCATTTACTCAATAGCCCAGCCGGATTCATTACCCATGGATTAGGCTTACACCTTCATTACAAACGTGTTGTGGGAACTGAAGGCTTGTTTCTAGGACTGCGATATCCATTTCCGTATGCATTTAGAAAATGCAAGCTGTTGCCTGAAAGCCATTGGGTCTCCGACTCAAAAATCTCGGACTGAAAGATGTAGCAATTTTCTCTGAACTAATTTCGCAACAGCATTTCCGTTACCAAAGGTAGTTATTTGAGCAGTGTCCCATCCCCTCATGCGTGTCTGCAACCCGAAGCGTCTATACAAAGAGCAATCGGGACCACTAAACTAGCCGACCAGAAAGCACTCTCGCTGAGTTACTGCTCGCTTCAGTATCAGGTCCAGCAAAAGCGGTGATTCCAATCATTTGGACCCAACTCAGCCCAACAAAGTCATGAAAAGCCTCGAGTCCTGTAGGTCTAGCTCCAAAAAGAACTTTCTATCGTGAGAAGCCCGAGCTTTCTCCGACCGAGTCGGGGCTTTTGTAAAGATGGGGCTCGGCCCAGGGAGCCCGGAGTATATCAGCAGCCGCAACCTACAGCGATAAGCAAACCGTTGGACAAATTCCTTGGCTTAGTCACAACATTAGCAAACGTGACATCCATTGCATCGAACTCTAACAGAGATCGAGTTGCATGAGCTCTTGTCATACTTTTGCTCACTATCCCTACCTGATAAGATATTTAGGGCTGTTTTGTCTTTTCATCTTTGTTGATTCTTTCTTCGCTGCACCTGGTTGACCGGGAGGATTGCTTGTTTGTTGGCTTACCAACTCCATCCCCCACTTCAATTCCGTTTCTTACAACCGCAGGCGCTCAACGCCCAATCTGCCTGTAACCCCGCCCGTTTTCTCCGCAAATCTCTGTCCCAAGCACTATGGGAAGCCCAGTTGAGAGCAAGGACGTAGAGGAGCCTGCTAAATGTGGCTTTTTCTACGGTAAGCGCAGACAGTAGAAATGTCATGTTGAGGGTCGTCAGCAAGTACTGAGTCGTAGTTACAGGAACCTTAGTACGTAACTCGTATCAGGGGCAGCGATCAGTCCTGGAGCAAGAATTGACCATGAGCAATACAGATGGCCCCTGAGGTCTTCTTCACAGTCTGCTATGACACTAAGAATGTGCCGGAAGAGGTGAAGAAGCGCCATAACTTTCACGAGGCCATTCTACATGGCTATTGCCGTCGTCGGGTCCGCAACGCCGACTACCCTGGCATTACTGAAGATAAAGAGCACACAGTGCGCGGGATCTATGTCACAGGACTTAGTGCACACAACATGGCCAGGCTTGACTTTTTTGAGGGATCAGAATATGAGCGTCGAACGGTTACCGTGAGGCTCCTCGAGAAGATCGACAAGGGTGACGGCACATTTGAACTCGTCGAGGGTGAGGAGAGGACTGCTGAGGTTTATGTCTTCTTGCCCACAGGAGGTCTCGAGGGCGATGAGTGGTATGTATCCTCTCAACTCAATATGTTGTATCTGTGGAGATGTCAGCGAAAATCTTCTGACTAAGTTTACTGCCAGGGATTACGAGCAGTTTCGTCGTGAAAAGATGGCATACTGGACTCGGGCTGGTTACGGTTTTGACTGAACTAAAGACAAGGCATATTCTGAGCAGGCACAGCAGGATCAGGGTCTAGGAGATGCAATTGGTAGAGTAAGTGCCTTCTTCGGTACTGACGGATCCTGGTTGGTCTGAGTGCATAAAAAGTTAGGCCTTCATTCGGATTTTATGCTCCATACTGAGATAAAGCATGTCAGTTAGTCCAATTTGTGTCACTAGATGGTTCAAGTTGATGGCAACCTTACCAGGCAAGTTTGATGGTTCGCGTGTACTAGAACAAGCCTCTGGGCGCAACGCGCTGAGCCAAGACACAGCCCGTAGAATGGATTAGTCAACCGCTCCGTCAGGATCGTGACCGTCAAAGGATGGGAATCAGTCGGTAATAGTATCGGGACCATTCCTACGGCGTTGCCATTTGCTCTCCTCCTGAGAGTCTGAATTCCGCATTTGGGACTGAACCTCTATTAACCCAAAGCTTTCAGGCCCGAGTTGATAAAGAACGTTTCAATGTTAAGCGACCGACCGGGCCTCGGACTCTTTGGGCATTGATCTGTTCAGCTTTCAAATTGGGCAACATCTCGCTGCTGACAGGCTGCAAGGTCGCGGCGTCGGCCGCCCAGCAACCACTCAAGATGTGACGCCGCTCTCACACATGGAGCTGTGCCGCAGGGCACCAGCCCGCCTACTACTGAGACGATAAATGGCCTGAACTGAACCTTTCAGGTTTCACAAGACTGTCACGCTGCCCCTGGCCTTCCTCTACAACCTGCAAGCAACTGTCATGGCCGTGTCTGGCTAGGTTTGGCATTCCGGCATACATCGAATGGCCCAGGATTGGGGAAAGTGCCAAAGAAAAGACAAAAAGTCTATTGCTATAGACACGGTTGAATAGTTTGGTCTTAATGTGACAAGCTTTGTCACGGATGCTGGCCTTTGGGTCTGTGTTCATTTATTCACCTTCATTCCAAAACACATCATCTGGACGGCCTCCACTCCTCAAGAACACTCTGTCTTCAATTACGTTCATGTTGCTGCCAAAATTGAAGATTCATACAAGATTGACTGAAATGCTCCGTCCAAGTCAATACGACCAAGGCCCCAATGGCGCACATTGCGTGTCGACCCTTACCTGCGGGCATGCTTCGATTTGCAACTCCTGGCCGTTTTCTATACTTGGCTATCTTGTGATGAGGACTGTCATATGGATACAGATATGGAGGTGTGAATAGTTCGCGGTGGCAGCAGAGGATATAAAGAGAAAGGTAGACTTCGGCATAAGGTAATCCAAATCCTCAACCGCACTTCAACAAGCAATATTTTCAGTTCTTCCCATTAGAACTTTACTTCGTAGTATTGCCTGGCGCAATACACATTCTTATACTCGCCTTTGCTCACACGCCATTTCATTGCCGATTCAGGCTGGTTTTCACTTTGTCGAGCGAGCTTTCCCTTCTTTTCGAAGAACTTTGGACTTAAGAGAAATATCCTAGACATTCATTCCCAAAATGGTCATAATCGGCTACTCCGTCTTCCTTGCTGCACTGGCCTCCCTTTCACAGGCTCATATGCTTCTAAGATCCCCGCCCCCATTCGAAGGGACAAACAATAGCCCTATTGATGAATCAGGTTCAAACTACCCATGCCAGGTAGTTGGGGGTAAAGGGCCAGTCACACGAATGCAGAAGGGCACGCCCCAAATTTTGGCCTTTACTGGGACTGCTGTTCACGGAGGAGGTTCCTGCCAGGTTTCGATCACCTATGACAACCCTCCTACAGCGACCAGCAAGTTTAAAGTTATCCACTCTATCCAGGGTGGCTGTCCGGCCCGGAATGCGGCGGGAAACCTGGGAAATGATCCTAATGCCATCAACCCCGATGAATACGAGTTTAAAATTCCGACAGATCTTCCTTCTGGTAATGCTACCCTCGCCTGGACCTGGCTGAATAAGATTGGGTTACGCGAGTTTTACATGCAGTGTGCTTCAATCGAAATTGAGGGTGAGGGTGGCAGCCAGGCAGCCTTTGACGCTCTTCCCGACATGTTTATCGCCAACATCCCACAGGGAGAAGGCTGCAAGACAGAGGAGAGAAAGGATATCTTGTATCCTGACCCGGGTAACTCGGTCGAGAAGGTCGAGGGGCCGGACAAGGACTTTGCCCCTCCGATTTGCAGCAAGGCTCCCGCTCACCAGGCTACTGAGGCTGCTATTGCCAGCCCTGCTGTTACAGGGACGGTTCTGGCTATCCGTGGTCGTCGCGCTATTTCTCGTCGCTCTTAACTCGAAACTCGGGCTCGGGGATATACAGCTATATTCTGTCTTTTTTAGACCCAGAAGCACCTAGCAGGATCACAGTCATTCGTTTATTTGATCGCATCGGCTCAGGAACGTAGAATCAGCAGACACGGGAGGTTCGAGCCCACGGAACTCGGCACGCACTCGCTAAGGATGTGAACGATTAGGCATTCTTTTGGGAAGTCAACAAGAGGCCATCCGGCCCTCTCTATCATTCACTCAACCCTGACATGGAGCTCCACAGAGAATTATTTATTTGACTTAGGATTACTTCTGAGCAGAAGACTGAGAAGTTTTCAGGTAGCCATTAATTTTGCTTGTTGTTAGAGACGATAGAAACGAGCTATCTGTTCGTCTAGTAAACAGCAGTAGCAGCACACTCTTTTCTAAATCAATTTTGGCCCGCATGGGTGATTTTACAGTCCAATATACAGAGGACAACATGCACGAACCCAAAGAAAGTCTCTCGCGCAGATGACATCGCTGCATGCTCATGTTGAGTGGATTGATACTTGCCCAGCAATTTCTTCAAGCAAAAGTTGACAAGCACCGTTCTTATGGAGACGTCACAGTTTGGTTTAGAAGCGATGACCAATTGCAGGTGGCCTGCGGCATGGTGTTTCGTGCCCGGGCAAATATCTCTGCATGCAGCAGAGAGCCAGCAGCCATGCTGGGGCCTCGAGCAGAGCCGCATTCCGCATTCGATCCAGATTCATGGTGGGGCAAAAAGGTTTATCGATAAACCAGGTGGGACTGTTTTATGCTCACCCTGCCGTGGACCTTTGTTAAGAGCGGGGTTTTTGTCGTCTTTCAGCCAATAGAATTTCTTTTTTGGCTAACACCTGGCTTCGGAGAAAAGATATTTCGAGCCTAGCGCCATTGGAATTCGCGAAGGCAGGCCCCCAGCTTCACGTCTCCTGCCAATTTTCCGTCCGGCGCGCAGCGCTGAGCGCAGCTTCCCATATCACTAACATCGACCCTGTGATACCCAAACTTCTTCCCTTCTGCCATTACGAGTCGCGATTTCATTCCACGATAGAAAAGTTTCGACGCGCGACCGTTTCCGACTCGAAATTTGTTAGTTAGCTGTTTTGTCGGACTCATGAAATAAGAAGCGCGCGCACGCAACAGCGTCTTCTTCCCAGCCTTGTCAACCCAGCTTGGTACGAAAGCACTTTTACTTCCTCCATCCATCTCGAAGCTCTCCAGACCCCGCATTCGCACCGCAGTCGGCTAACCAAATCAATAAGACTCTCCCTCGACCTGATCAGATACTTTTTATCTTACTAAACTGGCGAGAGCCAGCTAGGCTGTCGCCGTATAATTCTGCAGGGTGAATGTTGCGACCATGGCGACCAGTCTAATTGAGGATGTGGTGAAGAAGCTGAGTGTCGCCGAGACTGGTACGGGCAACTCCCTATCCGAACGAAGCCTCCTAGTGCTCCCTCTAATGCAAGTATCGTGCTATACAGAGCTTAAGGTCAAGGCCGAGGCAGCATGTGCGCTGCGCGACAGCCTCGACCATTATACGGCGGGACCCGCCTATCCTGCCTTCTTAAAGAAAGTAATGCCTGTCTTCATACACATCCTCCGTCAGCAGCCGGTGTTCCAGACAACTGGTGAGCAGGGCCATATGCAGAAGCTGCGCAACTGCATCCTCGAGATCCTCCACCGCCTACCGACATCCCAGACCCCGCCCGAGCACTTCGAGCCGTATGCCCACGAGATTGTCGACCTACTGCTAGAGCTAGTCCGTACCGATAACGAGGACAATGTGATCCTCTGTGTCAAGATCCTTTCCGATATCATGCGCCATCAGCACAAGATCATGAGCGGCAAGGTCCAGACGTTCTTGAACCTGATCCAGGAGCTCTTCGAGCAGCTGGACAAGGTCGTCCGGGACCAGCTGGACAATACGTCGACGACTGGGCCCCCAGGTCCCCCTTCGACTCCCGGGAGCACACAGTCCTCGTTCTTGCCGCACCAGCAATCTCCTCGACCAGGCTCTCCGGTCACCACTGGGGTCACCGACTTTGGTGCTGATGCGAACCAGCAGGCCAACCGGCTGCTGCCGAGGGGCATGTACTCCTTCAAAGTCTTGGCCGAATGCCCCATCATCGTGGTATCCATATTTCAGGTTCATCGGTCAGCTGTCACCCCCAATGTCAAGGCCTTTGTGCCCTTAATCAAGTCGGCTCTGTTGTGTCAAGCGAAGGCTCAAGATCAGGCACACCGAGAGGCTGCCGCTCGGGGGACCATCCATATTGGGGTCAGCCCCAACATCAAGAATCGCGCCGCCTTTGGAGATTTCATCACAGCTCAAGTCAAGACAATGAGTTTCTTGGCTTACCTCCTTCGGCAGTACTCGAGCCAGCTGTCTGATTTTCTTCCCCATCTGCCGGACATCATCGTCCGCCTGTTGAGAGATTGTCCACGGGACAAGTCGAGTGCTCGAAAGGAGTTGTTTGTTGCCATCCGGCACATTATCAACTTCAATTTCCGGAAGATCTTCTTACCAAAGATTGATGAGCTCCTTGACGAGCGAACCCTTGTGGGAGATGGCCTCACGGTTCACGAGACCATGAGACCGTTGGCATACAGTATGTTGGCCGATCTCATCCATCATGTTCGGGACCAGCTTTCGCCGGAGCAAATCCGCAAGACCGTGGAAGTGTACACGCGAAACCTCCAGGATAATTTTCCCGGCACGAGCTTCCAGACGATGAGCGCCAAGCTTCTCCTCAATATGGCCGAGTGCATTGCACGACTACCGAATAAGGTAGATGCCCGGCACTATTTGATCATGATACTAAATGCCATCGCCGACAAGTTCGCTGCGATGAATAGGCAATACCCGAATGCGGTGAAGCTCTCTAAGCAGTATGCGCAGCAAGCAGCCAAGAATGTCCCGGAGACATATCTCGCCGATAAGGAGAACCCTCCAGACTGGGATGAAATCGACATCTTCAATGCCACACCGATCAAGATTTCCAACCCTCGCGATCGGGCAGCCGATCCTGTGGTGGATAACAAGTTCCTCTTCAGGAACCTTATGACGGGCTTGAAGAACACGTTCTATCAGCTTAAGAGCTGTAACATCCCAGGAGCGGTGGATCTAACCGGTGCGCCAGCCCATTGGACAGATGTTGCCTACGGCTTCACTGCCGAGGAAGTCAAGGTCATTGCGAAGCTCTTTCGCGAGGGCGCCTATGTCTTCAGGTATTATGAGATCGAAAAGCCGGCCGCAGAGTCCCCATACAGTTCTCCGGTCGAGTACATGGCAAACTTTTACATGGTGTCTAGCAGCAAGGAGGAAAAGGAACTGTTAGAGACGTTTGCCACAGTTTTCCACTGCATCGACCCGGCAACTTTCCATGAGGTTTTCCAGCAGGAAATCCCCCGCCTTTATGAGATGATTCATGAGCATACCGCTCTTTTGCACATCCCGCAGTTTTTCCTCGCCAGCGAGGCCACGTCTCCCTCTTTCTGTGGCATACTCTTGCGATTCCTCATGGAGCGTATTGAAGATGTGGGCTCGGCGGATATCAAGAAGTCATCGATTCTGCTTCGACTATTTAAGTTGGCATTCATGGCGGTCACCTTATTTGCCAATCAGAACGAGCAAGTACTTCTGCCACATGTCGTCGACATCGTGACCAAGTCAATCGAGCTTTCGACCAAGGCCGAAGAGCCGATGAACTACTTCTTGCTGTTACGGTCACTGTTCAGGAGTATTGGCGGCGGCAAATTCGAGCACCTGTATAAGCAGATCCTGCCCCTCTTGGAGATGCTTCTCGACGTCCTCAACAACCTTTTGATGGCCGCCCGGAAGCCCGCTGAGCGGGACCTGTACGTGGAGCTGTGTCTCACAGTGCCGGCCCGTCTCAGTAACCTGCTCCCTCACTTGAGTTTCTTGATGCGGCCGCTAGTTGTCGCGCTTCGTGCGGGAACTGAGCTTGTTGGCCAGGGGTTGCGCACGCTTGAGCTCTGTGTCGACAATTTGACTGCGGATTACTTGGACCCTATCATGGCGCCTGTTATCGATGAGCTTATGACGGCCCTCTTCGATCACCTGAAGCCTCACCCGTACAGCCATTTCCACGCCCATACTACCCTTCGGATCCTTGGAAAGCTTGGTGGTAGGAATCGCAAGTTCATGACGGAAGCTCTTCCTGTCACTTTCCAGCAGTATGTCGACGACAGAGCGAGCTTTGACCTGCGCTTGATAGGATCAAAACGGGATCGAGCATTCCCTGCCCATCTCGGCATCGACCTTGCAATTCAGAAGTTGACGGAGATTCCCAAGCCTGTGAAGGGTGGTGTTCCTCAGCTCTCTAGGCAATATGACCCTTACTACAAGAGGCAAGCTCTGAACCTGATCATCGCACAGACGAAGTTGCGGGTTGGGTTCGACAGCGTTCCTGAGGATCTCCCGCGTCTTGTGCGCTTGCAGGTTGAGGACCTTGTGAAGAAAAACCGGGATGTGGACATTTCCCTTTTTGAGGTATCAGACAAGGAGCGGTCGATTGCCAAGAAGAATGAAGAACAAGCCTTGCTCAAACGGTTGCTCAAAGCCCTGCTGTATGCCGAGTCGATACCGGAGTTCAAGCAAGAAGTGGACGCTTTGCTCGTCAACCTGGCGCGGCACTTTACTCTTATTGAGATTGGGCGCTCCGTGATCGACATGAAGAAGGCGTATACACCATTCGATACAAAATCGGGCGAGGGCCCCCTCTTCATTGATAACAGGGTATTGTCGGAGGCCATCCTGGAGTCCTTGGCAAATGAGAACCTCGAAGTTCGTGAAGCCGCTAAGCGCCTGATCAAGGAGATGCACAACGCGGCCGTGACCGTCTTCGGATCGCCAATGCATGTTCCGCGCATGACATTCTGGAGCAGTTTGGCCTCGACATTCTGCCACGGGTGCTATGAAGAAGAGTGGTTCACCAAGCAAGGAGGCGCCTTGGGCATCCAGACCCTTCTCACCGAGATTGACCTCGGTGACCTCTGGGTGGCGGCCAAGCAGATCGAATTCGTCCGCGCCCTGATGTATGTCGTCAAGGACATGCCCCAGGATCTCCCGGAAAAGACCCGGAGGACCGCTCAGGTCACGCTCGAGCAACTGCTCGCGAGGATCACCAGGAATGCCAAGAAGCAGGACTGCTTGCCACCACCCCCTCCTCCTGCACCTCCTGGATCTCACCCACCGCAACCGCCCCCGAGACCTCCTAGGCTAGCACAGCTTGTTATGATGCTCAACTCTGAGCTTGCTCATATGAATCGACATGTGAGGGCAACAGCCAGGAGGTCGATTGAGGCGATTGCTGCAGCTGCGCAGGCTGAAGTGTGGGAGCTCCTGGAGCCTCACAAGAAGCATATTCTTGGGCCGATCTATGCCAAGCCCTTACGTGCTCTTCCGTTTGCAATTCAAATCGGCTATATTGACGCGGTGACCTATTACATGTCGTTGAAGCGCGACTTTGTTCCCTTCGACGAGAATCTCAACCGCCTGCTTATGGAGTCCCTAGCCCTGGCGGACGCGAGCGATGAATCTCTGGCCGGCAAGACCTTGGAGTTCAGGACGCATGACTTCATCGTCAACCTGCGTGTATCCTGTATCAAGATCCTGAGCCGCGCGATGAGCTTTGAGGAGTTTGGCAGCGGATCGAATAATCCCACAAGACCGAAAGTGGTGTCGGTTTTCTTCAAGTGTCTGTATTCAGACTCTCAGCCAACCATTGACGCTGCCAATGACGCTCTGAAGGCTGTTCTTCAACATACCACAAAATTGCCCAAAGATTTGCTGCAGTCTGGTCTCCGGCCCGTTCTCGCCAGTCTGCAGGATGCGAAGCGCCTTACGGTCCATAGTCTGGACAATTTGGGCCGTCTGCTGCGGCTCCTGACAACATACTTCAAGGTCGAGATCGGAACCCGGCTGCTTGAGCATGTCAAGCAAATCGCCGACCCGAACTTCCTCCAGCAGCTGTCTTTCACCTTTTTCGAGCAGAACAACGCCATGAAAGTCATTGCCGCCGTCTTCAACATCTTCCACTTGTTGCCTGATGCGGCCAGACAGTTCAAGGAGCGCGTCATCGACAATGTCCTCGATTTGGAGCAGAAGCTCCGGAGGACTCACCACAGCCCTTTCCGTCTGCCTCTCTACAAGTACCTTAACAAATACCCTTCTGATATCTGGGCCTTCACCTTGCAGAAATTGGAGGACTTGAGGTACGGTCGCTTTCTGGCTCAGGTGCTGCGCCACCCCGACAGCCAGGTACTTCGTGACTACGGCGCCGCGAATGTCGAGTTCATAATCAAGACATGCAATACCGTCGTCGTCTCTGGCAAAGAAACCAAGTTCATTGCCATCATAAACACAATCAACATGCTGGATGCTCTCTGCCAGTTCCCCACAGCCAACTCTCAGTCCTGGCTAGACAACAAGGAGCACATTGAATGGCTGAAGACGGTTGGTAAGGAGCTGGAGCTCCAACAAAAGAAAAACAGCTTGACGCCGAACCTCCGGCTTCCGGCCCACCAGGCTTCTGAGCAGCTCATGAACATCCTGACAAAGGCGCTAGATAGGAACCCGAATGACCTGGATGCTCTCTTCAGTCTTGTTGAGGGGATCACCTCAGATGACTTCCGCGAGACGCCAGCGTTGCTTTCCCATATCTATAACAAGATCATTCGCAGCGATTCCATCGATTTCTGGAGGATCACCATCCTGCGCTGTCTCGACATATATTCCGGGAAGACGGCGTCGCAGCGGATGAAATGGTATCTGCTGCACAACATTGTCAATCCGATTATTGCGATGGATGTCATGAGGACCTGGGACGACCCAAACAAGGCCTCACGACTTCTGGACAGGACGGTGATCGACTCGATCAACACTAAGATTTGGAAAGTCAACCTGCCCGATCCGCAAGAGGATTTGCTGCAGCCTAGGGTAGACCACACTCGCATGGAGGTCCTTCAACTGTCGGCCATGCTTGTCAAGTATCGTCATGCCCTCCTGCAAGATGCGCGCAAGGATTTCATCAAGTTTGCCTGGACATACATTCGTCTGGACGATGTGATCAACAAGCATGCAGCCTATGTTGTCATCGGGTACTTCATCGCGCACTACGAGACGCCGGCCAAGATTGTTTCCCAAATCTATTTCTCTCTTCTCAAGACGAACCAGAACGAAGGCCGTGCTCTCGTCACCCAGGCGCTGGAGCTGATGGCGCCAGTCATGCCCAAGCGGTGCCCATTTCCTCCAGGTGATCGCAACCCGGTTTGGGCGCTTGCTCCACGCCGTATCCTTGCCGAGGAGAGCCAGAACGTTCAGCAGATGACAGCCATTTTCCACTATCTGGTGCGGCATCCAGATCTGTTCTACGATACTCGAGACAAATTTGCGATGCTCATCATCCAGTGTTTGCGCAAAGTCGCGTCGCCGCCAAACCCCTCGAATGACAACCGCAAGCTCGCGCTCAATATGATGTGGTTGATTTGGCAGTGGGAGCAGCGGCGCGTCGAGAGCAAGCTTAGCGAGCCTCTTCGGGCCCCGTCCGAGTCCCCCAATAGCAACAAGCGCAAACTGGATGAGCAACAAGGGCTTTCTCCATCGGCCACACGGCAGGCTGAGTTCCAGATTCCCTCGGTTGGGCGTCACAAGATGATCCGCTATCTTGTGGAATTCATTGCACAGCTCAACGAGCGTTATCCCCTCCCTTCTGCCAGACCGTCTGATCCTCCTACGACAACGAGCTTTTTGCTTCCTTCTCCTTCAAATGAGCTGTGTAAGAAGGCGACGGCTCTCCTCTACAACCTCCTCCAGCCACAGTACTGGGGCGATCTCGTAGAGGAGATGGACCTGTTCCCGAACGTCACGGATCTCGTTCTGGCGGGCGAGAAGTCAGCCACTCTCCTTTCTGCGGACCCGTCGGACCCCGAGAAGTGCGACGATAAGCTGATCACCAGTATCATCAACACGCTCCAAGTGGTCCGTATCGTCCTCCACTTCAAGTCAGATAGGTGGATTCTAGACAACATGCCGCAAATCCAGAAGATTTTGGAGAAATGCTTGAAGTCCGCAAATCCAGAGATTCAGGACTGCTTGCACATGGCTGACCGGAAATACGATGGAGACCGTGACGTTAAGCCCACCATCAAGCGGATTCTGGACGCTGTTCCGGAAGATATCCCGATGGAGGACGCTGATGGAGACATTGAGCCCGAGTCGCAGACTTCGGAACTCATCGCCTGGCTCTCGGGCATCGCTACGGAGAGCATGGCCGCCGGAAACTATGTCTCGGGTATCAACATCCTGTGGTCTTTGGGCCATCGCAAGCCTTCCATTATCGACCAGCACATACCGGCCATCATGAGGTCGCTCCAGTCAAAGCTGGCTCGTGACCATGTTTCCCACTACGCCGCACTGGGACACCAGGCCAGTGGTCTACGGCCTCAGGCAGACCCTAATGCGCCGACAGAAATGAAGGCTTATGACCTTGAGATTCAGACGAACTTAATCCTGAAGGCCATCGAGGTGACTGCCATGCGCATGGAGATTTTGGGCGACAACAGGAGGCCATTCCTGAGCGTGCTCGCTACGATAGTAGAGAAGTCCTTGCACATTCCGCTCTGCGAAAAGATTCTCGAGATGGTGGAGGGCTGGGTATTCCGGTCGGAAGGCACGTGGCCCACGCTGAAGGAGAAGACGGCGGTGCTTCACAAGATGATATCCTTCGAGCACCGTACCGATCCGACCATGCTTCACAAGTTCCTCAACCTCGTCCTCCGCATCTACGAGGACCCCAAGATCACTCGCACAGAACTGACCGTCCGCATGGAGCATGCCTTTCTCATCGGCACGAGGGCTCAGGATGTCGAGATGCGCAACAAGTTTATGTCCATATTCGACAAGTGCTTGTCCAAGACGGCTAGCGCCCGGTTGGCATATGTGATTCTCGGCCAGAATTGGGACACACTTGCGGACTCGTACTGGCTTGCGCAGGCGTCGCAGCTTCTTTTGGGCGCTGTTGATATGAATCCTACCATCCAGCTGCACCAGGACGATTTCCGTACGCTCCCCATCTCCCAGCTTGTCGCTCCTTATGCCAAGGACTCTCGCGAGCCATCCGTCATGATCGACGATAAATTTGAAGCCTTTATGGCTAACCACCGCCGCTTCCTGGCCGAGCTCGGCGATGTGAGAGCTCGCGACGTCTTGGAGCCTCTGATGCAGCTTCAACACATCGACGCCAACTTTGCCCACGAGCTTTGGGTGGCCTTGTTCCCGATGTTCTGGTCGGCGGTGCCCAAGGAAGACAGGCCGGATCTCGAGCGCGGTCTCGTCACCTTGCTCACCAAGGACTACCACTCTCGCCAGATGGACAAGCGGCCCAACGTGGTTCAGTCGCTCATGGCAGGTGCTGTCAAGACGTGGCCACATTGCAAGATCCCGCCCCATGTCCTCAAGTTTGAGGCAAAGACATACGATGCCTGGTACACGGCACTGCATCAACTCGAGAATGCCGCCATTAAGCCCGAGATCGATTCTGCCGCAGTGCGTGAAAGCAACCTCGATGCTCTGGTGGATCTTTACTCGACCCTCGGGGAGGATGATTTATTCTATGGCACGTGGCGTCGTCGCTGCCAGTTCGTTGAAACGAACGCCGGCCTGTCTTATGAACAGCACGGCATGTGGGAGAAGGCCCAACGCATGTACGAATCCGCCCAAATCAAGGCACGGACCGGTGTCATCCCATTTTCCGAAGCGGAATACATGCTTTGGGAGGACCACTGGGTGCTGTGCGCGCAGAAGCTGCAGCAATGGGAGATCTTACAGGACTTTGCTAAGCACGAGAACTTCCAGGATCTCCTCTTGGAGTGCGCCTGGCGGAACACAGAGTACTGGCAGAACCAGGAAAATCGCGACCAGTTGGATACCGTCATCAAGGGTGTCATGGATGCACCAACGCCGAGACGCTACTTTTTCCAGGCTTTCATGTCGCTTCTCAAGCTGCATAACAAGCAAGAGACTCCCCAGGACTTCAACCGCGTGGTCGACGAAGCGATTCAACTGTCGATAAGGAAGTGGCACCAGCTCCCGAAGCGACTCACCGCGGCCCACGTTCCCCTCTTGCAGAACTTCCAGCAGCTAGTTGAGCTTCACGATGCGAGCGTCATCTGCCAGAGCCTCGCCCAGACGAACGCCAGCAACCTCGACGTCAAGTCCGGCGAGCTCAAGCTGCTTCTCGGCTCTTGGAGGGACAGGCTTCCCAACATGTGGGATGACATCGTCGCGTGGCAAGATCTTGTTACCTGGAGGCAGCATGTGTTTGGTCTCATCAACGCTACTTACTTGCAACTGATTCCGCAACAGGCCCAGAACGCCGGTGGCGCGTCATTTGCATACCGCGGATACCATGAGACCGCCTGGATTATCAACCGGTTCGCCCACGTCGCCAGGAAGCACGCGTTGCCTGAAGTCTGCATTAGCCAGCTCAGTCGCATCTACACGCTTCCTAACATAGAAATCCAAGAGGCGTTCCTGAAGCTGCGCGAACAGGCCAAATGCCACTATCAAAACCCGGACGAGCTGACAAGCGGCCTGGACGTCATCAATAATACTAACCTCAACTACTTCAGCGCCCCGCAAAAAGCCGAGTTCTATACATTGAAGGGTATGTTCTTGGAGAAGCTTGGTCAGAAGGAAGAAGCCGACACTGCGTTTGGCACGGCCCTCTACTTTGACATCACAGCTGCGAAAGCCTGGGCGGAGTGGGGTTACTTCAACGACAGGAAGTTTAAGGAGAATCCTTCCGACCTCCCGTCCGCCAAGCAGGCGCTCACAAGCTACCTTCAAGCGGCGTCGAGCTACAAGAATCACAAGTCGCGGAAGCTGATCGCGCGCATCCTCTGGTTGCTGAGCCTTGATGACGCCAACGGCACAATTGCGGCAGGTTTTGATGACTTCAAGGGCGAGATCTATGTGTGGTGGTGGATCATCTTCATCCCCCAGCTCCTAGTCGGGCTTGGTTACAAGGAGGCGCCGAGGGTGCAGGCCATTCTGCTCAAGATTGCTAAGACGTACCCGCAGGCGCTCTACTTCTTGCTCCGCACCAATAGGGAGGACATGCTCACGATCAAGAAGAACCAGGAGGCAAAAGAGCGCGCACGACAGCGAGCTGCGCAGGCCGCAATCCCTAACAAACCGAACGGCTCTCCGCAGCTCACGAAGAAAGACGGCGCTGCTGGAGCGGCTGATGGCCGACCACCGACAGCCAATGGCGAGACGCCAAAGCCGCCAGAGATCAAGATCGAGGGTGCTGCTCCCAATGCACCGACTGCTGCTACACCACAAGCAGCGGCAAACGCCCCTCAGGTTCCGGGAGCTGCGCCGGCCGAGCAGCAGACAGGCGGTGTCCAGAAGAAGCCGCCATGGGAGCTCACTGAGGAGATCATGAGTGTCCTCAAGACAGCATTCCCGCTTCTTGCGCTGTCAATGGAGACGATGGTAGACCAGATCCAGAAGCATTTTAAGTGTCCGCCTGATGAGGACGCCTATCGTCTCATTGTCGCCCTGCTCAACGATGGTCTCTCGTACGTCAGCCGCATGCCGGCCTCTTATGCTAAGGACGTCAAGCTGCCGGCGGCCACGGAGAACAACATCACGCGCTTTGCCGAGACAATCCTACCGAACCACATCCGCCCCACGTTTGAGGCTGATTTCGTCAAAGTCAAGCCCACGATGTACGAGTACATTCACAATCTTCGCAAGTGGCGCGACAAGTTCGAGGAGAAGCTGGATCGCCGCGCTTCGCCGGCTCCTCTCGAGAGCTTCGCCCATTACTCGCCACATCTCAGCGAGTTCCGGTACCAGAAGTTCGACGACGTCGAGATTCCGGGGCAGTACCTGCAACACAAGGATAAGAATCAGGATTTCATCCGGATTGACCGGTTCCTGCCCAACGTCGACCTCGTGCGGACCATTGGCGCCTCACACAGACGACTCCGCATCCGCGGCCACGATGGCAGCGTCCACGCATTTGCGGTTCAACACCCCGCGGCACGGCATTGCCGGCGTGAAGAGCGTGTCCTGCAACTGTTCCGACAGCTCAACCAGACCCTGGCCAACAAGAAGGAGAGCAGGCGTAGAGACCTGCAGTTCACGCTTCCGCTTATGGTGCCGCTCGCGCCTCACATCCGGATTGTGCAGGAGGACACTTCGTACATTACTCTCCAGAGTGTCTATGAGGATCACTGCAGGCGACATGGCATGAACAAGGATGAGCCAATTCTTTTTACAATGGAGAAACTCCGCGGTCTAATGGATGCTAAGGCCTTGGTAAGTTCCCCCCCGGCTCATGTGCTTGTACATGCCTGGGAACCCGTGCTGACGCGAAACTATTTACAGCAAAAACCGGAGCAGGCGGTCACGGCCAAGCTCGAAGTATACCGGGCCATCCAGGAGAAGTTCGTCGACCATACAATCGTGTTGGAATACTTCCAGGGGGCTTACCCGAACTTCGCCGACTTCTGGCTCTTCCGCAGGCGCTTCTCGTACCAGCTGGCGGCGCTCACCTTTATGACGTACACGATGCACATCGACAAACGTTACCCGCACAAGATGAACATCGCTCGGGGGTCCGGCAACATCTGGGGATCGGAAGCTGTGTCGTACATGGCACCAAGCCGGCCATTATTCCAAAATACCGAGCCGGTTCCGTTCCGCCTGACGCCCAACTTGCAAACATTGATGGGCCCGTTGGCCACAGAAGGCATCTTTGCGGCCTCAGTGATGGCGATCGCGCGTTGCTTGACGGAGCCGGAGCAGCACCTGGAGCATGCGCTGACGCTCTTTGTGCGCGACGAGATGATGTTTTGGTTCACCAACTCCCACCGGACTATGAGCCTGACGGAGAATCAGCTGCGCGAGACGGTGCAGGCCAACTGTGATATGATCGTCAAGAAGGCCCTGGCTCTTGCGCAGACTCCACAGGGCAACTTGCCTGCACACCAGACGGTCACGGATCTAATTGCTAAGGCCACGAATCCGATGAACTTGGCATTGTGTGATGCACTGTGGATGCCGTATCTGTGATTGGGACGAGGAGCAAACAGCTTTGGTGAGGAGGAGGCAGTGGAGGAAGAGTAATGGAATACGACTTGCTTTTTCGTGGGTTTTGTTTGCTTCGCAGCGATGGCTTATCTTCTCTGCTCTGCTCTCTGCTCTGCACGGCGTTACTAGGAATACTATAGATGGTTCTTGAAAGCAGGAAGGATGATTGATATGATGACGACGTTGGTCAAGTGGAGGACATGACTAAATGCTTGATAAGTTGCTGGTTTTTCATTGTTCGTTTTATTGCTCTGTCTTTAGTATGAGTAAAGTAATTGCAAATATTTGTGGAAGGGAGCCAATACACTTGTACACTATGTTGGTGTTTGTTGATGCTTCATCCTCGATGTCTTTGCTGATTGTGTGCCTCGGCATCTTTTGGTGTCCGGGCCGAAACTGATCTGCGGAGACGGACTACGATGGCCGGGTACATGTTCCCGCACGCCAACCCCGCACTGCAAGGGGTCCCTTGGGGCACTTGGAGCTTACCGGCGTAGGGTACTTGAGTTTGTTTGGGGAGGTCCGACCTTGCTTGTACAGCCCCAACCTGTTCGGTTGCAAGTTGATCGATCTTGTCTGTGTTGACTTCGTTGTCCGTTGTTGTCTTGGGAGAAACGAGTCGTTGTTTGGTCATATATATATATATCATCAGATTTGGAGGACTCGACATTCTGGGCTTTTATAATAAGGGATTAACTACCTATAGAGGTTTCACTGCTGACTGACTCCAGCCTCTCCGACCAGCAACTAACAGAAGCGGAAAGTCTGCCGTTGCAACTCGACTAGCATCAGCATCACAATGGCCGTCGGGCAAGCAGAAGACCAACAGGTCGCGGTGCCGCGGAAGCTCTGGTACGATTCCTCCTTCATTCTATCCCGGCACAGCAACTTATACGACTCATTTTGGTTTGCATTCACGCTCATATTCCCCTAACTGAGTCGTAGGGAGCACCCCAACCCAGAGTCAACTTATCTGTACCGGTTCATTCAGGACATCAACCGCAAACATAACCTGCAGCTAAAGGTTGGTTTTTATGTGTTTTTATATGGTCCCAGTGTGTAGATGACAGCAACTAAACCTCCATCTCTTCCCTCAGACATTCGCAGACCTCCATGCCTGGAGTATTGCCAACCGCTCGGCCTTCTGGGCTGCCGTCTTTGAAGACGCCGATTACATCTACGAAGGCCGCTACACCCGCGTCGTCGACGAGTCCCTGCCCATCGATGCCGTCCCGCGTTGGTTTGAGGGTGTGCGCCTGAACTGGGCCGAGAACATGCTCTACTCGCACCCGACCGGTACTCCGAGCACTACCCGAAGCACCGCAGGCAAGGAAGACAGCCGGATCGCTATCACGGAGGTCCGTGAGGGCGCTAGCGAAGTCAGGGAGGTCACCTTCGGTGAGTTGAGGCAGCAGGCTGGCCGCCTGGCCAGGGCGATGCAGGCCAGAGGAGTCAAGAAAGGTGATCGCATCGTGGTTGTGTGCGCCAACAGCGTTGAGACATTGGTGGTTTTTCTCGCAACGACCTGGCTAGGTGCGATCTTTAGCAGCAGCTCGACCGACATGGGTGTCAAGGGGATTCTGCAGAGGGCGGTTCAGGTCAACCCGAAGTTGCTGTTTATGGATGATGGTGCCCTCTATAACGGGAAGGTGGTTGACCTCCGGGGAAAGATGGCTGAGGTTGTCGAGGGGCTGAAGCAGTGCTCTAACTTTAATGGTGTGGTATCCATCCGGCGGTTCGCGAAGGCGTATGATATCTCGAAGGTGCCCAATGCCGAGACATGGGACTCGTTCATGGCCGCTGCTGGTCCTGATCCGAAGGCACCTGCCCCCGAGTTTGTTCGCATCCCCTTCCACGAGCCCTTCCTCATCTGCTACTCGTCTGGTACAACGGGCACGCCCAAGGCCATTGTGCACTCTATCGGAGGTGTTCTCATCAGCATGTACAAGGAGGGCCACCTGCACGAAGGCACTGATGCCGACACAGTCACCCTGCAATACACCACGACGGGCTGGATCATGTACCTCAGCAGCATCGCCATCCTCCTGCAGGGCGGCCGTGCCATCCTGTACGATGGCTCGCCCTTCCAGCCCGACGTCGGCATCCTCGTCCGTGTGGCCTCCCAATACGGCGCCACCAAGCTAGGCATCAGCCCCCGCTGGATGTTTGAGATTGCCAAACGCGGCCTGCGTCCCCGTGAGATGGCTGATCTCTCTCGCCTGCGCACCGTCACCTCCACAGGTATGGTTCTCTCCGACCAACTCTTCGAATGGTTCTACGACGAGGGGTTTCCCCCGAACGTCCACTTAGGCAACATCTCCGGCGGCACCGACATCGCGGGCTGCTTCGGCATCATGAACCAGCTCACTCCCGTCTACGTCGGCGGTACGCAAGGCCCCTCCCTCGGCGTCCCCGTCGCCATCTTCGACTCCCTCCTCCCCGACGGCGCCCCCGGTAAGGAAGTTCCCCCCGGCACTCCAGGCGAACTGGTCGCAACCGCCGCCTTCCCCAACATCCCGTGCTTCTTCTGGGCCGACAACAAGCCCACGAGCGGCAGTGGCCCAGCAGCTCCGGGCACGAGGTATCACTCGTCGTATTTCGCTCGCTTCCCGCACGTCTGGGCGCATGGAGATTTCTGCGTGGTTCATCCCGTCACGGGGGGTATCAGCTTCCTGGGCAGGGCGGACGGCGTGCTGAACCCGAGCGGTGTACGATTTGGGTCGGCCGAAATTTATGGTGTCATTGAGAGAAGGTTTTCGGACCGCGTGCAGGACTCGCTTTGCGTTGGGCAACGCAGGCCGCAGGATGCAGATGAGTCGGTGATGCTGTTTTGTTGATGAAGCCCGGGCATAAGTTTGATGAGAAGCTGGTGAAGGAAGTTAAGGAGGCGATTGCGACGGATTTGAGCAAGCGGCACGTGCCGAAGTATGTTTTTGAGACGCCCGAGATTCCGGTGAGTGTGCTCCCCCCCCCCCCTCTCCTCTGGTTGACATGTTTAGTAGGAGGAGATGGGAACTAACAGAGGGCTAGACAACCGTCAATCTCAAGAAGGTCGAGCTGCCTGTTAAGCAGATTGTCTCGGGTCAGATCATCAAGCCCAGCGGGACGTTGCTTAACCCGCAGAGCTTGCAATACTACTACCAGTTTGCCAAGGTGGAAGAGCTGGTCAATTCGAAGGCGAAGCTGTGAAGTGGTATGGCCGCTCGGAATATGATAAGCAGGCACACCGTTGGCGTGAATCGGCAAGTAAAGGAAGTGCTTGGACATGGTCTAAGATAAAATAATAGTATCAATTCAAAGAACATTGCATCCTAATGCAGGCATCAGCCAAACCCTGTGACCGTTTTTCCTGACCAGTCTCGGAATCCCTTTAATGTTACCCCGTAACTGAATACGTACCTAATATACCGTGACGCCGTCGCTATGCTATTCCATACCAAACATATTTGTATCCATCGTCGAAAAAGACATATGCACAACCCCCTCTCCTTCCAGCTTTTTCTGAATTCCGCGTCCCTCTCCCATCTCCCTTCTTCTCAATCATCGTCACTCATATCCATCATACTCTCTCGTCTATCTTCAGGAGGCAATCGTCCTCGCCCACGACTGCCTGCACCCAGACCCTTTTTAGACTGACTACTGCTCGCTGCCGCTCCCCTGAGGACACCCTTCCCTTTATCTCGTACTGCCCCTGATGACGATGACGAAGAGCCTTCCCCTGAACTCCCACCCCCTCTCGAACCCCCGAATCTCTTCTCAAACCTTTCCCTCGCAGCAGCCTTTCTCCCGTCCAACTCCAACTCGAACCGTTCCATCTCCTCTTCCGCATCCTCTCCCTCGTCAAGTCTACCGCCGCTTCCAAACGAGTCCGCTGGCCGCGATTCCGTCCTCAGCTCCTTCATCAGCCCCACCAACCCTGCCTGTGCACTCTCTTCCAGTGCCTTGTTAAGCAACTCTGTCGCTACCGGATCCTGCGGGTTGATCGCCAGCGCTTCGTGTAACACCTTGGCTGCTTCATCGGGCAAGCCCTTCTCAAGCAAGATAAGAGCTTTTGCGCTGAACACAGCGCAATCCTTTCCTCCATCCCGCAGGACTTCATCAAACTTTTCCAGCGCCTTATCCAGCATGCGCAACCGGCGATAGGCATGGCCGAGGTTTGTTCGGGCGCCAAGCCAAGCCGTTGGGTCGGCGTCTGTCGCGTTAGCGACGTCGATAGCTTCTTCAAAGAATTGCACTGCTTCTTCAAGGCGATCTTGATGATACATCACCACGCCGAGCTCGTTCAGCAGCAAGGGATCAGTCCGGCACAGGTCGTACGCAGTCTTGAGGTACTCCTCTGCAGCAGCCATGTTATTCAGGGCATGGTTCTGCATGCCGAGGAAGAGTTGAGGGAGATGTGTGCCCGTGAAGAGACGAGCAGCGGTTGAGTAGGCGGTAACAGCTTGGTCGTGCTCGCCTTCGGCCGCGAAGGTGTGCGCGAATCCTATCCAGGCAGGGCCGAAGGTTGCGTCCATCATGGAAGCTTTGGAGAAGTAGCGGCGAGCGTCGGTGATCTTGCCTGTGGCGAGGTAGTAGATGCCGACGGCCAGCCAGGTTGTGGGCTCGTCGGGATGGGTGTCTGCGAGGTCGTGGGCGATGAGGAAGAGTTCATTGGTCATTTGGAGCTCGTAGAGACAGGAGAGGTGGACTGGATAGGCGGGGAAGTTGTACTTGTCTTCCTTGAGGATGGCGGCAGTCAAGGCACAGGCCTCCTTGAAGCGACATTGCGTGTAGAGCAGGCTGGCTCGGGCTAGAAGAATGTCCGCGTTGTCCTTGAGACCGTAGTGTGTCGACAGGGTCTCGATGTAGCCATTGAGGGTGTGAGGGTCGCGGTACTTGGACAGTTGGGTCTGGTAGAGCATGTGTACGTATTCGCCGGGTTCTGCCCTCATCTCCGGATCGTCATAGCCTTTGGGGAGTCTGACAGAGCTGAAGTCGAGTGATTGCATAAACTCATCCTCCTCGTCAGGCGACATGAGCGAGTTGCGTACTAGCTGGGTGAAGGCCTCGTAGCATTGTACGTCGATGCGCAAAGCGTCCTTGTACGCCTCCTTGGCCCGGTCAAAAGCATTTTGCTTCGCATAGCAAAGACCCCGAAGGTAGCACATGCCAGCCTCGTAGCGACGATTCAAAGACTCCTCCTCACTGAGCTCTGGTGCTCGGGATCCAGCCCGTGTGTTGCGTGACGCCGTCCGGCTCGACTTCCGCTTCGCGTTATTGTGGAAGAGGTGGGTTGGGCTGTGTTCACCCAGCAGGGCCAGGGCTTCAGGGAATTTGTTCTGACGGATGAGGCAGTGGGCCGCCAGATAGCGACATGAGGGATTGGAGGTGATGAGGTCGTGCTTCTGCAGCAAGTCGTGGGCGCGCGTGTAGTTGCCGGCAGAGAAGTGGACTTGGGCGAGCCAGAAGGCGTCGCTGTCATTTTCTGGATGGAGGGGCAGCTCAGCATGAATTCGTACAATAAGAATTATTTTATTATAGGGACCGTACTCGTCATCGCCAGCACCTTGTCGCCGATGAAAATAGCGGCGTCGTACTGGGCCTTGTTGAGGGCATCCTGGCGCCAGTCGCGGAGGAATTTCTCCATGAGCGGTTGCGAGCAAGCCATCGTTGTTGTTATTGCTGCATTTGCTTGTTGAGAAAAGACAGATCTGGATCGCTATATCGCAAGCTTTCGAATGCTAGACGGTAAATCCAAGCAGTGTGCAATACCTAATTGGATTGTTAAGTCTGCAAAAACAAAGGCCGGTAACAACTGAGTCCTTAGACTTTCGACGTGGGGACGCGGTCGATGGTCCTTGCAAACAGACGTGCCTCGCGCTCTGCTGCGCGAGTCCAGGTGAGCTTGGCTCCGCCGCTTGGCGTCTTGGCAACGATCTTGGACCCTGCTTGGCATTGTGGGGTTGAGTGGATGGAGCCTACAGCTTGGCTTATCTCATCTCTTGAAGCTCGCTCATCATTGCTCACACTTCTTTCTCTCTCGCAAACATAAACTTTCGCTAGCAAGATGCCAGTCTAGCAACCTAAGCCATCGTGAATTTGAGACATAGATTGATTAATCACCAAGTCAAGAATTCGATCCATTACTATTAAGCGAATTCTGATCCTGAACCTATCCGTACTTTCCCCCCACATGCTTCCCTGCAGCCGGCCTGCAAAGTGCTAATATTCCCCGTTCTCACTTCTCGCCCTGAGTCCACTCGTCTTGTTCGTCGGATGACCAAGCCCTAAGCAGTTTGCAATCTTAAAGAACACATCGATATTGTTGTACGTGCCACCAAATGTCTCCTGGCAAGGCCCCCGCGCATACACAGGGACGTCGGTCAAGGAGTGCACTCCCTGGGTATCTCGAGTCGGCAGCGTTCCGTTTACCACGAACCCATCTGGCCGATCGCTTGGATTGACAAACGCCTCGCCATTTGCGCCAATGGAGATTGCCGGCGTTCTCGGCTTCTTACCCACTCCATACTGCTCACGGTGGTCCGGATTGGCGCCCATGCCTGCCGCGATCACATAGCGCGGATCCCAGTTGAGCGGGAAGTTGGGTCCAGTTCCGTAGCTTACGCCCGGTTTTGGCTCTGTGTATTGCGACAGACCTGAGTTTTCATAGATGCCAATCGCGTTGCGCTTGGCCCTCTCATCCTCCTGTGCGGCAAAGTATCTTGTGTCCGAATTGCCGAAGACATCTGGATTCCAGGTTCCAGTCAGCCTTGCTCACCGGGGGACGAAACAAGCGGGGACTCACCAAAGCCGTGGCCGTGATCTGCTGTCACCACAATCAAGGTCTCATCCAGGATTCTCAGCGCCTTAAGCTTCTCGATGGTGGCTCTGACGGTATCGTCCAGCTCTAGCAGATCGCCAAGAGCGCGGTCGTAGTCCAGGGCGTGCATCTGCTTGTCAATCGAGGCCCCTTCTGACATCAGAAAGAAGCCATTCTTGCCACCCCGCGTGTGCAGAATGTCGATAGCCTTCAGCGTCATGTCCTTAAGCCCAGGCAGGTCCTTGGCTGGCCCATTTGCCCCTGACGGATCATTCCTAAGGCTGTCAAGGTTCTCTCTAAAGATGTTGCGGTCAAGCCAAACCGGAAAGTTGCTCTTGCAAAAGATCCCAAGAGCTTTCTTGTCCTTCGGAGCCGCGAGGAGTGCGGTTTTGTTCCAACTGATCGAATATCCCTTCTTGGAGAATTCCGCATAGTAGTCCTTCCCCTGGTATGACCCAGACCCGGGTAAGAATTGCTCTGCGCCGCCTCCGAAGAAGACGTCCGGACCACCCGTCGTGGTCCAGGAGTAATTATTGATGCCGTTCAACGTTTGGTCGATGAGAACCCCGTACTGGTACCGCGAGCGAGAATGGCCAGTCAAGGCAATCGGAGTTGCGTCAGCAATGAAAGCGGTTGACACAGCACCCCAGGCTGAACCCTGTTCTGCTTGTCAGCTACCTGTGCTTCGCGTTAGTTGAATTTCCTCCCCTTACCCAGACTCGGCGCAAGAGCTCGACAATAGTCTCGACCTTGGGATCATCGAGAGGATCGGGGGATGAATCCGCATAAACACTAAACCACTGGTCAGCCCTTATGCAGACAGACAAGTTTCGATGACGGAGTTGATAGCCACTTGCCCCAGAGCATTCACTGAGCTCTTGTGACCGGTATACAGCGCCGAAGCCGAGTTCGCGCTGTCAGTGATGAATGTGTCGATTGAGTGAGTCTACTGTCCGGTCAGCACATCCCACAATGTGGACTCATATCGTGAGTTCGGCTGACCATCTGATGGCCCAATACTGGGAATGTATCGAACGCCATCAAGCTTTGGTACCGTCCATTGATAGTCTTGTGCGCCAGCAACCGAGCAGCGGTGATCATGTTGGTGGTCATGCCATCACCTATCGGGTTGTCAGCATGAACTCCCCTCCTGGGACTGGACTGGACTCTTGGGAGTGCTTACCGATGAATAAAATGACATTTTTGGCCTTCTTCTTGGTCGCTAGCGGCCGGACCGTCCACTTGGCTACCGTCGTCTTTCCTGAATAATACTTGAGGGTGACGGTGTACGTCCCCGGCTCATACAGCGCCACGCGTCTGTAAACTTTGGAAGCGACGTTCACGACGGACGGCGTCCCCGCATCTTTGGCGAACAGGTCTTCGTACCACGAGAACGTCCACTTCTCTACTGGAGGCTCCTTCAGCTTGAAGAATTCGGCAATACTCTTGGGCCGTCCGCCTTCCTTGGCGATGGTTGCTGTGAACTTCTCGTCGGGAACACCGTTGTTGAATGCCTCACTGCCGTTCTTCGGGGCATGGATCTCAAAGCGGATGTCAAACTCCTGACCTGGAAGGAAGTCTTGCTGGTCCGGCGGAATCACGCAGCCCAAGGTTGGACAGGTGCCGAGTCTCTGGAAAGTCTGCGCCGACACTACCGACAGCGAAGCTGTCAGACAGCACAACGCAGCCACGTTCACCCGAATCAACATTTTGTGAATGGGATGAAGTTGAACTTTTGGGCACCATTGAACGCGGACGATTGTGATACTTCATAAAGCCGTTAACCCGTCGATCACTTCCGCTTATATATATCCACGCGGCACTGCAGCTAACCGAGACGCGTTCCTCCCGCTCTTTCGGTGTCGACACCGAAGTCTCATGGTTGGCATGGGTCGAGGTGTTGTGCAATGAGAAGAACCTTTCCTCGCACCAAGGCTCTCTCACCTCTGCCACTTGCACGGCATGTTGACACGACAGCAGGAATCATGAACTGCAATGTGAGCACGTGTGCACAAGGTTGTTTTCTCGAGCCTGCAGCTTGCGATACCGTCACCCACGCGCAGCGGTCTTTGCAAGGTGATTATGAGAAGGCTTCGAGTAGATAGCTGCCATTGGCTTCGTGAAGTCTGTGGGAAGCTCCCCCATTCTACTCCTGGAGCGTCCCCTGGTTTGATGCCAAGATCTCATCGAGAGCTGGTCGACAACGTGATCTGGTTGGCGTCTCTGATTGGTCGATTCCGCCGCGGACGGCCAAATACGGCAACCAGAGAGTTGGGGAGCAGCGAGAGTCCGTCTTGTTAAGTTTTTATCTTCTTTTCACCCGATCGAAGTCATACCCGACCAACATGTGTTCGGTTGCCTGCATGTTCTTTCCTCGGACAAAATCATTGGTTGATTTCAGCATTGGATGAATGTTCTCGGCCAGGAACCGCTTCAACCCCTTCACTTTTATGTCCCATCTCCGAGATGTCTCTTTCCATTGTGATAACGATAAGAGCTTCCATCTCAGCATAGGTGTGCGACACAGAAATTTTGTTTATGCTCGATCTACCAGGCAAGTACATGTGGTACAATATTTCTGTCTCTCTAATGGACAGCTCGGATTTGGGCTTTAATATAGCACTCGTCAACGAAACCATATGACTAACAGATACTGTTGCATGCTGAGCAAGCCTCTGGCTCGTGAGAGTCCTCGTTGTAACTGGTAATGGTCACGTGGTAGGCGACATTATGGGTAAAAAAAAAAAAAGAACACTAAGCAGCCGAGGACTAGGCTTACGAGTCCTATCATCAGTGTTGCTGCTATATGACTGCCTGAGAAGTAACGTGGCTGTCTTCTTCTAGGGCTTAAGGGGGAGCAACACGCGCTTGAATCCATAAACGACTGCTGCATTATCCGCGCATTTGTTAAAATTCTATAATAAAAATGAATAATAGTATTTATTACTATACAAAAAAAGAATCTCATGGATATTACATTCCAAGCAAATGCACAACGTTAACGATAGATTTGGAATTGGTGTTTGAAACTCTCAGCTGTTATCCTCTTTAAGTGGCAGTGTCTTGCATGCGTGGTAATGGTTGGCCCGTGCCCCGCGTTTGTGTGACGAAATGGGCCCCTATGTGGGTCCAAAGTGCTCGTTTGCAATTGGCAGCATACCTCGCCTGACCACTCAGGCAGCAGGCAGTTTTCCCAAACTAAGCACATTCTCCGAAAACCATCACCTTGTTTGAGCCGCCGACTCCGTGAGACCTCCATCACAAAAGACACAGCGTTGGCGATTCTTCATCCGCCGCGGCGCTTTCGCCAACTTTTTCCCGCACTGATTAACTTCGCTGCGGCATCGATTTCGCCAATTCGAGCTTCGCAGGCATAAATACGTCATTTACCTTCTTTCTCCTCATTGTGTCGACTCGAAAAGTCGACGCGACGACAATCGGTTTTCGCCTGCCGTTGCCATCTCCTATGACGTGGCTCGCCTGACTGATTTTGCCCTTCTCTCTTCGCCAGGCAATCGCTGGTCGACTTAAGTCTCTCAAGCCCTTCAGTGACGATGAGCGCTCCGCCGCCGCAAGGGCCGCCGCCGGCGGCTCGCCCGCCTGGCCCTCCCCGTCCGCCTGGCAGTGGCCCTCCTCCCAGCATGCAGTTTCACCGCAAGGGCGTCTTCAATCCTCTTGTTGCCAGGAAGAAGCCGCGCCCGAAGCCAGCCTGCGCTCTCCCGCCGAAGGACCACAAGGCTTTGATGGAGCTCAACGCCAGCCAGGCCGCCCATAAGTTTGACGAGCTGCTTGGCCCCGAGAATGAAGCTGCTCTGAAGCGCTTGCAGGAAGAACGCGCCCGCAATGGTGGTTGGAGCGAGACTCCCGATAACTGTCAGGAATTCCCGCTTGTCATGACCAAGCGCTCGATGCTCGAGGGTCTGCGCTACCACATCATGCGCCTCAACAAGAAGACCGACGAGGACATCGATGTCACCAACCAAGAACAGTTCCCGCGCCCCGTTACCCTTCTGCGTCGTGACCCCCGTTTGCCTCCGGCCCACAAGATGAACCAAACTAAAGCAGAGGAGCAGACCCCGCGTGATCCTGCCGAAGCCGCCGAGCTGGAGCGCATTCGCCAACTCAAGGCTGAGCGAGAGGCTCAGCGTGCCGCAGACTTGGCCCAGATCGCGCCCGTTCTGCGTAACAACGAACCGAAGCAGAAACAAAATAACAACAAAAAAGAGAAGCCAACTGCATTTTACGGCCGCGACACAGAGGCCCAGAAGAAGGAGAGCCGGATCCACTATGAGGAGACCTGGCCCTGGCATTTGGAGGACGCTGAAGGCAAGGCTGGTGTCTGGGTTGGCTCGTACGTGTCTAATCTATCAGACCTCCATGTTGCGCTTGTCATCGACGGAAATCGCTTCCGTATGATCCCCCTGGAGCGCTATTACCGATTCGATGAGAAGCCCAAGTTCGAGACTCTCTCACTGGATGATGCCGAGAAGATGATGTATGAGGTGAAGGAAATCAAGCGGTGGGTCATGAAACAAAAGGAGCAGGAGGCATTGGAACGTGAGAAGAACGAGACACGCCAGTTCTTGCGCGGTCCCGTCCGCGTTAAGACCGAGAGCGCTACATCCCGCGCGGCCCGTCGCGACGAGCGCGCCGACGACTATGAGCTGGACATGTCCGGCGATGAGTTCCAGGATGATGATGAAAACCCCGGCTTTGATGCCGACGATGAGGAGACTAAGGAGACGAAGAATCGTCTGCGCCGTGAGCACATCCAGGCCAACACTTTCGGTGAGGGTGACGACCAGAAGGTCGAACAAGAGGAGCGCGAGGAGCAGCTGGAGCGCCTGCGCCGCAAGATGCTCGGCAAGCAGACCCTTAAGACATTGAAGAAGTTTGAGCATGCTATGGACTTTGAGGACATGGAATCTGACGATGAAAACAACCCGTTTACGGATCACGAGGTACTTTGTCTCTCACGATTGCTCTACTGTATGGTTACTAACCCTTGCAGGACTCGTCAGATGAAGAATCCGAAGACAAGGAGGATGAAGACAGCAAGAAGGAGCCCTCGGGCGCCAATACCAAGGGCAACGTGACGCCGTCGAGCAAGCAACGCGTTGACACGAAGAAGGCTCCCAATGCCGCCAGCAACAACAACAACAACAACAACAACAACAACAACAACAACAACAACAACAACAACAACAACAACAGCAACAATAACAACAATAACAACAATAACAACAGCAGCAGCAGCAGCAATAATAATAATAATAAGCTCAAGCGGCCCGGCTCCGCGCATCTTTCTGAGTCGAGCGACAACGAGAATGCCCGCAAGAAGATCAAGACTGGCACCAAGACCGCGCCGGCTACTACACTGCCCAGCCGTGGCGCTACGCCTATTCCTGGTCGGCCTAAGAACCCACAGGCATCGGCTATGAGCGACGGAGAGGCTACCGCCGGCGAGATCTCTGATGCGGGCTCTAAGCTCAAGCCCAAGCTCAAGGTCAAGCCCGGCGTGCGCCCTGGCGGTACCCCGGCCGGTTCGCGGTCGGGTAGTCCTGCCCCCTCTGGTACTTCTCCCACATCAATTGCATCTCAGGCATCCTTACTGACCCTTCTCCAGGCGCTCCCAAGCCCAGCACGGGCACCACGCCCACTCCGCAACAGCCTGCCCAGGCGCAGGCTTCCTCTCAGTCTCAACAACCCCAGGCAGCTGCGGCCGCAGTGCCGCCGGCACCCGACCGCATCCAGCCTGCTGACATCGCTGCCGCGCTCGCGCCGTATGCGAAGGAAGGTATTTCGCTCGGCAACCTGCTGCGCAAGTTTAAGGATCGCATCGATAAGCCTGGCCACATCTCGCGGTCGGAATGGATCCAGATGGTCAAGCAGACGGCCGTGTATGGGCCGGATAAGCTCCTTCGGCCTAAGTGACCTTGAGAGCACTGCTGCCTAATCTGGCTGAGGGGGGGGCTGGTTTACTAGGACTTTGATGGATCGAACTGAGGAGTCACTTTCACAGGTATGCTGCTTCTATGTTTGGCAGCTTTGGCGATCAATGATTGATAAGGACTGGGTAAGTCGGAGATTTTAACAGGTGGTTTTGTGTCGATTTTTGTGTTTTTGATTTGGGCATAAGTGCTACGACTTACCTAAACACACACTCACACACACACACACACACCAAAAAAAATGACTCCCATGGGAGGGAGAAGGGATGGCGTCGGAGTTACTGGGAGAGACTTACTTCTTTTCCTCGCTACTGCTCGTTAGCATAATGAAGAATAGGGGCTTCAACTACGGGGTAATAATAAAAGAGCAGACAGGGAGGTAGGTAAGGTACCCAAGGTTCTGCGGGTAACACTGAATTAAACAGTTGTCGACGATGTGAATGTAGATTGCACTTGGCTCGGATGAGCTTAATATGAATTGGCGGCCTGGCCTAGAGCATGGATGGACATGTTAAGATTTGCCCTCAGGACCGCCATGTATTCATATTACCCCATCTAGAGGGTAGAAAAATAGCTTCATGCAAACCTGTGATATATATATACGGATCCCAAACCCCCCCAACCCCCCGTCAATATTAACAACTACCACTGTTTATTCATCCATCTGCCACTGATATTCCAACCCCTTCCTCATCTCCCTCCGATTCATAGCCTTAAACCTCTCCGCCTCATGTCCATTCCCTCGATCAACCCCATCCCACCTGTACCCTGGCGGAATCATATACCGATTTGGCGGCCACGCGCCCTGATAAGTAGGCCGCCTTTTACTCTTTTCCTTCTTCCCTTTCCTATTCCCACCTCTTCCCCTATCCTCGGGAGATAGGAACTCGGCAGCAGGATCATGCCACCTCCCCTCCTGCTTCAGCTCCTCATTCAGCTCCTTGTCATCTTTCCCCCTAGCTAACGGCATCAGAGCCGCTTCTCGCTCCCTCTCCTTCGCTGCCCTTGCTTCTGCGATCTGTACCTCGCCCTTCAGCAGCCTCTGCCTTTCCTTCTCCTTACGCTCAGCCTCTAATTGTGCCTTGCGCAGCTCAGCCCGCTTGAATGCTGCATCCACCCGACGACCCGTCGCGTCACGTAGGATGATTTCTTCCTCCGTTCCGTCTTTTTGTCGTTGTTTCTTGAGCCGGGAGAGTTCTTCCCTTTCTGCCTCACGCTGCGCGCGCATCTGGGCCGTGAGCGCAGCGGCGGATTGCAGGCCGGCGCGGGTACCGTTCGACATGAGGGGGACGTCATCTGCAGAAGGAGGGAGTTCCACTCCGCCTTCGCCGACTATGACGGGCCTGTTCTCTGCCTCTTCAGCTTTGCGCGCGGCTTCAGCCTCCGCTGCTGCCGACGCAATGATTGCGTCTGCTGCTGCGGCGGCGGCTGCATCGTCTTCTTTGGGTTTGGAGGAGTTATCGGTGATGGTCTTCCAGTTGGATTTCTTTGCGCGCCGGAACTCGGCCGATGTGCCGGCTACTTGGACGGGAAGGTCATCGTCATTTTCGTCGTCGTTTTGTTGGATATTTGACCAGCCGGTTTCATCGTCGTCTTGGATGAGCAGGCCCGTTGAGACTGTGGTCTGCTTTCTTTTTCTCTTTTTTGTACCGGATGATGATTTCTTCTCGGCGGTGAGGTAGTGTGCTGCCAGGTAGGCTGCTTTGTCGGATGGCATGGTGGGAGTGTTTGGTTGGGAATGGGGAGATGGGTTGGTGGTGGTTAGAATCTTGCCATCAAGGTGTCTGTCGTCGGCCTTGACAGCGACGTTTGTCGCGCTCGGAAGTTTTGGCGCGAGGCTGCAGGCTGGGCTCGCGCCGCGGCAGACTCCGTGGCGCGTGCTCTGTGCTGGATGACATCACTGATAAGCCGATAAGCTCCGATAAGGGACCGTGTGGCTGTCAGGGAACACTGGGAAGGGTAGCACGGCCGTAATGAATGGGGCATTGAGGGCGAGGTACGGATCCATGATAGTCAAAAGATTACAGAGGGATGCTGACTATATCATATCCTTCGTAATTCTTCTTAGGTTCCTCCAAGTTGATGGAGGGTCTGGAAGATCACGTCGTCCATAGATTGTTGTCCAGCCAGCCAGAAATATACTTCTTTATTGCATGCGAACAAAATATGCTGATCCTCCTCCTATACCTCAGGGGGCATGACCTAGGGGCCCCGAGGGTTAGAGCACTTTTAACAGTCGTCATCAAATCTCTGCCTCGCTAAAAGGCTCCAAGGATGCCAAACAAAAATCAAGAAAGCAGCTGAGTATTTGAGATGGCTGAAGATGCAGCTCATGATTTCAGCAATTTTTGTTCATGAGAGCCTCTTCACCTTCGTAAGAACACTGCCGAAGGTCAGCAGACCACTTGGACGTTGGCTGCACGCCCCATCACATCCCTGAATAGCAGTGTAGTCTATCTCCGCTTCATTGTCTCACTTCTGTCATGCTGTACTGCTCCGCGGTCCGCCGAGCAGGTAGTCGCCTTTGTATCACAAGGGGCAAAACGCGAGGCCCGAAGGGCTTTGGCATCATCCAGCAGCAGTACGGGTTCTTATCATCGGAGTTATCAACGCCCCCTCCCCCTGTGTATCTTGACAGGTTGACGGGGCTGTCCGTCGTACCCGTACAACCGCGGTCATGGATGTCTCCCATTATACATCGTCCAGATTCCGGATATCACAAAATAGCGCAAAGATAAAGGCTCTAATAAGTAGAGGAAATTTTAATTCCAGTCATTCTGCCCATCATTGCAGACTTGGACGATCTTATGGCTGAGTAAGCCGAGGACGAGTTGAGGACAACTGTACCAGTACAGAGCCGACCAGGTCCCCTGCAGGCGGCAGACCCCACATCTGCATGCAATGGACCGCGCCCTCAGATCTTGCGACGCTTCCGATCATTTGCCTCACTGTTCGCCAATCGCAGCACGAGGCGGGTGCATGCTCTCTCTCTTTCTTCTGTTCCTATCAGCAGGAAATGTCTCAAGAAGCCAGCACAGCACAGCATGAAAACAGCGCGCAAGAGTAAGACCTGATGTGATTGGTCGGTTATGACATCAGCAGCTTGATCATGAGTTACCATGTTTGGCCGTCGCAGTCATCACAGTTGCCGACCAACAACGTTCTGTGAAGCGGCACATGGACCTAGAATTAGGATATCGATCTGTCATCCTCAAGTCTGTTGGAGAAGGCCTTCGGTGTACCGCGGAACCTTCCCCAAGGCAGCGGAAGTACGGAGTGTCCTGTCCCCAACTTCCCCCACTTCCCCTTTTGCTGGCCTGCTCAGCCTGATGACAGCGTACTTGCGCTCCCGCTGGGTGTTGGTCATGCGCCCCCCGGCCTGTCGTCACTTGCCACTGCCACAGGCTCCCCACAGCGCCAGATAGAAGATGCCGGGTGACAAGATCCAGATACCTGTTCGGTGTTCCAATAGATGGATGAAGCTGGCCATCCATATCAGCACCGCCCGGGCCTGCGCCTGCCAGCCATCCCCTAATGTATTCTCAGCTCAGACAGGCCGATAAGCCGTTAACCGTGTTCCCCGAATGTGATATGAATGTAGATGGGGCCTGGGACCTGCTGATAGTCCACCGCCGCTATCCGGAGGCCAGGGGATGGTGTATTTAAGCCAGCCTACATCTCCCCCCCCCCTTACACCAGGGAATTCGTTCTGTTTCTCCGCGAAACGCACTGATACTCGTAGAAACAATCGACACCTTTCCTTTGCTCTAGACCGCCTCTGATTTGCGTCATTTTCCCGTGGAGGAATCGCTAAGCTTGTTTGGGATAACTATCGCCAAGCCTTTGAGGACAGTCGCTCTGCACCGTGCTTCCCCGGGTTCCCGTGTTAGTCGCTGACCGGTACCCCTGTCCATCTGACTCACCGCCAGCCCTCCCTCTACTGTGTACAATCGCCGGATCAGGACGCTTTGTTTTGACTTATAAAGGGGTTACGACCGACGTCCTCCGCCCCGAAAGACCCGTTGTTCCTAACAAAGCTCTTTTTTTTTTTTTTTTGGCTTCATCATTGCGGAAGTTGCAGAGATTTGGCTTGCTCTAGGACGTTGACCACCTCCAACTTCAGAGATATATTTCACCTTTACCTCACCTAAAGACATCACCTACGCTTCGAAGACACCTAGACATCTCTATCCACGCCTCCATCTCACCTAAACGCTCATCACCTAATTTCCCGTCTTTATACAACCCTATCTCTACCTCTCAACATCGGACCTCCCCTCACCATCCAAAATGGCCACCGTCGACGCCCTCCCCATGGTTTCTCCCTCTCGTGATCTACGCTCCGCTCGGCACGAGTGGAAGCGCACCTTCAAGGACCCACGTGAGAAGTGGCACTACGGCCACCGGTACCTACCCGGCGTCCACGTCAATCAGATTGCAAGCCTGAATGAGACTCTATACCGTAACAACAAGTACATGGTCGCACACAACCCACGGTTGCACGAGACGCAGAAGACGAAATCTAGGCCGGAGAAGCGGCGACCTGCGTAAGTTTTCCGGCCTGTCAGAACTTTAAGCTAGAAGAGGGGAGTGTAATGTGAGGCTGACTGAAAGGAAAAAAAAAAAGGTATCGCGACTTCCCAAAAGAAACAGGTAACCGCATTAAGCCGCGGTTGGCATGGGGGTTCTCGGCGCGCAACTTGACGAACCAGATTTATGTCCAGGACGAAATTGATGACATGGAGCGGTTTGTAGACGAGGAGGTTGAGACAATGGACACTGTGGAGGGAGGTTTCTCTCCAGAGGATATCCAGGCCGCGATTGCGGCATCCCTGGCGGATGCTGCTGCAAACACAGAGAGCTTGACAAAGGAACCAACCGCCACAGAGGATGCAAACCCCACGCCTTCAGCTGTCGACGACAGCCCCTCTTCTGCGCTGAATGACATCATCGAGGCACCCACCCCGCCCCCGCTTCCTCTAGAGGCGTTCGTCAAGACCACCGGGAGGGAGACAGAAAGACTTGTAGAGCGAGAGTATGAGGTGCTGGATGATAATGGCGAGGTCGTGAAGGGGAAGAGAGTCAGGAGAGTGCTGAGGGGCAACAAGGGAGGGACATCGCCCAAGGGGGATGATGACCTGGAGGGGTTCGAGTTGATTTGAATTCTTTGTCTTAATTGGTCATATGCTCTTGGGGATCCAGAATCGGTTTTTGAATGCATTGTTGATAACCGGTCGGTGTCTGGTGTTTGGATACGGGCTCGGGCTGATGAATCGCGCATTCATACCAAATCATGCATAGTTAGATCTCAGCAAGCATCATCATTGTCATCCTCAGCCTTCGTTGGACAGAGGCAAAGTTTGTCAGAAATTGCTTACCTGACAGGGGCAGCATTTCGTCTGGGGGGATGTCACGGAGCAGAAGCGCAGCAGGACCTGTAGCACACTCCGCAGACATATTGCAGTCTGACGCAAATAATGTCTAATTCCTGACAATAGAATCAATGTGGTATTCGTGAAGCTAGGCGCGTGAGCGCTGCTGGTGTATATATCGTCGTGGATGAACTTAATGCATATTCCTCCAAATGTTTATATAATATCTGCCCTCGGGTTCCATGAGCATAGAAAGTACGGAATGAAGATGAAACGAAAAAAAAAAAAGAAAAGAAAAAAATGCGTACCATGAGGCACCAGAATCCCGTTAACTATCAACATTATACAAGTGCTGTGGGCATCCATCTGCCACAGCGGGTATCATCATAAATATCACCTAGAACCTAGCATGCCTGAAGCAAGTTAGCCACTGCTTGTCCAATTGGAGGTTCTCTTGTGGAGGTCCAACCCAAGTCATTGCCTCAAACGCTTCTCGTCCAACGCATAATGAACCAGAAAAGTTTCTCAACTCTCAAACAAACTAGGCAAGTCACCAGCACAATCGAGTGACCGAAGCTCAGCTTGGGAACGAACGAAATGACCGGCCCATCAAGAGTTCGTAATAAGCACGCTGCTCATCTTCTGTACCAAGAGAAGGATCAAAATCGGGGTCTGTAGACTCCGGTATCGGCTCAGGATTGGCGCCCATGCTGTAGAAGTCGGCGATTGTCTCGTCAGGGGCGAAGCCGAGAGAGGCGAGGGTTTGTGAGGCGCGAGCAGCTCTTGAATGTGTTAGTGCTAGATCGGCATCACAATCAGGTTATTTAAGGGGGTTGCATACGATTGAGCGGCGTCCTTGGCCACAAGATCTGAGAGCAAAGCCGACTCTTTAGTCGTAGGGACAGAGGTATTCTTGTTGGAGGTCGACGGCTGCAGAGCTTCCGAGACCATGCTGGAAAACCCTCCTAAGTAGCTGCTCTGGTCTGTGGTCTGCATCGCGCGCTTTGCAGGGGGTGGGCGAACATTCTCATTCGCACCTTCGTCATCCTCTGCCTCTTCTTTCTCCGGTGGGCCCTTAGTTGCGGGAGCCATAGCAGCTGCATTGGCAGCCGCATCGGCCGCAGCGGCTGCTGAAGTCCCAGGAAGAGGGCCGTTGTGTCCAAAGAAAGCTCTGAATACGGAGCTCTGCTGCCAGCGAGTAATCAATGCATCTTGCTGATTGGAGTCCTTGATGCTCGACACGATTGACTTCCCTGCAGCACCACGCAAGTGACCCTCGATTAAGGCATCGAGTCCGGGGATTGCGGCCAGCACGGCACCCCAAGCAGCGGCACTCTCCTTGTAAGTGTTGAGAGCCGTCCGGTAGCCCTTCTGAGGACCACGACGCTTTGTTGGACGGAGATAAAGACAGGGCTTATTGTGCTTGGTACAGACACTGCACTTCGGCTGGCCATTGTCGCAGGGTTGGTGATTCACATGGCAGAAATCACAGCTGAGGATTGGATGAGCAAAAGAGGAGCGATGAATGGATTGGGAGTGACATACGCTCGAGAAGCCTTCTTGCGCTTGCGCGGGTTAGCAGCTGTTTCGCTGCCAGCATCGGCACCAGTATCACTTGGAGGAGGTGGTGGAATACTGGCATTCGACGGTGCTGGGGAAGCCTGAGCAGCAGGTGCCGATGAGATCAGTTGTGAATGAGAATTCGGTTGTGATGGGTGAGCAACTGGGTGTGAGAGAGAGTCTGGCTGCGGCTGTTGCTGCTGAGATTGTGGCGCACCATTCAAGAGCCGCGCTTCACCGCTGCCGGCGACTGCTTCTCCCTTGGCCAGCTCCATCTTGGGCCAGTGCTGTCACACCCATGTGGTCACAATTGGGCTCGAGTGGACGCTTTGTCTGGGCGACCTGATCTTTGGGGTCGGCTTAGTGTAGGAATGTGGGTGTGCCAGTTCGCTGATGAACAAGAAAAACAACGGATTGGAGGTGAGCCGTGGGCGTAGCCTTCTGGGTGGGACGGGACCCGCTGCAAAGTGGGCTTGCTTTGGAAAATTACCAAGCCTCGATCCACCGAGACTGGCTGCCATATCAATGGCGGGGTTAGCCCCACTGCCCCCGCCTTATTAGTAGGTACATCGTCGGCGGGCATCACGGGGAGGAACAGAAGAAGCGATGCGAGAGAACATCAACCACCAGACTGGATACATTGTATATAAAGTGGAAAACGCTGTTTAAAACTGATCACAATGAAGTCTCTCGTTGACGATCCTGCATTCCGTTCAGGATTGACGAAAAAAATGGTACAGAGCTGAGCTGACATGACCCTAGGCATCGAGGGGAGACGAAGGCTAAAAGTACCCTTCCATCTAAGCAGCCGGTAATTCAATGCTGCCTTAACAGGGCTCCTGTGACAGAGCTCATGCCGAATGCCATTTCTTCCAAGTCCATTGCTCCTCCATCTATTCATCTTCATCTCCCTTTCAGGTTGCAGCCGGGTCACTGCAGAGACTCGAACCCACGTGTAGTCTGCACAACGGTTCTCCACCCCGGCAGCCAGGAACCGAGTTCTGCGGGTAGTGGGGAGAAGGACGCCGCAGTGGTGAGCCGGCGCGCAAGGACAGCGAGACAGCAACAGGGTCTACATTTTTCCCGTCGGCCCAATTCCGATAAATCTGCCGACGCGCGACGAAGAAGATGGGATTTCCGGGTTGACCTGCGAAGTGATGCCCACGCGCAAAATGTGGGTTATTTCATGATCTTGAATCTGAATTTCCTATTCTATTCGGTTTTTATTCGAGCGTCCTTTGACTGAAGGGGTGGTGAAATGAGAGGGTGAGCACACAGATGGTGGCGCTGACCAAACAACACCAACAACATCCACACCAACAACATCGACGACACCAACGACCACCACCACAGCCGCCGCCTCAACCGCAACCGCAGTCCAAGCTACAAACTCGTCCACCATAAAAACGAAAAGGGACCGAGAGGGTTCAATAGCCACAGAGATATTACCTAGCCAACGCTAACTAAAAACTCATGCCTCGGAACGAGCGTCTTTTCGACCCCAATGCGTCCATCGTGCTGGTGGGCTGCCGGGGCGCCGGCAAGCGCACCCTTGGCTTCATGGGCGCTCTGCACCTACGACGCCGCTTGGTTACGGAGGATCACTTTTTTGAAAAGCTGACTGGCTTGACTCGCGGCGACTATCTGGCTCGACATGGTCGCGAGCAATTTGCCCGGACGAACATGGATGTGTTCAGGAAAATGCTTGAGTCAAATTCAACAGGCTGCATCATTGAATGCGGTATGAGCAGTCTTGCCGAGGAAGCCCAGGAGATGCTGCGCGAGTACTCGAAGACACATCCAGTTGTGTACGTTCACCGCGAGCCCGAACAAATTACTAGGCTTCTCGATCCCGACGATGCCGCTCAACTCCTGCAGGCTGATGCCAGACATCGCGCCTGCTCCAATTATGAGTACTACAACTTGTACGACTCGACGACTGCTTACGACAGCTCGTCGCCTGCCTCACGGGCGGCATCACCTACAGGGCTTCGGCAACCCGGCCCATCCAAGCTTCTATGTGTTCAGGAGGACTTTGCGCGTTTCCTCGACATCATCACTGGCCGTGGGGCCACCAAAGCCTGGCTAGAAAGCCCCTTTTCCGTGGCTGCCATCCCGCCAGAGTTCAGGTCCTATTCATATGCCCTGCGTCTACGCCTATCCTACTTGGTCGACATGGATCTCGATTGGGAAGACTTCGAGGCAAAGGGAGACTGTGTCGAACTGATCATTGACCACTGGCCCGGTGATATGGTAAATGTCATCGCTCGGCAAGTTGCCTTAATCCGGCGAAAGTTGCGAGTTCCCATCATCTATCACGTCGAGGAGAACCCCCGTGGTGAGCGCCGTCGCTCACAAGAGGAGCGTGATAGCATGGACTCAGAGTTACTAGAATTGGGCCTTCGCTTGGCCGTCGACTACATCAGCATCGATCTTCAGCGCAGTGATGCTCTGATCGACCGCGCTCTCCGGCGTCGTGGCCGTTCCAAGGTCATCGGGAACTACTGCTACATGGGGTTCGGGGCCCTGCCCTGGCAAGACGACCGCCAGCTCGAGAACTACCGTCGGGCTCAGAGCTTAGGGTGCGACATTGTGAGAATGATGCGGTTTTGCACAAACGACAGCCCTGTCGAGTACCTGGAAGAATTCAAAAAGCGTTTGAACGAGGCAATACCGGAGCCGAAACCCCCGCTTGTTGCTTTTGACTTCTCAATCCTCGGCGTGAGGACTCCTCTTCAGACTCGCATCCTTGGCCCTGTCAAACACCCGGACATGGAGAACGAGCGTGAGCATCTCGCAACAGTTACGACAGCACAGCACTCCTTCCGGCAGCTCTTCCATCAGTTCCTTCTTGATCCTCTCAACTTCTACGTGCTCGGCTCCAATGTCAGCTACTCACTCTCTCCTGCAATGCACAGTGCGGCATATGACGCCACTGGCATGCCGCACACCTTCCAGGCTGTCGACATTTCGACACTCGACCAACTCAATGCCATCTGTTCCGCCGACTCATTTGGTGGTGCATCCCTGACTGCTCCCTTCAAAGTTGCAGTCATGCCGCACTTGAAGGTCAAGTCCGCCCATGCAAACGCCATTGGGGCCGTGAACGTACTTCTTCCTTTGCGGGGAAGGACGCCGGCTATTCTGGATCATGCAAACTCAAGAAACAAAGCTGGTCCGGCCAGGGAGTTTTATGGCGATAATACCGACTGGAGCTCGATTCTGACCTGCCTGAGGAGAGCGATCAGCCCCAGGAATCACGTTCAGCCTAGCCGGACTACGGCGTTGGTCGTTGGCGCTGGCGGTATGGCTCGTGCCGCGATCTATGCCTTGTACCAGCTCGGCTGCCGGAACATCTTTGTGTACAACCGGACGGTAGCGAATGCGCAGGCTGTTGCAGCACATTTTAATTCATGGGCTGCTCAGCAACAACAACAACAACAACAACAACAACAACAACAACAACAACAACAGGCTTCTTCCAACATTCCTACGGTGAATGGGCATGTCGGAGGGGGTAATCGTGAGATTGTCCGAGTCCTAGGCTCACTAACAGACCCATGGCCGACCGGGTTCCAGCAGCCGACCATGGTTATCTCTTGCGTTCCAGCGACAGTTGGGCCGGATGGAGAGCCCCCAGCCGATTTTGTGATGCCGCTGGACTGGCTGAGGAGTCCTACAGGAGGTGTAGTTGTCGAGGTAGGTCTGCTCCACCAAACTTGTCACTGAGAGCGATGTTAATGATCTTTACCCAGCTGGCCTACGAGCCCCTCGTTACGCCCCTGGTAGCTCAAATGCGCTCCCTCGCCGCCAGAGCTTCCCCCCAGAGCCCCCAGCTAAGCTCTTCGCCATCAAGCAATGGCAATGGGATCAACGCCACCAACTGGGTTGTCGTCGACGGACTCGAGGTCGTCGCCGAGATGGCTATCGAGGCCTTCGAGCTCATGACCGGTCGCATGGCCCCCAAGAGGTTGATGAAGGAAGTGTGCTGGAAGGGCTGGGAGGCACAACAGCTCGAACGGAGGACGCAACGACAGCAAACATAAGTACGGCCTCGCCAACAGTAAGTGATTGTAGCAAACAGACTTACAATTTTGGGATAGTTTTGGATTCGGTGTACATTGTTGATCAGGAGAATTTTTTACGAGGGGAAGCTTGGTGTTGGTTGCATGGGATGGGATGGGAATACCCCGTTTCTCTGTGTCGGTGCATGTTTAAGGGGTGGTTTTTTTTTTTTTATGTTTGTTGGAAGTGAGTGTCTTTGGAACCTCCATTGCATAATTTGTTTTCGGATGCGTGAAGCAATCTACCATTAGTAGCTCTAATCATTCCTCTTTTTGCTTCAAGTCCTCTTCATTCCGTGTTGTCTGGTGTCCCACTTTCCGACTTCCGTCCGTCAGTTTACTAACATTACAACATAACAGATCATTCAACCCTTCCTTGCTGATCGTTTGATCTCCATGTTTCTTGCGATACCATACAGAGTTACAATCCTGTCTCCATGCGGCGTCCGCACATGTGAAGTCCTTGTGTGCTCGATCTCTTGTGTCCAATCACATGCTGCCCCTTAAAAGATGCTGCGCTTCAACGCCCCCATATGGCGGCTGAGCAGCCGCGACCGTTACTGTGTACCATGTCTTTCACGCAATCATCGCTCCGCGAAACACGTCGCAGTGCATTGCAGGTCACAGTGTCTACATCATCACAGTTAGCGACAAGTTACAAGTTACTTCAGTTTGTATGGCAGGTCGTCGGAAGCTCAAGTACCCACCCTCGTGAGTCCAACCAATAGACGCGTCTACTTAGCCGCCGCGAGAGGCTGGCCGATGCTACGGCGGCTGACCCGCGGTCGAGTCGAGTTGCAAGGTCCAACGAACATTCTGGGCCCGAACATATTAAACGAGTTGTACCTGAAGACAGGCGGGTATAATACCCGTGCGGCTCAGCAAGCTGATAATGCTACAGGGTAATTGGCGGGTTAGTCGGGGGATTCTGCTTTACTGTAACATATCTTTCGACCAGTTCTTGAACCAAACTTCAAGTGTGTCTTTTCCTTGATTTTACTGGTCTGGTTGTCAGTCATTAGCTCTTGACTCGAATCTACTCCGTCGACACTAGGTCGGAAGGTTACGAGTTCACGACCCGCCTCCCCGATGGCAACCGGATTCTCAGTTGCTCAGTCACACCCGATATCTCTCTCAACATTCAACTCGCCACATCAGCCTTCAGAAGCTGGGTTAACGTCTGACAATACGCCTAACCATGTTTACAATTGCTCCTCGTGGAGCTACCGCCCAACCACCAGTCAAGATCGGCATGACCCTACATTGCTCGCCGACAATGAAGCCAGCCAAAGCTATTGCGGAGGTCGTGAAGTTGCTGAACCAGGAGTGGTTCCGCGAAGCGCCAGTAGTTCTGGAGAAGAGACCGAGCAAGACGAGGCCCAAAGATCTACCAAAACCACCGGTACCCGAGTAGTGCTAACACCCTTCGCACGCTTGTGGTCATGGAAGACATGGATTCACGTGCTACCAGTTGCTGTCTCTATTCTCCTCATCTTGATCAATCTGAAGCCGACATTTTGGTATGATTACATGAAGTCCCAGGATGACTCGGATACAACAGTCGTGACCTGGCTGCCGCAGCTACCGTTCGACACTAAGTCGACATTTCAGATCGCGGCGAAAGCCTACGAATTGTTAGTTATCGCATCGCTCAGCGAGCTTACCCTAAGCCTGCTGAGGAGGCAACTTCTCAAGGCCCGACTCCCCATGGGTCTGCTGATGGCTGGCTACCGTGTTGGAAGTCTTCCTTACATCTTCAGCAGCCAGTTTTTTACCGGAGCTTTGCGGAAGGCGCATGAGCCGAGTGTTTCTTGCCCGGTTACTGTCGGCCAGGAGTCAAACTCCCGTTCCATGCGCACCTCTAGGTGGTTCCGCGTTTTCCTAGGTTTCATTGTCCTTCTCAATACTTCTCTTGCCTTGCTATCGGGTCCCGCGTCTGCGATCTTGATCGTTCCTGATGAGGGGTGGTTTCCTTATCCAAACGCTTTCCAGGGATTCAAGCAACCTTTCTACTTCGGACTCCCCGCGGATGTGACATGGCCGGCTTTTCTCGACACCCGGGAGATGGAGATCCTCAGCAGACTTGACGGCTGCCAACTCAGTGACGGCTGGCTTTCCTACTGGTGTCCGACGGCTTCCTTTCCCGACCTATCCAACTGGGTCGCGAGTTGGCTTAGCCATGGCACGGCTTTTGAGACGAAGATACCCAAGATCGATGCCCTAATCAAGCCAAACAGTCCCTCAGCGTCGTCGAGATCAAGGAAAGCATACATGTCGCACCAGCTAACCCTGAGCACCGATGGGAACCGCACAGTGAGCACTATGGTGTCTCTCGTATCTTTTCTTACCATGGCCCGCTTGCTTGACCCCGAGCTTGCCATCGGTCCGTTCGGTTGGGACTTTAGACTGAAAACGTCAAACAAGACTCAGATTTTCCAGCCAGTTGTGCAGACGAGTTGTGCCACATACCACAGTCCGTCCGTAAATGACACAGCAAACTCCAGTGTTTTTGAAAGGCTGCCCCCAGGGAATCTCACAGAAGATCATGTCCCTTTTCCTGGGTTCCCTGGCGATATCACAGAACTACACTGTTTTGGTGATCCCGGATGCGAAGAATGGTTGAACAAGCCTTGGAAACTTATGAATGAAGTTTGGTAAGACAACCCTGCTGGTATTTCCATGCTTCTTCTCGAGGGACTACTGCCTAATGTGCAGGAATTCACCACAGGAACCAACGAATCGATCGCCCTGCCTTTCATGTAGTCGAGCCCGATATAGCAAACGACGACGGCTCCAGAACGGCTGTCCACGTGTGGTTTGCTTTTCCTTTTGCAACGGCTTACAGGAGCCAGTTCCGGACGGCCGTGTTTCCCTGCACTATCGTGGCACATTGGGCTCCTTCCTCTCTGGAGTTCACCTGGTCTGACGCCGAGCTCAGAAGCAATGTTAGCAGCTGGATCTCAGAAACAGGCAAGACCAGAAAGATTATCGAAGACCTCAAGGAAAAGGATGCCAAGGCCACTACGATCAAGTTCGACAAAATGTTTCTCGACTTGATCCTTCCCAATATGACACTCGAAATCGCAGATGATACCGCCTTCGGGCAGAGGCATCCGCTGTTAATGGCAATGGAATTACCCGTGATAGTTCGGGACATGCCCAGTGGGCTGATGTACGACCTGCGGGAGAACACCGGCTGGGGCCCCGTGGTCAACCAGATGAGGTTCAACTTCGAGCACATTCTCGCCGCCATCGTCACCACGGCTCTTGCACGCCTCAACTCGCTGTCGGAAAACACGTTTGTGCAGGACTGGAATGCGACGACGCTGTCGTTGATCGAGATGGACTCGCCCTCCTACTCCGAACATTTCACGGCCGATGATAACCGGAGGCTGTCCCGGACCCATCCGCTGCAATTTATTTGGGAGCCGGGTAACGTTACGTTTCTCTACAACGGCAGCACGGAGGGAGCGCCCTCGGACAGATATGAGTGGGGTTTGTATAGGGACGGGTTCCAGAGCCCGTCAGAGTATTTGGACATGCTAGAGTCGTACACCAAGTTTGAGTTCGAGGCTGAGCGCTACGGGTTTGGTACCGGGTTGAGGGGAAATAGCCGGTACTTTGCTTTCACGGTTGTCTTCGTTTATTTGGTCATTATTCTTTTGTACTCTATGTACATTACCTTTTCGCCTCTGTTCTTAAAGGAGCCGGTGCCCACAATCCGGGCGTGGGGGGATCTGGGAGAGCTTTTCTTGCTGGCTTGGAACTCGAAGCCTACTGAAGATGAGAGGTTGGGTAGGTCGGGGATTAAAATGGAATCGAGCAAAGACTGGGCCGTGGAAGTGGGCATCAGGGCGGATGAGGAGGGACGGGTGCGATTGGCTACCGTATGTGATGGGGGGGAGCTGCTGAAGAAGGAAGTACGGTATCGTTGATCCGAAAATTTTAATGTTTTTTTTTTTGTGTTGAGAGATACCCAGTTTAAAATAGCTGTTCTTATGAATAGAGCAAGTTGAGTCTCGAGGCTGGATGCCTTTATCGCTGGACTTTTCGGGGAGAACAGATTCAGCAATAATTGTTACTCTGATCCTCCGTCCCTTGGTACTTATGGACATACGGATTGCTAACAATAAAGGTCGCTGCAGAATCGGCTTTTTGTAGGTAATTGGAAGAAGTGTCGGCAATACTTGTACTTCTAGACTCAAGTATTACGCGAGTACTCAAGCAAAAATCGTGTATGTTACCGCCCTCCGACGCAAGGTGATATTGCCCCATGAAGCTAGAAACTAGTTTTTGAAATATCTCATAACTATGCTCCATTGATGTAGTACGTCTTGGAATAATATAACTAGAATATAAGGTTTTCCTAGACCATTTTTTAGAAAGCGAAATTCCGCTGCTCATGGTTGCTTCCCTAAGTACGCTCACTCTGAACCTACTGAGGCACCGCTTCGTCAAGGCGCGCTTGCTGCTCGATTTATTGACTGCTGGGTATCGGATCGGACATTTCCCATACCTCTTCAGTGGGAAGCTTTTTGCTGGCTTTCGAACACCTCCCGAGAGTGAATTGGACTCTGAGGTTTGCGGGAGCGAACATCCGGCATCTCAATACGATATGAAGATTATACGATGGTCTCCGGCGCTCCTCGCAGTTGTTGTGATCATCAACACTGCCATCACATTGATGGCAGGTCCAGCATCGGTAACACTGACGATACCTAAAGAGGGCTGGTTTTCCAATCCATCCAATTGCTCTGACCAACTTCTCTTGGCCATTTTACACAACACCAGCACATTACACACCGGCTCGAAGCCATGTAAGTGCAACCAGTAGCATCAGGTTAGCTAACGATGTACCAATTCGTCGCGAAATGCTTCTTGGGTCCTTTATTATCTGGATGTCAGAGATCACGCTTCCCCGTCTCCAATTCTCCATCTTGCCTTTCTTTCCCTCCCACCTGAACCAACAGCCCAAGTTCCCAATCGATCCAGCCGGTGAAACAAGCTCTCTCTCACAACCATGAGCTACGAGCACTCCTATCAAATCGACATTACATTCTCGCCTGTGCCATCGCTCGAGTTGTGAACCCTTAGCCTCTCAAGTGAATTGACATCAGAACAAAGGCAAATAAATGACTTCTATTCTTTCCCCTGGTTAGAATGATCGCACTCTGACGCCTGAACCCATCAATGAGCATCTAGCCATGCGAAACAGTCAAGATGATAGCAAAAGCAACAGAGAGGTTAATGAACCAATCGCCTGCGATGGAGTTCCTGTGATCCGGACAGCATTTCCACGCCTCTGGTCATTGACCTCGTGGATTCACAACCCTTCTATCGTTATCCCAGAACTTCTGATTACTATCAATGTGCAGAGGACATTCTTTTGGAAATATGTCAAGCCAGATATTGAGCTCAGTTCGAAAAACTTTTCTGACGAGAAAAAGATTTCATGCTGGGAAGTTGGAAGTGATGTCTGGATTATCAAACACAAAGGCCGTTACAAACTACGTGTTGCCTTCCATAATTTCTGCGGCAAACAAAGGTGTCATTCGACATCAAATCCTTCTTCCAGATCGCGGCCAAGGTTTACGAGATCTGCGTCGTTGCCTCGCTCAGCACCATCACATTGAACCTTTTAGACATCAATTTGTCAAGTCCCGCCTGCTACTTGGCTTGCTGCCTGCTGGGTACCGTGTTGGAGATTTTTCGTACATCTTCGGCATCCAGTTTTCGGCGGTCTATCGAAGAGTTCATCAGACAGATGCTTCAGGCGCACTAGCTACTAGAAACGAAATGGTTCTTTCCAGATGACTTCTAATTTTACTCTCTCATGATTTTCCTCAATACTGCCATCGCCTTAATGGCAGGTCCGGCATCAGCAATTTTCATGATTTCTGACGAGGGTTGGTTTCCTCACTCACGGGTACTTATTCGTTTCCTAAGCCCATACTACTACTACCATCGTCCCTGAGAAAAGACTTGGCCGTTATCTATCAGCGCGACGCAAATGGAGAGAGATTGTCAATTACTGGGCTGTAGAACATTCAATGTGTATAACTTGGTACACATTTGGTGCCCAATTCGTGGTTTTCGGGAGCTCTCGGTATTTGTCGTTCAAACTTTACATCCGTCTTTACCAGCAGATGCCACCTTCGAACCATTACATCTTCATGCTCCTTTTTTCCCTTTTAGCAAATCGTCCTAGTTCCAATCAAGATCATGTCTGACAGACAAGTTCGCCGTGCGAGAGGATGATATGGTTGCTATATCAACTCTTAGCTCTTTGTCAGCATTATGGACGTTATCACACTTGACAATTATTGGCTGCGAGGATTACGAGGGATCTGAATTTGGTTGGACGTTTAGGTTGCCGTCCACAAACAAAGCTTCCATATTTCCGCCGGTCATATAGGAAGTATGCACCATGTGGAGCGTGGCGTTTTTGCAAAGAAAGCTTTCCCGGATGGTATGACCTCGTGGGAAATGCTCATTGCATAAATGATATTGAATGATTACAATGGCTGCAAAACGACAAGCCTACATCATATGGTTGATGGTGAGCCTGGCAACATTCTGCTCCTAACGATCAAGCTTAACGTACACGACTTCTGGGTGGGCATCTACATAGATACACGCAGGTAGCTGACATGTGCAGAACCGGAATACCGGTATATCAGGACAAAACAATTCTCTCGGCCTGGTTTCTTCAAGTCTTAGCATTTGGACTCTGAATGTAAACAAAGGTTCAGGGGTAACTCCACAACTCCTCGCCACAGCAACGACCCATACTCATACGAAGTACATACCAATGGACAGCGCAAAAGCCCAAACTTAAATCATCTCTGACTTCAGCATCTCTCACGACTTATCTCCATTCTGGTGAACCTGATTTGTCTGGCCGAAGTAGCACGCTGAATGACGAGGTTAGAGCAGTTGCATAAGGTCACAATGTCCGCAGACTCACTCGTCGAACGACATCATTGATCCTGTAGTGTGACTCGGCAGGAACCACAAAAGCTGACAGTGAATCTTAAGGCTTTTAGGTGCAGAGGTGTTGTAACCCCCAGCCTCGATTGGGTTATTGTGAGGTTGGAGACATCGACTCCACTCTGTCGCTGACTAGGGGAACTCTGGGGCTGGCGGTTTGGTAGGCCTGAGATCTTTCTCCGAAGTTGTTCTTTGCGTAAAACACGATAGATCGTCTGTTTCCTCGACTTATTTGATAGCGGAGACTAGTTTTTTAAGGGCTGAAAGTCACTCAGGAAATGCAGCAGGAGACGAAACCGGACAATCTCACGCACGTTTGTGATCACTCAGTTACCATTCACAAATCACATATAACGAACAAACAATCTGCGGAATCGCATATCAATGACTTAGCTGTCTAACACCTTCGTACTCCCTGTTTGACATTCTCATATTGAAATTATCGATGTTATTTATTCATCATTCAGCAGGTAGGAGTTGAAGTTTAACCACGAAAAGTGCCGCACTAAGCAGGCAATACCATGGTGAAAGGTTTTGTTAGCTTCCCATCTCATTACTTGCTGAACAGCAGTGGTATGGAAAGCATACATGATCAATTTGCTAATAATGATTTAGACAGCCAACCAGCTCCCGTACCACGTGGTAACTCTTCATCTCCTGGGCCTAGGTTACTGTTGTTACCATTACGATAATCGATACTACCTCTAATAAGCAAGGCAGTCGCCGGAACCCAGAGGATAGCAAGAATATAATGATGATAAAGCTCTTCGGGTATTAGCATGGTCCTCAAATCCGGCGAGGTAGTGGTGAAGAACTGTCACGAAGAGAATTACGCCGATCTGTCAGAAAAACAGGTCAGAAGTCATCAAGAAGACATTTGATACCATTACCCAAGCAATTGAAAGTGACCAACCACCGAAGCTTACTGACCGTTTATACGCCACGTAAATGGCCCATGGGCTACTAGAATCCAACGAAAGAACTGAGAACGATATACATTTGACGAATCTCCGCCGAACAGACTCTTCTAGCACCCAGACCAATTCCCAGTGCTATAGGGTTATGACTATCTTATATACTGAGTCCTGAAGTTTATCCATGTGGCCGATGTGCAAAAGTTTTCTGTTCCACATTCCCCGTATGTGGTTCAGCACAAGCTTTAACAAACTCAGATTGAAAGCACATGTGGGTTTATAAGTGCTAGACTGCAGCCACAGGTGCTAGGTAGAGTCAGTCGCCATCATACCCTGACAATCATAAGGGACCCGGCAAGTGGAATATGAACAAAAAAGCTGGAGTATGAGGATTGACCAAGGGTGTCCGGACACGGCTCAAGCTCTGGTCTTTTCGATCAGAATAGAAACGTATGAGATAGAAACTGCAAAAAATAGTTACGGTTTAATCATTGAGCTTTACTGTAGGTATCTAGCTTCCAGCTTTCGGGCCAGCCCTTCGCATGCTCTTCAATCATCTACACCTTACCCTCATCACCGGCCTTAGATTTAGTATTATAGTCGAGAGCAACAAAGGGAGTATAGATATCTTCGTAGTCAAGGTTAGAAATGCTAAAAAGATACCAAATCTTGAGTCTAACGTCAAATTTTCCATCTCCATCTACAACACCTGCTAAACGATAATGAATGATACATTAATTCTTCTCTATATTTACCATACTTGTCTCTAGGAGTTCCGGTCTCAGCAGGTATATACATGCAAGCATATAGGTACTTTCTGGAAATCATCCAGTCAACAAGGCAGGATCGACTCGAAGCTAGAAATAACCCTACTATCAAATAAATCACCCTTCCAGCACACATTTCCTTTGAAAAGAAAAGGGTTGTTGGCAAACATATTTAACAATGAGAAGATAGGGCCAAAAACCGTCCATTTTAGGGTATTAGGATGCATCGCAATAGCCCCACTGACAAAGAGAATCGCAATAACC